GGGACTGCAGTTTAATTAAATTTCCCCACTGACACTAGGTATTCCACTAGATGTCACTTTGAGATCTTGCTAAGATGAAGGACAGCATTCTGATTAAAGGATGCAGCAGTCTCGCTCCCCCACACCACCCAAAATGTGAAGTCTAAATTGCCTGAAAGTTAGATCAACTTTTGCCTGTTGAAAGCACTGGGAAATATCCTAAAATATTCCCAGCAAAACAGCTCGTGTTGTTTTCCCATTGCCTGGGACCACTCAAGTGGGATATGATGTAGAAGGAGAACTAGAGTAGGGATCAACAATGTTGTGGATGTGCGCCCAATGAGGTCTTCCCCTGGAGTCCCCAAAGTTTATCAGGGACCCTGCTCACTAGCCCTTTGAACACGAGGGGTTGCCTTTTTCTCCACTGAAAAGTACATAGAGCTGAAGTCAGAAGTTGAGTGATGCTCTTTCCTAGGTGGAATCTGCACACATATAAAAACTATTTTGAAAATGCTTTTTTAAAAAAGCATTTTAAAAAATACATTGGATTTTCCATAAGGCACACCATTACCATCACCATCATGTGTCACATTGTATATTGCACTTAAAACACACATGAAATGTTTTATATGCAGCTGTATAGCTGAGTCTACTTCCTCTTTCAGTTTTATGGGCTTTTCAAAGCTGAAATTAATTCTACTGGATGTGACTTTAACCTGATCCACTGAAAAACTAAGTATGTGTGCCTATTCTGTCTGTCTGTCTGTCTGTCTGTCAGTCTCTCTGGAATGAGCCAGAGAAGCAACAGAGGAAGGGCGGGGGAGATCACAATGGGTGGCACCCACAGCACTCACTCAAAAATCCAAATGTGCCCATGAGCCTGAAAATTGTCTCAAGGACCTTGAATCTGAACAACTGTGACATACTGGGAGTTCTTACTGGGAACAGGACACAATCCAGCAAGGGAAAGTGTACGACAGAGACGAACACCAGAACTGTAACTTTGCCATTTATTGCCTATGAGTAACTTACAAATGGTTTCCAGGAGTTGTCCTGCCAATACAGCTATAAGGGCAAACCTGCTTATGCCAAAAGCAGCAGAACTGAGACATGTGCCTGCAGGACCATCCATCTTCAAACATCTTGTAAGAGAATGTCCTATGGAGTTTAGCATGCTACTTATTGCTGCTATGAAAGGATGTCTTGGGCTCACGTCATTGATTGGTCACTGATAATTTCATCATTGACTTAATGTGTGGACCTTCCTCTAGAGCAGGGGGAAAGTATTGGTGGGTGGGAGTTAGGTTATCGTATTTTGGAATATATTGTAAAGACTGTTGCCCTGCCCCATCTACCATGCTCTGATTGCTTGACTTCCTAGCCTTCCATGGATGGGAGGCTGAACTACTGTAATGGGAAGATCAGATTTATGAATCACATGGGGAATACTGTAGTGCAGAGATTCAGCCTCCAACTCACAAAGCTGAGTGGAGAGATGATGTCTGGGCATGGGGACTAGGGTTTTTGTGCTTACTAGTACAGCCTTGTAAAGAAGCCCACAAAAGTTACTGCCCTTCAAAGAGGCTATGAGCCTGTGTTTCCATGCTGGCTGTCAGGAGGAAAGCCTCCACCGCTCTTCAGACAGCATAGAAACACAGGATATTAGATTAGTAAAAAGAGATTTAAAAAGCCTTCTACCAAGTAGACAGATGGGTAGAGGATGATCTCTTTCCATCATACTCCATTTCCATGCTGGTTGTAGAGAAAGACTTACTTGCTTCCATTACTAACAGTGAAACCAAACAAGTTGACAGAGGAGGAATGGAACAATCTGACTCCCTTCCTTCAGCCTGCACACTCACCTGTATGGAATTCCTGGTCACCTCTAGTGACCAGGTAAGTTGTTAAGTTACAAGGCTGAATTGGTAGGTTTTCTAAAAGTTCTGAAAATTGCAGCTTTATGCACACTTAATAGGGGTTAATACTGTAGAAATCAAGAGGTCAAGTGGACTTGCTTCTGTGTAAAACTGCAGAGTATCTGGTTGTACATGTCCAACAAAAGTAAAAAATAACACCCGATTCTGAGCTTAACAAAGCTCATTTCCTCCAGCTCTTTGCAGCCCCTGGATAGAGAAGAAAATACCTTTTAGTGGCTGTAAGGATATGTTATAGGAAAAAGCAGTGAAATAAAACAAGGAAGCATGCTAGCGATTAGGTTTGCATTGGGTAATGCTATTCGGGTGTTGATAAAAATGGCAGAAATAAAATTAAGTATGGTCAGCTACTTGCTTTAAGGATATGCAGAAGAGAGGGGAGGGATAAATCTCAGCTTGCAAGGCAGAATAACGCCAATAAATGTGTCTGCGAAAGCTTGCTGCTCAGCGCAAAGGAAAAGACATTTTGGCACAGCTAGTTTCTGGGTTTGGAACAAGATCTTCCAATACGCCTGTGCTCAGCTGTTAAAATTGCATGCAATAAACAGCTGGGCAGCAAAATGTCCAGGAAAAAAGTTTTTTTTAAAAAAATGAAAAAGTGTAAAGAAAAGAATATGCCTGTGCATTAAACATTCTGTGTTTTTCCAGTGCCTGCCAGCACAGCCTCCCGAAAGCTCTCGCAAGCTGCATTCTGTTTGTGCAGTAAACAAGCAGCAGCTTCTGCACCTATGCACATTTGTTTACTAAACACAAGGAAACAATGGAGTTCAATTAAAAGTAGATTAGTCGCACATGTACCGAAGGAACGTGTACTTAATAGACTATGGCAAATCCGACTCCAGTTAAATCCCCAGAGAGGCTGCTGCGGCATGTCTGTCTAGGCCTCGCTGGTACGCAACACCCCCCCCCCCAACCACCGCCCCGCCAGCTACAGTCTGAATGGTGATTCTGGAATATGTTAAGCTGAGCATGTAATAATGGAAGGGCAGATGTTGTGCTAGCAGTAGTTTGCTGCAACTGTGCAGATGGGGTGGTCGGTGGCCATGGGATTGGAAGCATTGTCTGATGGGTCCGTTGCCATTATTGCCTAGGCCAGCACCATATGTGTCTTTGGTCTCTTTTGTGCCAGCATTTCTTTTCAAAATCAAGGGCAATAGGGAAAAAGAGAGAGCATGCCAGCACCTAAAGAGAAAGAGCAGCCCAGTTCTCAGGGCCCCACCAGAGCAATGTGTGCTTTTGGGCTACCATCAAAACCCTTGAAGGACCAGACTGGTGGTCAGTTGGCAAAGCTCCCCATTCTAGCCACTGATAAAGCACGTTAGGAAAACATGGCTTGAGAAACAATGGATAGCAAGCCACAAACTTATCTGTTCTCTAGAAACATTGTGCATTATAGTCGAGTTGTAAGCTCACCTTTTCCTGTGATATCTCTTTGAGGGAAACTGGTGTTAACTGTCATTCTGAAAACACATGATAATTGCTTCAAAGGCTACTTTAAAGCAACAGGACAAAATAAAAGCTTCTTAATGCTTCCGATATGCCAACAAACAATGGGAGGAAAAGCTCTATTTATGTGCAAAGAACTTCAAAAGTGAAGAAGATTTTGAAATGTGAATGATAGCAAGATTTGATTTTCAGCTCAGGCTCCTATGTGGGTTTGAACCCTTCTCTCACTCTCATTATCTAGGAAAGAGCAGTAGACCATTGCCTGGAAGTGGACCTCGGTTTTCATAACAGATTTCTTTAGGGTGTAATCCAGTTGGTGCCCTTGCCCTCCTGGGAAGGGGTTTTGATTCAGCAGAGGCATCTGTAATGGACAAGGATGGAAGGGGATTTATGACAATTCTCCTGCTTCCCAAAGCCCATTGCACTCTTAAAATCCATCTGCAGAAAGCTGGAGGACTCTGCAGGAGAGGGTGGAACATAGGGATGGAAAGATCTGCCAATTCTGGTTTCTCATTTTTCTACTCATAAGTTCTGTTTTCCACACAGTTTGCAATATTTTTTTTAAGGACCTGATGAAAATCTGTCAACTTTTTAGTGTGCATTTCTCCTAATATACACAGCTTTGTGTGTATACACATTTTTGTATGATGTTTTTCACTAATATATGCATTTTTGTACACTTTGCTTGACTGAAAAACTGTATTGCAAAAATTAGGGAAGTTCCAAATTTTAAAGGATGACTGCGCTTTGGTTCATCTTTTGTTTCAGAAAGTGTAAATTAAGTAGAGCACCTTCATATGCAAACTGAATCGAATTTCTCCCCCCTACTTGCTGGGAGCTGGTACAAGGGGCTTCAGGGAGAGCAAATGGGCAAGAACTGGACCAAGTGGATCTCTCAACTTCTTCCATGAATTGAAGGCCACCAGTTGGATTCCACACATGGTATTTTCTTTGACACATGTCCCAAGGCAACAGGATACCAAATTAAACATGTAGTCATATATTTACTTTGATTTGTTAAAAAGTGTGTGACAACAATCCCATAGTCCAACCTAGAGGCCAAACTGGAGAGTAATCTCCCTTTCATCATTTAATCTGCATGTATTTTTAGTTTAAGCGTAATTCAGCATTGTCTAGATGTCCCATTAAAAATGTTTAAGAGTCTGCAGAATTGAGGAGAAAAACAAAAACTCTTTCCTGAGCATTTGGCAATTTAAAAATAGACATAGCATTTGCTGAGTGAAGCCTGAAGATGGAGCTGTTGGCAAAGAATTCCAGGGAATAGTGAGACATCTATAGCTCTAGAAATACAGGTCACATTTTATAGAAGCAAGCAAGGTAAGTTGCTTATAATGGTTACATTTGTTATAATTTCGAGCGGAAGCAAATATGTGTGGTATTACCCTAGAGTGAACAATCTCTGAGAGTAAAGACAAGTTCACGAGGTTGTTCTGTCTCTGCTCTGCAGTGCTATTTGAAGGCACATTCACACAAGAAATGTTTCATTTGAACTGTGCTTTTCCTTTCACAGAGTTGGTTGTTCCTTGCTTGCAACATGCCTGAAAAACAACAAGCATTGACGATATTAATGGAGTTTATGTGGCATGTCTCCTGGAACATCTCGTGAACATTTCATGGAGACAAAACTGGCCATGCCAACTGATCTAAAAATATCCCTGAATAGAATTCATAACATTTTGATGAGGATGAATGACAGCTATCAGGGTTCGTGTTTTGTAAGTACTTAGCAATGTGCTTATTCCCTGGCCCGTGTGGAAAAATGTACGACATGAGCCAGTGATACATGAATGACATCAGCTCCCATTTCCATGGTTCTTACAGATCCAAAAGGAGTCATCCCAACTGTGAAAATTGTTGCTGTTGTCATCACATTTTTTGCCTGCCCTTCACTACAAGGCCCAAGGGTGGGCTACAGCAATTTAAAATTCAGAATTAAAAACAGTGAACACAAACTGCAGTCACAGGAATAGGGTGGGCAGCTCCTTAGTGCCAACTGACTATGAAACATTGCAGTTATAGCAAGAAGGCAATTTTCTAGCTTTCCTTACATGATCTGTGAATGACATTACACAAAAACATAAGAAGAGACCTGCTGGATCAGGCCAATGTAATAATAATAATAATAATAATAATAATAATAATAATAATAATATATTTATACCCCACCCACCTGGCAGGGTTTCCCCAGCCACTCTGGGCAGCTCCCAGCAGAATATTAAAAATACGATAAAAATCAAACATTAAAAACTTCCGTAAACAAGGCTGCCTTCAGATGTCTTCTAAAAGTCAGATGGTTGTTTATTTACTTGACATCTGATGGGAGGGCGTTCCACAGGGCAGGCGCCACTAGCGAGAAGGCCCTCTGCCTGGTTTCCTGTAACCTCACTTCTCACAGCGAGGGAACCGCTAGAAGGCCCTTGGAGCTGGATCTCAGTGTCCAGGCTGAATGATGGGGGTGGAGACACTCCTTCAGGTATACTGGACTGAGGCCGTTTAGGGCTTTAAAGGTCAGCACCAACACTTTCAATTGTGCTCGGAAACATACTGGGAGCCAATGCAGGTCTTTGGACTGGTGTTATGTGGTCCTGGTGGCCACTCCCAGTCACCAGTCTAGCTGCTGCATGCTCACAGTGGCCAACTAGAAGCCTACAAGAAGTCTGCATGCAGGACCTAAGTGCTATAGCACTTTCCTCTACTCTGGTTTCAAGCAACTAGTATTTAGAAGCAGACTGCCTCCGACCATGGATTTGTCCTAATTCTCTTTTAAAGCCATCCAATCTGGTGGCCATCACTGCCTCCTATGGGAGCGATTCCAGCTATGTGCTGTGTGGCATATAGGTCAGTTGGTAGAGCATGAAACTCTTCATCTCAGGGTTGTGGGTTCGAGTCCCATGTTGGGCAAAAGATTCATGCATTGGAATGGGGTGGACTAGATGACTCTAGTGGTCCCTCCCAACTCTGCAATTCTTATGTTTCCGTATATTTGTAACTTGCTTTCTTAAGATTGTGTTTGTTTTCCTCCCCTTCCCCTTTTATATACCTGCAAGGTAGGCTTGGTTAATAAATGTATTTACCATATTTTTTGCTCCATAAGACCACCTAGTTTTTAGAGGAGGAAAACAAGAAAAAAATATTCTGAATCAAATGTTGTACTAAACTATTTAATAAACTACCGGTATATCAGAATAATATTTCACCCATGTAAAGTGAACAGCAGTCAACAGTGGCATTAAGAACCATCATCACTGTCATTAACAAATGAAGAGAGACTTTATCCCCTAGTAAGGGGAGCAGGCAATGGAAATATATGAGCATCCCACATTGAGTCCCTTAGCTCTAAGGACTGTATGGTTTGGCCCTACACAATTATTTTAATAAAACCATTGCAGATAGCTGTGGGGGCTTTCATATGAGGGAGGAATGAAGGAGAAATCTGATTCAATTCCCATTTAAAGTCAAACCTACCTAATTCACACCTTCGTACACAACACAAGGACCAAACCACAGCTGCCCTTCAAATTTCACACTTCTGCAAAGGAGGGCACTACTGACCCGGCAAGACCAGTGGCAGAGGGAGGGTCTTGTGTGGCGGCATGTTGCCACAGGCGACGTGGGATGTTACCCATGCAAGCATCGTCCCAAGGAAGTGGCGCACGCGCGCCCATCCCAATGGGGTGGCCGAGCACGGAGGTGGAGGGATTACACAGCTCCCGCTGTGCTTGCTTTACACCCGTGTAAGCGGCTCCTGTCCCGCTTTGCTGCTTTAAAGTGAGCCGTGGAGGAGGGATGGACGAGAGCTATGCCTCCCATCTGTCCCTCCTTCGCGCAGCATTCGCTTCATAAGATGCACAGACATTTCCCCTTACTTTTTAGGAGAAAAAAGAGCGTCTTCTAGAGCGAAAAATACGGTAAGCAGCAGCACTTGTCAACAGATTGCCTGGCGAGAATCCCTTACAGACAACTGCAGCACCTGGAGACAGAAAGTCAGGTTGTGCATCCACAGCAGTGACCACTGTGAGGAGAACCATGGTGCATCTGCAATGGCGCAACTGGACACCTTCATCTTCCTCAGCTGCAATAATAATAATAATAATAAATTATTATTTATACCCCGCCCATCTGGCTGAGTTTCCCCAGCCACTCTGGGCGGCTTCCAATCGAGTGTTAAAAACAATACAGCATTAAATATAAAAAACTTCCCTGAACAGGGCTGCCTTCAGATGTCTTTTAAAGATAAGATAGCTACTTATTTCCTTCACATCTGAAGGGAGGGCGTTCCACATGGCGGGCGCCACTACCGAGAAGGACCTCTGTCTGGTTCCCTGTAACCTCACTTCTCGCAATGAGGGAACCGCCAGAAGGCCTCAGCACTGGATCTCAGTGTCCGGGCTGAATGATGGGGGTGGAGACGCTCCTTCAGGTATACAGGACCGAGGCTGTTTAAAGCTTTAAAGGTCAGCACCAACACTTTGAATTGTGCTCGGAAATGTACTAGGAGCCAATGCCAGAAGTGGGCTTGCAGAATGCTCAATCCACATACAGTGTACTGGGCTCAGGAAAGTTTTTTGGCATTCCTAATCCTGTCCCTGAATTGGCTGCTTCACTCTGGCCAATGGTTGGCTGGCCCTGCTGACGCAGCAGCCATGTCTTACTGAGGTCGCAGTGCTAGATATGTGCTAAATCTTAATCTTTATTCCAAAACATCAGCAGCTGGCACCTTGCCATTAAATATGCATATCCGCACCGCTGTCAATCTTGTCTTAGTGGAGGATGTATAATTTACACATAATTTCAGTTTGTTGGTAGCATTGCTCTGATCAAACACATCTTAAAATTAATATAATAACAATTAGGGGGAAAACAAATCTAAGCTGTCCTCAGGGCCATTTGGAATAAACAGGCTCAACATCTCACTTCCAAACCTTGAACAGCGGGGCTCACTGCACTGCAAACTAGAGTATTTTTCCCACCCCCATAAAGGACTAGGTCATATTGTAATGTCTTCTTCAAAAGCCATTGACTGCTAACTTCTTAACCATTTAATACTGGAGCAGTGCCCTACATCTGAATGGGGCAACTGGAGATGGCAGCTTTCAGGATTATTCTCCCCACCAGTGTTACTATGAGGGCAAATGCACATCATACCTATCCATTACTCTGTGCCTGCAACATCGTTGGGCAAAGGGGCAAGTGGACCATTGCAGCCCGGGCAGCCAGATGAGAAACCCCTATGTAGTGAGAGACTCTATCAAGCTGAATGCACATGATGCTGTATTTTAAATATAAAATTAAAAAGTAGGCTCGCCTCGCAGCTTCATTGTAGATCTTTAGGTGCCAGGTGCAAACATTTCTCTTCAACTAGGGCTGATTAACATGGGTCTGCAGAAAAGGAAGTTATTGGTTTGTTTTGCTATGGTTTTATGATGTTTATTTGCGTTTTGATTTTGTATTTTTATGATGTGAACTGCCATGTGATCTTTGGATGAAGGCTGGTATACAAAACACACACACACACACACGTTACATTTTCCTAGTTAATTAATTCCTAGGGATACATTTTCCTAGTTAATTAATCAGGGTGCAATACACACCCACCCTGGTAGGGTTTTGTGGAGTGGAAGAGTCACTACTGCATACACAGCCCAGCTGCTTATGGGAGCTGTGGTGGAAGATAGTGGGCAGGATGATTGGGTCTGATTCCAGCTCCAGGCTGGTGCAGTGATTTGAGTCCAGATTGGGCCCAGTGCATCTGTGTGATGCTGCTCAGATCAGGCCCAATGCCAGTTCAGCACCACCTCTTCCCTATTGCAATGCCCTGTTTGGGGGCATTTTTGCTGGCCAATGCTGGCAAAGAACCCACCAGCGTTCCTTCTGCCCTTACGTTCTGTGGCTCTTGGTTGCCAGATGAGGGGGTAGAGCTGAGCAAAAGGAACTCTGCCCTTTGTACAACCCCCCAGCCCAGTGTGTGTGTGAGTCGGGGTGGGTGGGTTGGATTGCTCTGGCCACCGGTTTATGTCTTTCATGTATGAAACAGCCACACAAAATGAAACTCTCTAGACAGAGCTTCTGTATGATCTGGCGTCAACTCAGACACAATGGGTGGATTGCCAGTTCCTGTGAGCAGAATTCCACTCATTGGATGCTCTCTGCCTGCAGCCCCTTGTGTCCTCTTCACATCCTTCCTTAGAATATATTCTTTTTCAAAAGCCTAACGAGAATTTTGGCCAGTTCTTGCAGAGATAAAAAGATGTGCTTTGTTTGAAAGAGAACAATGTGGCTCCAGCCATTCATCTGAGGGCAAAGACCACCACATACGTATTGCCTGAAGGTATTCAGCATATTACTTATTTGGGATGGATTACCTTGTCAAACTATAAACCATCACTGTCTTTTACAGTGTACTGCAAGTTTAGAGTTTTCAATAAATCAAAGTTCGTTCTCTCTCTCTCTCACACCCACGCACACACACACACACACGCTCTATTTTCTGCCTTATAGGTCAGTTTTAATTAAGACATTTTAATCAAGTTCCAGGTCTGGTAGCGTAAGAATTAATCTTGGCAGTATTTTTGGATATAAACAAGCTGTCTGCTTTGTTTTTTCAATTTAGGTTTTAAAGAGCAAAGCAGAAATAACATAAAAGATCGTCAACTCCACCTCTAATTATGAGACTTAAGGTAACTAATTATGAAAGTTTTACAAAGTTTTTTTCCCCTTTACCCCAAAATTAATAATTGCAAACACATCCACAGGCATTTTCAAGAAGGCCAGAGACAGGACAAAGGACCAATAAATGGATAACAAAGAAATCATTTATTAAGCCAGTGCACCAAAAATAGAACTGATATGGATCTTCATTCCAACACCTCCAAATTCTTAATCAAAATATTTCTTTGTGAATTTTAATGTGAAATATTCTCTGGTGTTTGGATATTCTCCAGTTGTTGTCCAAATATTGCCTATGGCCTAGTTTGCATATCAACCTTGACCCAAACCATGTCTAAGTGTGAATGTGTGAATGAGCAAGGATGTGAGGATGCAGAGTGAAAATTTTGGCTGCTTTGCTCCTTCTCAGGTCCGGTAGTTACTGCGCAACCCAGAGCCCAGTCATGGCTTGGCTGAGTACTATGTGGGAATCCAGGCTCATGATTTTTCTTGCTGCAGATGTAGTCAAGGTTTGATCTTGGCTTACTGCTTATAGTTTGTTTGCGGGAGACGTAACGTGATCCTGAGTCCAGACATTCTTCTAAATCAAAGTATAGCTTAGTTCAGGATAAAATGACAGCAGCAGGAATAGGGGAGGAGTGAAGTGGCTGGTTGTTCATTCTGTCGACCCACATGTTTTCCTGTCCACCTGAAGGTCATGTTCACTTCAGAAGATATTTTACAATTCACAGCTGATTAGATTTCCTATGTGAAGTGTGCCGGAATCAAAATATTCAAGATATATTCAAGAAAGATTTGTATTTTTAATCTGGGAGTTTAAAATTTTACGCTCAAAATGTGAATTTTGCTTAGAAAACGTCTCATTTAAAAACAAAAGGCAAAATGGGAAATTGCTGGATTTCAAATAGGAGAAAAAATAAACAGCAAATATCTACCTTAGACCCAACACAGCCCTAGCTTATGCATTCCAGTTTGTCTTGATGGACATCATCTGGCCTTCGTGTGTTCTGTACTGTAGAAATATGCAGACTCCAGCAAGTATCCAGTGAGAGAGAAGAAGTTGTTTTACCTGATTTAATATAAGTACAGGAAAAGGATTGCTTTAAGCAAATAAGAAATATCTGCATCAGGCCCTTCTCCAGAGAGGGTGTGCGCCTTGCTTCTATGGCTATTGCCAAGAGGAAGGAGAAACCTCTTATACCTGTAACACAGAGAGACGATACTTTAATTCAGTGAAAACTGGGACTTTCCTAATCCCTGTTCTGATTAAGTGGGATTTTAAAGAGCTCTAGTTTGCAAGGCATAGTTCTTTTCCTTCCACACAGGATTCAGTAGTATCCAGTCTCTGTCGTTCAAAAGGGAAATTAAGCCTTGCTAGCCTGAAGGGAGAAGCGAAGCCATGCTAGAGATATGCAGGAAGTGGCCTTGAGTTAACTTTTCCATTATATTGAGACTAAATTTATGAACATAGGTTTCCACATATTTTTTCAGGTTTCCAGGGCTATGCTTTGTTATTAAGGAGCGGTCTTTTGATTAACTCAGCTTCTTCATTTGTAGCCAGTGTTAAATTTACTGGCCTGATTTTTCAGCTGAAGTGTTTTATCACTTGTCTTTTATGGTTGTCATAATAATAATAATAATAATAATAATAATAATAATAATGCTGTTTTTTAACATATTAATTAGATTGCAAGCTGCCATAGGCATTTCTTCTGAAAGGAAGGATAAAAATCTTTTGAAGGAAGCAAATAAAACCAACAATATCCAGAGATCCTATACTTTTATAGAGGTAGTTTTGTTGATGGATGCAAAACTGTCCAGAAATAAAGTGATAAAAGAAGCTACTTTCCCCTAAAATGTAAGTTTTCTTTTCTTTATCATGTGCTTTACAGACTACCGTACATCCTCCAAAAAGAGCTATGCCCATTTTTGAGACTATTCTTCAGCAGCAAGGTTAGTTCTGCCCCCTTTCATAACATGAAGACGTATCAGCGCAGAAAATGTCCAGTAGGAATAAAAATCTGAAATAGTGTGAAAGGATCAGTCAGTTTGGGTTCTCTCCATTTCCCATTTTTCCAATCAAAAATTCAGTTCTCCATATATCTGCAATTTGCAAATTATTATTTTTTACATCCTCATAGAATTCTTCAGCATTTTAGGGCAAATGTCTTCTAATAAATATATTTTTCAATGCAGTTTTGACTAATGTGCAGACTGTAAGCAACTTCTCCTAGAACTATGCATTTTTGTATATTATATTCTGTAATATATTCATTTTTTTGGTAAACATTGGTTGGAGAACTGCATTGTAAAAAATTGGATTAGGTGCAAATTTTGAAGGATGCCCATTTTTCAGTTCTCATATTGTTTCTGGAACATGCAAATTTGATAAATGTGAACTGAACTGATTCTTCCCCCATCCCTACTCTGGAGGAAAACGGGGTTGCTACGATGGAAGAGGACCTCTAGCTTAAGGTAAACTTTGGGCTATAGCTTCTTGGCCTCTTGGCTGAGATCAAGGTTCATTTGTGCTACTGCTAAAATAACTGAATGTTATGTCTAATAAGTCAAAGATGCGAGTTCACAGTGGTGTCAGGGCCAATGGCTGACAGAAATAATTCCACAATTGTTCATAACACAGGGTCTACAAAAACATTTGTAGATGCTGACCTCCATCTCAGCATGCTATTTCCACTGACATTTGACCCTCATGGCACTTATACAAGCTACAGTGATTCCTCTGGGTTGCTACATCCATTTTTTAAAGCTTTTCTAATGCAGCCTCATAAGAAAAAGCAAAACACACTTAGGCTCTCATACAGATAATGTACACAGAGCATTTTGGTGGGTACTTCTGTACATGTTAGAATACCATGAAAAGCACATGCCAAAATGTAGTTGTCCCCCAAAATCTATTTTGATGTAACATCTGCAACCCACCAGAAGGCATTTGAAGTAAACCTGTGATTACAGATATAGAATACTTTGGAAAATGAATGATTTAATGCTATTAATGGCTACAAGTCAAAATGGCTGCGTTCTACCTCCACTGCCAGATTCTTCACTCTGAGTTTGAGCGTAATATCTAATCCTATCATGGCACCCAGTTATACCAATACCAAAACTGGCTGAAAGCCTGAAAGCACTTTTCATGAATTGTCCTGTTGAAACCTATAGGTATTACATTTAATACTTATGCAATGGTTTCATGATTGTGGCCATTTCGGGCATGTTGAGGCTGCTGCATTCCTTTGTCATTAGTCTTAAGTGTGGGATGCTCTTCTGGGTAGATTAACATTTCTAATCCTTTGATTGAATAATATTAGTAAGACTCAGAATCTATACTCTCCAACATTTCTCCAAATAGGGACATTCCATTCCATAATGATACTTTTTACTATTTATACCCCTCACATCTTACTGGGTTGCCCCAGCCACTCTGGGCAGCTTCCAACATATATAAACACATAATAAAACATTAAACATTAAAAAAACCTTTCCTATACAGGATTGCCTTCAGATGGTTTGGAGGTCAGATAACTCCATATCCTCCAACATTTCTCCAATGAAAATAGGGACGTCCTAAGGAAAAGCGGGGCATTCTGGGATCAAATCAGAAACCAGGATGGCTTCTCTGAATCAGGGACGTCCCTGGAAAATAGGGACACTTGGAGTGTCTGAGAATCAGTTCATAATTCTACTGACAAGGAAGAGGATGAATTCCCCTGCCCAATAATACTAGAGCAATGTATTTTACAGCCTATAAACTAGATAAAACTGTGTTGATCTCTTGATTAATCTACAGGTGAAACATTGTACCCTAAGTTTGGGAAGTTGGAAAGGCCATAGGCTGTGAAGAAGGTCTTGGGAAGGCCTGTAGCCCTGTGCATCTGCCTTGCCTGCGGAAAGACCCAAATTCAATTCCTGGCATATTCACGTGGGGCTGGGTGAAAGGCCTGCTTGAATTCCTGGAGGACTTCTGCTAGTCAGTGTGAATACTGAGGCAGATGGACCAGTCCACTGACAGTGTCCTATGTTGAGTTTGTTGTGGGTCATAATTAGAATTGTATTAATTCTAACTCCTCCTCCTCCTCTGGAAATACTATTTGGGGACACTTACCAAGTTATAGTACACTTCCTGTGCTCCTGTGTTGAGTGACACTGAAAGCTCACTGTTCATAGATTTGTAAAAGGCTCGCTCTTCATCAACATTTAGTCCATTGCCTAAACATCAGTCAGAAGGCAAATTTACACATAGATATTAATTTGTTGATTACTGTATCATCTAGAGATGACATGTATGTGTGAACAGGCCACGAAAGATATAACACAGTCACTTTCCTGTCACACCAAATGCAATGCTTCTCAATGGAGTTAGTTCAAACAACCAGATGCCAGTGCAGGAATCATGTTTAGAGAAATGAATTTGCAGATGTGAAGCAAGTCTCCACTACACATATTTCTATAACTGCATTCTGGAGATTGTCCATTTTCCCATTTACATATGCTGGGAAGATCGAATTTTCACATATGAAATAAGAAGCCTTGGTTCAAGAGCCTTGGTCTTAAAAAAGCAAAACAAAACAGTGTATAGTTTACATGCCAATAAACTAGTTGATATGTTTTTATAGGGACTAGACCAGATATTACAAAACCTTTTTGCATGGAGTAGCTCAAGTGGGCTTGTGGATATAGTCATATGGAGGATAATAATAATAATAATAATAATAATAATAATAATAATAATAATTTATTATTTATACCCCACCCATCTGGCTGAGTTTCCCCAGCCACTCTGGGCGGCTCCTAATCAAGTGTTAAAAACAGTACAGCGTTAAATATTAAAAACTTCCCTGAACAGGGATGCCTTCAGATGTCTTTTAAAGATAGGATAGCTGCTTATTTCCTTCACATCTGAAGGGAGGTTGTTCCACAGGGTAGGCGCCACTACCAAGAAGGCCCTCTGTCTGGTTCCCTGTAACCTCACTTCTCGCAATGAGGGAACCACCAGAAGGCTCTCGGCGCTGGATCTCAGTGTCCGGGCTGAATGATGGGGGTGGAGACGCTCCTTCAGGTAAACAGGACTGAGGCCGTTTAGGGCTTTAAAGGTCAGCACCAACACTTTGAATTGTGCTCAGAAACGTACTGGGAGCCAATGCAATCTCTCAGAACCAGTGTTATGTGGTCCTGGCGGCCACTCCCAGTCACCAGTCTAGCTGCCGCATTCTGGATTAATTGCAGTTTCCGGGTCACCTTCAAAGGTAGCCCCACGTAGAGCGCGTTGCAGTAGTCCAAGCGGGAGATAACTAGGATGTAACTCATAGAACCACCACTTCAAGGCAAGCAATGGTGGACTAAAGTGATAGCTTTATCTGCATGGACCAGGCACAATGCCCTTTACATGATTGTGTTAGTGTGCTCCCCATGGACTAATTTACTACAGAATGAGTCCTAATACAGCATTGACATAGTACAGTGATGGGAAACCTGTGGTCCTTCAATTGTGGTGGTCCTTCAACCCCAGTCAGCACAGCCAATGGTTACGGGTGATGAGTGTTGCACTTCTGGAGGGCCCTCATCCCTGGCATAGGATATATCTTTAGACAAAGTGGAGAATAAAGAAGGTGGAAGCTTTATTTCTTCTATCAGTAATAATAGCTTAGAGCTTACCTTGTGGTGGTGATATGCTTTATCTGTGAAATTTCAGGACAGGATGAGCCAATGTATGTCTGCACTTTCCAGGAAGGCGATGCTTAACCCCAAACAAAACGTTTGCCAGCTCATCCCACAGTTCTGCAGACTTAGAGACAAAAGCTTAACTATTCTTAAATGGAAAAACCAACTTCATACAATAGTGGTTAGGACAATCCAGGAAGAAAGAAAAAGGAACAATGAATGTACTGATCTTCTATTCAGTTCTTAGAATGACATGCACTGGAATTTCTCACAACTGATCCCTTGCAAACAGCATGGCTTTTTGGAGTCAAGAAATGAAAAAATAGTTAAGGTTATACAACCTTATACAAGCATGGAGTTATATAGGAAAAGAATACAGCTCAATGTCATTTTAGCAAACAAATTAGTATGTGATAACACTCTAGGACTCTGCAAATCTGGAAATGTTCATGATTTCTTAGTGCAATGAAGAATAGTGGAAACATGTAATTATGAGCTGATATTGTTAACTGGAAAATCGCACGGTCTGATAGCATTGCTGACTCAAAAGAATGGGATTTATGAATAATTTTGATCCCCATGAAATGCTTTTTCCTTCAGTGTTAGGCATTTTCAGAAGCTTTTATGTACTATCACCAACAACTATTATAATACAAATGGTATCTGAAACAAAATGTTGCAGTGTGAAATGATCCTATTCAGGGTTCCAGCCAGCCTGCCAGCCAGACTCCATTCCAACTTACCTCAGTTCTCTGTTTCTCTTTTCCAACTGAGATTCAATATTTCATGACTATTGAACATGGCCAGTCCTCATCTTTGAGTTCTTCCTGCAGTACGGTTTTTATTAATCTCATGCTCTAAGTAGCAGATAGTCTGAATGGCTCTGCACTTCCAGATTCAATCTTGGCTCTTTCCTCTTTTTTCCTCCGTGAGACAAAATACAGTGGTACCTTGGGTTACAGATGCTTCAGGTTACAGATGCTTCAGGTTACAGACTCCGTTAACCCAGAAATAGTATCTCGGGTTAAGAACTTTGCTTCAGGATGAGAACAGAAAATGTGCTCCGGTGGTGCGGTGGCAGCGGGAGGCCCCATTAGCTAAAGGGGTATCTCAGGTTAAGAACAGTTCCAGGTTAAGAACGGACCTCCAGAATGAATTAAGTTATTAACCTAAGGTACCACTGTATATATGAAGTCTTACTGTTTCTGTTTTGCCCCCCACCTTGCCACCTGAGGGTGTAATTTCTCAAGCTTTTTCTTATTCTGCAAATCTCAAGTTTCCTTCTAGCATGTTAATATTACCCTCCCTCTTCTTTTTGGGTGCTTCTGTTTCACCTTCAGAATGATGGGCATGCATACCTGAATTTCACTATTAATTGGAACGATTGGGAAATTGTGCAATTTTGCCGATGTGTGTGAAGGGACAATGCGCTCCACTCCTAAAGCACTGAAGAACTAAATTGATGGTTTGCTTGTTCCCAGAGCTGCCAATGTGTCTCTACACACACGTGTGAACACATACCTGAACACACACCTATTCGTGGAAAATGCTGTGTGCTCATACACAGACAAGGCTTCCTTGACAAAGATTTCCTTCTCACTCTGTGGCATTTAGCACTAACCAATAAAAAGCCAAAGGGACGCGGGTGGCGCTGTGGGTTAAACCACAGAGCCTAGGACTTGCCAATCAGAAGGTCAGCGGTTCGAATCCCCGCGACGGGGTGAGCTCCCGTTGCTCGGTCCCTGCTCCTGCCAACCTAGCAGTTCGAAAGCACGTCAAAGTGCAAGTAGATAAATAGGTACCTCTCCAGCGGGAAGGTAAATGGCATTTCTGTGCGCTGCTCTGGTTCACCAGAAGTGGCTTAGTCATGCTGGCCACATGACCCGGAAGCTGTACGCCGGCTCCCTCGGCCAATAAAGCGAGATGCGCACCGCAACCCCAGAGTCGGCCACAACTGGACCTAATGGTCAGGGTTCCCTTTACCTTTAATAAAAAGCCAATATTCGTGTTTTTGCTCTGGAATGCTAGAAATAAACACAATGGGGTTACAAATTTATTATTTATTTATAACACATAGAACAGTTTATGAATAATAATAAAAATCCCCAATGACTTTTGCAGGTTGACATGTTGCTTCAGAAATATATTGCATTACACAAGCTAAGCCACCCATGTTGCCTGAACCATGCAAGGCTACAATTGCAGAGATTGCAGCAGGGTGTCCTAGAGGTGAAGAGTTGCCTTATATGGAAATAGGAGGTGGAGCTGTAGGGCTTTACTATGGGGAAAAGATGTGGAATCAGGAAGGAAAAAGCATTAGTTTTCCCAATCTTGCAAAACTTTAGCTTTCCTGATCTTGGCAAAAGGCCTTGGCAAAAAGTTTCCTCACAGCAACCTAGAGATGTACCACCATGTATGGGCCAGGTGATGTATTAATGGTTCTGTCCTTTCTATTTTAACCTTGGGAAAATATTCTGCTTTTAGAAATATATCGATGGCTGTCTCTGCCCAGAGGATTCCTGACTAGTTCAGAGGAAAATAACAAACATGGTTCAGAGGCAGGAAAAGTGGAAAGGAAGGAGGCCAGGAAGGATCTAGCTAAAGTTTAGAGAGAGAAGAGCCAATGTCTTTTCAAAATACTGTATATATTTTTGTTGCAAAATTACAAAAGTAGGTAACAATAACTCTGGAGAGAGAAAATTCATCATGTGGTGTAATATTATACATAGTCAAGTTCAAAGGTATTAGCCAATTTTCACAAAGGGATACACCATATGAAAAAATGGTTTGGAGCAGCCTCCTGGTGTATGTATCTGTACATATGTATAGAATAATATAGTTTACTACAGTATAATATACTTTATATATAAACAAAACAGTGATACAATTGTGAATCCAGTTATAGTAAACACCTATTGTGTAACCTCATCCTGAATTTGAAATGTCTTTTTCACAAAAGATCTCGGCTTGGACCTGAGTGCCATTGCAAAACAAAAGGAAAACAAATTATGCAGCTTCACAAGGCATGTCAAAAGACACAATGACGGATTCACTCTTTAACAGACATTTGCACCTGTATGGATTTCTATTTACGGTGCATCTGTTTGCAAAACGCAAGCCTGTCATCACACTTTACATTTTTAGGTACACATAGAAAACATTTTAGTTCTTGAGTATGAAAAAGTCTATATGTGAAGTAGCCTTTATTTGTCCCCAGCTTTAGTCAAAGAAGAATAGGCTAAACTATCCTGTACACCAGTTATTTGTTTTTGCCGTTAACACTGTTCTCAAGCCTTCACGGAAGTTGCATGCTACAAGTCTGTTATTTTAATTATCACGTTTCCATTTTTCACCAGTTTGCTCAAGCGTAATACAATAAAACGATTATGAATGGGGCAGATGAGTGAACACTGACCGCATAATCATAAACAGTGGGTGATTCATACTGGGCAGACACAAAATTAAGCTTATCAGGGGGACTACTCCCAGGAGGTATCTGGTTGTCAGACAATTGGCTTTTCAGTAAGCATGATTTCTTTACCAGAGCTACGCCTTCCTGTCATGCCAAGGCAGGTAGATCTAATCATTCTCATTCATGGTGGTTAGGAAACCTGATGGAATAATCCATCCTGAATGTTCTTCTCCAGCTCTGTATACATTTGGGAGAGCAAAATAATTTCCTTGCTGTAGCAGGCCAAGATCCATCAAGACCAACAGCATTCCCTCTCCACCTGTGGCAAGTGTGAGGCTGTCATGGCTACCAACCAAGACCAGCCTTATCATCAGGCAAATGGAGGTGGCCACCTCAGGAAAACCTAGCAGCTTCCCCACACCCTGCAAATTCCCAACATGGCTGCACAAGTAATTCCTCCTAGGTAGATGTGGTGCACCCTGCTGGAAAATGTGATGGTGAGGACAAAGCATGCACAAAACCAAAGGATATACAGTGGTACCTCGGGTTAAGTACTTAATTCGTTCTGGAGGTCTGTTCTTAACCTGAAACTGTTATTAACCGGAAGCACCACTTTTGCTAATGGGGCCTCCTGCTGCTGCCGCGCCGCCGGAGCACGATTTCTGTTCTCATCCTGAAGCACAGTTCTAAACCTGAAGCAGTATTTTTGGGTTAGCGGTGTCTGTAACCTGAAGCGTATGTATCCTGAAGCGTATGTAACCCAAGGTACCACTGTATACTGGACCTTACAGCAAATGTTCAGTTTTGGCCTCATTTCAATTTTTTTGAGTTTCATTTTGAGTCGCATATTTTCAACACCACGGAAAGAGGCAGCAGGTGGCATGGAATTGTGGGTAAGTGTTCGTCAACCTTAAATCACCAGATGTTGTTAGGCAACAACTCATATCAACCCCAGCCAATAGTCAGGATCCAGGGATGATGGGAGCTGTAGTCCAATGGCATCTAGGGGTAGGTTGAAGAATATAATCGGTGTCGATTATATTTAATCTATCTTCTGATATGAAATGAAATATTCAGGGGTTCTATGAACCTTGATGGAAGGGATCACCATTTGCTGCTCGGTCTCAGGCAGCAAAATGTCTTAGGCCAGTGCTGCTATCATCTCTGAAAGTTTGTTGATCAGTCCTTGAGGCATTCAGCTGTCCTATTTTTTTACACCTTGAATTGCAAGAAGGCCTTTGTTATAGGGATTCTTGGTGCCCACAGCTGGAGATCTACAAAGGTGAAGGCTGCTAACCAGGCTTGTATTGTGGCCTGACAGGTACCTGACTTGGTTCTTGCAATTCCATTAATGTTACCAAAACAGGAGAATTACCACATTTTTTGCTCCATAAGACAAACTTAGTTTTTAGAGGAGGAAAGGGGGAAAACCCCGGTTTTTGGGGGGATCAGCTCACAGTTGTGCAGCTTCTTTTGCAAAGGGGAAAAGCCCCAATTTTTGAGGATCAGCTCAAAGTTGTTGAGCTTACTTTGCAAAGGGAAAAAATCCTGTTTTTATGCAGTTCAACTCACAGTTCTGCAGCTTCTTTAGGAAAGGAAAGGGAGCCATTTCTACATTTTCCAGACAGATAATCTAATCAGCCAGTCGCATGTCGCTGGGGAAACAAACAGCCTCTGTCTGTAGAACATTCAACAATGGAGGCCTGGGCAAGGGGGCGGGGCCAGAAAGGGAGCCAGCTATCGACCACACATTCACTCCATAAGACTCACAGACATTTCCCCAAACTTTTTAGGAGGAAAAAAGTGTGTTTTATAGAGCAAAAAATACGGTAATATCCCACCTTTATTCCAATGAACTTGAGGCAGCATACAACACTAGAAAAGGTTGTGGGTTGGCATAACTAGAGGTCACAGCCCAGCTGCTGAAGGAGATTATAATATGCTAGGTGCCTTTGTATCACTTACGACCAATCCAATCAGGCTAGTGATTGTGTCACTGGGGGAAATTTTGTGCAACTAATAACAAAGGCAAGTGATGATGTTAGGAAAAATACTAGAAAGTCCCGTAGTACCCCGTTTGGTTGTTTGGGATAACCAGCTGGTCCAGATACCAGTCAGATCTATTAAGTGGTGTTTCTTAGCATTGCAATGCAGTTGATAACCTCTCACTTTGCCAGTTCAGTTAGTCTCAAGTTAGTCAGGAAAATAGTTGAAAAGGGGGCGACATTTTTCTACTAATTGGAAGAAAATTATTTAGGATACATTCCATGAATTCACTGTTAATTTTTAAAATATATTTCATTAAGATTTATATTAATAGAACATGCTAATAAAAAGGCATAAGAGTTATGCGGTTTTTTTATATTCAAAACATATCTCTTTCCCCTGACACACATTTCTAGGCCATCTATTTATGGTCTATCTAGAAAAGGTAATGAGAAGGCAAACCCAGTGCTAAGGGTGAGATGCATTAAAATGCAAATAATGAGTCCCATTTTGATCAGCGGCTGTAGTTTGTGTTGGATAAAAAGGCACCCAAGCAGTTTTCCCTTTGCTACTGTGACGGGTCACTGTTTCTAATCTCAGGGTCATGTCCATGTTCTACTCTTCATAATTGCTTAGGCTGACATCTATCTTGACCTTTATTTACTTTGCCCAACTAAGGCACTGGGGGGTAAGGAGGTCACATAAGCAAGAGGTATCACAAAACGTAATGAGAGCAAAAGAAGGAGGAATCAAACTCCTTTAGCATTTGGTGCAGGTATTTGCACAATGTGCTGCAGCTTAGTATTTTAACCCCTTCACAGCACAAACAATTCTCATGTTTTCTTGGGACTCAAAAGAGCTTTGCCCCCTTTTCTATTAAATCAGGGATGGGGAAGTTGCAGCCTTTTAACTCTGACTGGGACTACAACTCCCATCATTCCTCCTACTGGATGCGACTGATGGGAGTTGAAGTCCAACAACAGCTGGAGGTCTCCAGGTCCCACAACCTGGTTTTAAATAGTATTGATATTTAGTCTTGTGTACAGGCTCCATTCACTACAGTGAGGCTGGCGCAGGAGACATTCATACTGACGCCATACTTCTAGGTCTATAAATTACTATGAAATAATCGCAACATTTCATTTTATGACTGGTAGCAAATGAGCCAACAATACACCTGTTTGTTTGTTTTTTTAATCTCCCCATGCCCCCCCAAAGGCTTTCTGTTTCTTGTTAAAGGCATCCCCATTTCCATTGCTATTCTTTATTCATCTGCATACTTAAGGTTTCGTTTTTGACATTTACTAGACATAGCTTTCAGCCACCTGAGTCTTGGAGGATTTCTTCCTCATGGTGTTCATTGCTTCTCCCAGTGTTAATTATTGTGTACTTAAACACCCAAATCTAATCTCACAGACAAATATAATAGAGAGATTCATGGAGGCTACTAGACTAGCCATGAAGCCAATGCTCTGCTTTGATGATCAGAGGCCTTATGTTTCCGAGCACAATTCAAAGTGTTGGTGTTGACCTTTAAAGCCCTAAATTACCTCGGCCCAGTACACCTGAAAGAGCGTCTCCACACCCATCTTTCTGCCTAGACGCTGAGGTCCAGCACCGAGGGCCTTCTGGCAGTTCCCTCACTGAGAGAAGCAAAGCTACAAAGAACCAGGCAGAGGGCCTTCTTGGTAGTGGCACCTGCCTTGTGGAACGCCCTCCCACCAGATGTCAAAGAGAAAAACAACTACCAGACTTTTAGAGGACATCTGAAGGCAGGCCTGTTCAGGGAAGTTTTTAATGTGTGACATTTTGATGTATTTTTAATCTTTGTTGGAAGCCACCCAGAGTGGCTGGGGAAACCCAGCCCGATGGGCGGGGTACAAATAATAAATTATTATTATTATGATAACCAGATGCTGAAGAGGAGAGTGCCCTTGTGCTTGGGTCCAACTTGTGGGCTTCCCGTAGGCATCTGGCTGGCAACTGTGAGAACAGGACACTGGACTAGATGGGCCACTGGCTTGATTCAACAGGCTGTTCTTATATTCTTTTGTCAACATGGGAATGACCAGAAGTCACGACCTTGCTACCTTCTTCACATGTGGAGGAGAAAAACTGGAGAGGGCTTTTAACTATAGGATAGCCCCCTCTTTAGATATCATAATTTTGTTGTTGTTTTCAGCTACCTTATTAACCTCTATTTCCCTCTCTTCCTTTTTTTGCCAGCACGATAAACTTTCCCAGGCATGCAGCTTTGGTTGCTGAAAAATGGGGGTGGGGTGGGGGCGGGGCAGGGAATGAATAGATTTCTCAGCTTCCCACTGAGAACTGGCTTCCCAACCAATGTGGGCAGCAGTTACTCATATAACTTGTCTGGAGGAATTCATTCTCAAACAACTGATGGCTTTGCTCTCCTTATGCCATATGCTCATTGCCCTGATGATGTTATGGCTTCATGGGTGGTGCTATCAGACTACTGTCAGAAAAATAGTTCTTCAATGAAATCATTGCTACTAGGAAGAAAAACTGGTTCACCCGATAAATAAAAAGTGGAATTACCATACAGCAGCTATCAGCGCCTCTGACTCTTGTGGTAAGGAATAGATACCAGCGTAGGATTAGCAATGAGATGTTTGGTATCCCACTCTGACACAACTAAAATACAAAGACCAATTAAAAGCAACTATAAGCAAAACCATCACAAAGATAAAAATCATTGGTTTCGGTTAATTTGGTTGAAATTTTTTGACTGAATTATTGACTGAATATTGCAGTTACCCAACTTTCTTGTCTTGAGTCTTCTTGAGTGTGTTGGCAAAGCAACTTTATACAAAGTCATCACTAAAAACAAAGATAAAAATCAGTAAAACATTTAAAACAAATATTAACTAAATCACATGTTGGGGTAGGCTTGATGGAACAGAAAGGTTTCCTGATCTTCGGTCTAACGAAGGTGACACCCAGCTCTTTTTTTTGTTATGTACATGCATAGGAAGATAGGCAGTCATGTTATTCTGAATCAGACCATTGGTTTGTCTAGCTCAGTATTGCTGCCCTCTGGATTTTAAGGCAGAATATCTTTCCAGCCCGACTTGGAAACGTGGGGATTGAAGTTGGGACTTTCTGCAGCCAAAGCAGTTGCTCTGCCACTGAGCTTTGGCTCTCCCCGCATACTGTGACAATGACTAGAAAGTTTCTATAATGCAATAAGAGTAGGATTGTTGTTTTTTTGTTCATGGCAGTTGTGAAAGTTCAGGAGGGTGAGAAAAAGGACAAAAAACCAACTGCAAGGTCTCTTTTAAATGTACATAAGTAACTGACCAGGGAGCACCATGTGGACTAACCGTAAATGGATTTGATTAAAGAAATCCAGTTTAAAAAGGACTATAGATAATCTCCTGACAAACATTGCATATTGCTTCAGGTTCTCCTGTAATAAAAATGTTGTAGTAGCACAACAATCCTTGAAAGCAGGAAATGAAAGAGTCAGGGCTGGGCATTTTCCCTTTCTCAGGGCAAGGTTCCATTGTAATGTATTAAAAGGAGGAGAAGAAGAAATCTTCTGTAATATTCATATGATTCCAGCAAAGTAAATCCTATCAAAACAAAGTCATGTCATTCCAATCCCCATGCCTGACACAGGGCGGCTAAATAAACACACAGCTCTCCTGTGGCGTTTCCTTCCCTCTCCCCCTGCAAAATCTCAGTTGCTCAGCAGGACAGGTGTGTTGGCGGGGTGCCATTTTGCCCAAAGGGACAGACTGGAAGATACTCCATTTGATACAGCTTCCCACATGGATTTGAAAGCAAGAGGATGCTGAGAGGTGCTTTAGCTTCCTGATCTGGATTGTAATGCATGAGATGTTTGCGGTGGTGGAGAGGTGATGCTCTAGCTTCCTGGCAGTGATTGGCTGGGCTGCCATGATGTCACTGAAGGGTGATAGCAAACAGAAAGGTCTCTAGCTTCCATCACTTGACCTGCTTAGATCCCACAGACAGGGGCGGACTTTGGTAATACTGCACCCTGAACGAAGACAAACGTTCGTGCCCCCCCATCTGTTCTGCACATGCTCTGAAGTGCTTTACATCATAGTTTTGCGCTCCCTTGGCTCAGTGCTCTGTGTGGGGGTATTTCCCACCCCACCCCAAATATGGTGCTGCTAGAGAAGGTTAGAGCAAGCAAGGCATGCAGAGTAGTAAAAGTAGTAGTAGTAAACAGTGCCAAATTAAACCTGTAGAGGCCACTAAGAAGTTGAAATCTCGGGGGGGCCCTCACAAATTATTTTCTAATACGTTTTGGATTTTACCAACCAGAGAACAATTTTAATAAACCAATTTTATTACATAATTTTTAATACGTTGTTGAAGGACCCCTAAAAGGCATGCGTCCCATAGGCCGGTGCCTCCTCTGCCTATTTGGTAATCCGGCACTGGTACTAGAAGATCTAGATATAGGAAATAGATGCTAAAATGGTAGCAAGTGAAGAGGTTGGCAGAGGGAGTGGCTAGAATGAATAAGGGGCAGAACAGAGGAAGAAACTGGAGAACTGTAGAGAGTGTGGGCAGCTATACATGATCAGGAGTTGGATAGGGAAGGAAGACTGAAGTCCATGTTCTGATTTGAAATAGCCAAACTGTTGGCTCCTGCCATTGAGTATGTGCTGGAATGCAAGGCTGCATGCACACTAGACCTTTAAAGCACATTTGATGCACATCCCCCCAAAAAAATAATTCTAGACACTGTTTGTTAAGGGATGCTGGGAATTGTAACTCTGTGTGGGGTAAACTACAGTGCTTTCCATACAGAAGATTCCAGTTTCAATCACTGGCATCTCCCTGTGGCAGACTTTGTGCTGTTAAATTTCAGTGGCCTATTGTGTGACACTAAAATCCAGCACCCCTACAACCTCTTGGCCTCTATTCTACAGCATAGCTTGTGGCAACCCCAGTGCAGCCAAACTGGTCGTGCTACCCTAAAAACACCTTTGTATCTCCACTTAAAAAGGATCAGGGAGCAGATCATATAAAACATCTATGATTCTATCTCTGCCCAAGACCCTGGAGTGCTGTTGCGAGTCAGAATTGACAATACTGGGCTGCATGCACAAAGCTTGACTTGATATAAGGTGCTTCGTATGTCTAGCACTTAATTTGTCTTTGGATATCAGTTGTTGCACCATGGCTAGTAGGGGAAGGATAACATGCAGAAGAATGACATCTGGACATGAGAAAAATCATTGTAGTGGAGGTAGGTTGTCTGAAGGCTGCCATTTTCAGAGGCAGCCTGCCTTTATTGGGCCTTGTAGTTCTAAACTCCTACCTTTAAAATTGATAATGCAGGGAATTATTTATCTTCCCCCCTCCATTCCCCTGCCAACAACACAGACAGGGTCTTCTCTGGACTGCCATCTGAAATGTTTTAATAATATGTTTGTCAGGGAAGAGGTAGGATAACGATAAGGGCAATCTCAAGGAGGAAGGTTGGGAGAAGGGTGAGGAAGAAAAGGAATATTAGGAACCATTTAATCAGCTAGGTTATGTTAGTTTTGGTTTCATCTTGTTTGCCTTTGTAATAACTACAGTTATTCTCACACGGTGGCATTTCTGTTTTCTCCAGGATATATGTGCTGAAATTGAAAAAAAAAAATCCTATTGAATCAAAGCATGTAACGAGAAAATGTAATCCACTGATATTAAAAAAAGGAGCTTACCTTTATCTGGGTGTTAAATAGTACAAATCCGTGAGAGTCAGCGAATGTTTTGAAGTCAAAACAAAGGGCATTACGGCGGCTAAAGTGGATTTGTCGAAGAATTATATGTGATACTTTAGGAAAGGTTTAATATAAGGTCTAATACAAAGAACATGGAGAGAGACGGAGGGAAGAAGAGAAAGCAAGGTGAAGGCCACTTATTTGTTTTCTGCATCTTTAAGCACTGCAGGGAAATGAACAATGAAAAAATAGTCAACACTTATCTTGCTGGACATGTTTGGAAGAAAGGAGCCATAGCTCAGTGGAAGAGCATCTGTTTTGCATGCAGAATGTCCCAGGTTCAATCACCAGCATCTTCAGGTAATGCCAGGGATGTCTCCTGCTTGAAACCCTGGAGATCCACTGCCAGTCAGTGTAGACGATACTGAGCTAAATGGACCAGTGATCTAACTCAGTATAAGGCATGTTCCTAGAATGAGAAACCGGTGAATACTCTTGTATGTTCTTGACTGCTTCTCTGGGCTAAACCAGACTTCCTTTTGTTCTGCAGTTTCCTGGCACAGGCCCACACTTTCCAGGTCCAGGTCTCAGCATTTTCTTTTGGTCCTGCTGTTTTTCCAGGAAAATCTGCTGTTTACCGCTGAATTGGAACAAACAACAATCTGCAGAAACCCCAATTGCCACTTCTTCTGATTCAGTGGTAAACAGCGGGTTTTCCTGGGGAAAGTGGTGAGATAAAAAAACAAAAACATGGACACGAATCTGGAAAGCATATAGCAAAAGGAAGTCTGGATGAGCCCTCTGCGAATGGTGGGTAACAACAACAACAACAACAACTTTATTATTTATACCCACCCATCTGGCTGGTTTTCCCCAGCCATTCTGGGCAGCTTCCAGCACATATAAAAACATAATAAAACATCAAACATTAAAAAGTGGGTACAATAACCTACATTGACTTTTCAGCATAGATAGATGCTCTTTCATCTTTGTCAGTGATGAACAAACACTCTGTTGGGATGGGGGGGGGATTGGTGTTTGGGATGACCATTCTGGAGGAAGACTTAATCCAACCAGCCGTCTAACAGCATCCTTTTCTGTTTAAAAAGTAGAGATCTGTGTGTGACATCTAATTTGTCCCTAAATGTGTTAGAAAGAGAGAGACTTCTTGGACACAACCAGATCTGTGCATTTCTTGTTCTGTTCAGTGCTATGACAGTCCCAAAATATAAGGCAGATCACTTGGATTATTCTTGCATTGTTGAAGTTTAATTGCACTAGAATAAATGCATACATGGTGTATCTCATCTTCACAATGTTGTTATCTTCTTATTGAAATGAAAGCAAATGTGATTATTCAATTCCCAAGTAAAATGTGCTGCCATAGCACAAGCTTACTGCCAAATTGAGGGCAGCTAGTCACTTGGGCCACTTTTACGTAATTTAATGATCAGTTAAGAGCAATTGAAGGTGCTCAGATAAGCTACTGACCTTGATCTTTTGCCTCTTCTTGCTACATGAAAAGCCAGCGTGCCTGCACTCAAACACCACTTTATCAGTTTCCTGATAAGGAAACATCTATTGTGCATTCTTCCTATCTACTAGCTGGGAGCCTGGGCCATGAAGAATCAAATTTGCCTATTCTGTGCACACTGCTTAAAAGACTCTCAAGCAGTAAATTATGCCTGACTTCAAAGGCAAGCCTCACCAAGCCTCAAATTAAACCATAATGGAAGAAAAGACCAGAAGCAATCATTAATCTTGCTGAAGGCCATATTTTTCCATACAGTGCATACTTTTCAGGCACTAGGCCCATACAGAGAAAAATAGTTCACCACTGTGCATTAGATTTTGGAAACTAGCTGGGTCATTCTGCAAATAATAATTTCAAATTAGCAGAAGAGACATATGTAGCAAAAGAACACATCATTGTCAAGCTTCAATTTGGACCCTGATTCAGCACTTTAGGAAACAACTGACTTCATTCCGAAGTGCTTCATAGAATGCATAATTCGGTTTGGGGTCTGTCCAAATCTGCTTCATTTCTTCCTCCACTTCACTTTTTTTTTTGGGGGGGAGTGAATGGCTTTAATTTGATGACATTAACAGGCATGCTAGCCCTTCTAGAATGGACAGACTCTGCCATATTACAGTCAAATAGGTCCAGGGGCATTTGTGCTGGACACCTTTAAACTTTGAATTTTTAAAGAGTAAACCAATGAATTGAAATGATCAACCCATGTAGGGGGCCACATACTTTGCCCGCAGTGCCCCCATCTCTGCCTCCTTGGTTACTGATGTTCCTGGTGTTGAGCTGGTATGTTGAGTACAGACCTCCACATGATTAGGAACAATGCTGTATCAAACAACAAAAATCAACAAATGAAATATCTCTGCAGCATCTCACAGCTTATTTCCCTTTTATCTCCTTGTTTATGTCTCCCTACTTATCTAACTGATTTGCAGAGGCCCCAGATCATGACATAATTTAATTATTAGAATAATAATTGGCTCTTGATAGTTTCGTATCAAGAAACTACTCCCTACCCCTATTTTTTTTTGTGTTCTACTTTTGTTCTGCTTTGAGTTATAATACTTTCATTTCCATTATTGCTGATAGTTACTCTTTCAAATAATGGACAAAGTTCATCAAATGCTGACTGAAAAACGAAACAAGCCCCAAGCATGTAACTGACTAGAAGGGAGTGTATGGAAGGCTTGTGACTCAACTTCTCTGCTCCACCTCCCTGAGCAGTTCAGGCCCCTACTTTATAATACTGGAGACTCAGTGTCAAGATTTATTATCTTTTTGCGGCTAGGAAGTCCTCCAGCTGGTGATTGCACATATTTTTAAAATGTATGCACCATGAAAAAGAATGAGGGAAGTAGGGAAAATAAAATAAAATAAGCCAAAGCATTGTTAGCTGCCTTTTTTATTGCAAATATTACATTTAATAAGGTTGGCATGCCCTTCAAAATTTATTTAATTAATACTATTTGCTCCAAGCCCAAATTATGACTTCCCACATATATGACATATCTAATGAACTGTGAAAGGGAAGCCGTTCAGATGGTGACCAACAACCGATGCTTAGTTAATCTTTTAAATAAACTGGAGCTCACAATGTGTCCCTTTGAAGTCATAAATAATGTATATTTTTCTTTTGACTTTTAATAAGCCAGCAGAGTTCATCTCACAGTCTCCAAACACATATATTTTATTATGGGCCTCTGCAGTTTACTTTAATTAGTGTGTCTGAGTGCTTTGGGAGACTTAGCCCTACTGAAAACAAACAGAGTCTAACCATCTATAAAACATTAGCTCCCTTCGGTTTATCCTGATGCAGCCGAGCCTCAGTGAGAAACACATGGTGTAAGTAAACACTCATAATTGCATTAGAATTCCCTGGCGTATCGGTAATTCAAGCTCAGCTTCATGAGATTGTCAAAGCAGTTAGAACAGGTTTACCAATCTGAACGTCTTTGGGGATTTTGTGAAATTCCACTCGGAGAGAACTTTAAATGACAAATCTAATAGATACAGCAGATGACAGAACAAGCCCTCAGAAGCTCCGAGATGGAGGCATGGTGTTAAAAAGAAAAGCTCCTGTGGTGAAATTGAATTCTTCTCAGAGTTTCTGAAAATTGCCATTCATCAGTATTTGAATGCTCCGGAGAGAGTAGGTGTTTGCCTGTCCCAATCTAACTTCCCCACATTTCTATTTATAAATCTATCTTTCTTGAGTGTGAGAGATTATGGATCTCAAATGGTACATGGAAAATAAAGCAAACATCTCATATAAAAGCATGACTCATTAGTTCTAGAGAATGGTGGGTGTAAAGGCACATGATACAGCCACCATGTAGCTTAGGAACCCAGTGGAAAACATCTTGAGTTTCTGGGAAGAAAGGTGAACCAGGCAAGCAAGAAAATAAGATAGTTTTAAAGCAATATAAGAGTTACCACAAAGATGAAGAAACTGGGGTAGAAGTCATCTCATGATGGAGGCAATAGCCAACTGTACTGGGTGAATACAGTTGGCTATTGGCTCTATCCTGAGATGACTTCTACCCCAGTTGAATATTCACATGCAGCCAGACTTTTGCAAATTGCTCCCCTTATATCTGAATCACTGAATAACCTAAATTTGGAAACTTCCAATAAAACAAATGCCCCAATTACAGTATGGCCTATAGTCTGAACCTGTACTGAACCAATGTATAAAACTGGTACACACCGATGCAGCTTCTGGGAAGTGTCCTTAGAAATCAGCAGTGGAGTGGGGAGAGAGATGTTTGCATGAGTGCATTATGGGGCAACCTGAACCTTTAATAACTCAATGGGAGCACTTTCTATAGGGGTACTGTTAAGGTATATACAATATGACAGGCGGCACTGGGCATGGCAAGAGAGTTGGTAGCCATCAGGTGATATTAGGATCTTATGTCAAGATGAAGGGGAAGCAAATATTGAATAAGGAGATTGCACTTTGTAGGGAAAACCCCCCATTATGCTGTATATTTGCCTTTTTTATGTAAGAAATTTATCTAAAATATTTTAAGCTGGCCCCCTTCATTGTGTGTGAAATGTGGAAATTTTCCCATAATAAATGGAATGTGTCTCTGCATTCTAAAGAAACCTACTGGCTTGTTAGTAAGCCTATTGTTATTATGGTATTCATACTGTAGATGTAGCTGCTTGCCAGCAGAAATAAGGGAAAGTTCAAACTGCCCTTGAAGTATTTTGTCCAGGCTAGCTATTGATTAATTCTATGATTCTATCATAATTATAGTGAATGTGTATTAAACTGAGGATGGTTTCGATTGCCAGTTGTTTCTATCCGATAATGTCAAAGCAATAAGCAAGATTCACCCAAAGTTAAATATGTGTCCCATCGATTTCCATGAGAAAAAATTAAACACATCCTGATCTTGTGGAAAACAATGGCAATAAAATGTGCTTTGGGTCTGGTTGGATTATTCTGGCTCTTTATTTATCTGTCTACAGACCAGTCATCAACAAAGGAATATGATTTGCATTAAATGCAAAGATTGCACAAAACTGTTAAGAACTGCAAACACTTCAAAAGGAAATGATCCATATTGAAACAAATTGTGATTAACTGGAGTGCTGAGCTGAAAGCAACAGAAAGAGCCTCAGAAAAGATGCAATTAATGGGTAGTCAGGAAGGCTAAATGTACAAAATGGAGACAGCAGAAAAGGCACAGGAACTGGTTAGAACCTCAGGTCTTCTAAGGACAAAAGATTAATCATGGATCTAGGACAGACACCTGATTAAACACACTAGGCTGAATCCAAACTAACTGTGAAATTCATACATATGTACTAGGATGTAAGCCCCACTGATTTCAGTGAAACTGATTTTGAAAAGCCATTTCCCACCATGGATTTATTAGTAACTTACATTAAAAACCATCAACTTTAAAATATAAATCCAGTGCCTGATTAATTGGGGCAACATTTTAATTGATAAAAACCTTTTAATTGATTAATTCAATTGATTAATTGACTATATGTTTCAGCCATAAGTGGAGCACAGTCTAGAATATGATTAAGCCACATGTTGGTATAAAACGGGCAAATTTCCATTGATTTGAAGCACTTGCTTAACTCTCGCATTAAAACCAATGGGGTCTATAAGCACCGAGCTTTGGCAGGATTATAACCTAATCTTTGTATATAAAACAGAAGTGTTAATGGTACTTCACAGTATTTGGGACTGCTTATACTTCAGCTCTGTTGTGGCCACCATATTGTAAGATGGATACTCACAAACCGGCAGAGTTTGTGGATGAAATGATAGAAAGTTTGAAAGGATGCACCATGAAATTTGTCTGCAAAGGAAGCTTCTTCTTCTTCTTTTTCTCCTCCTCCTGTATATTTATTGAATTCCTTCCACAAAAATATTTTAACAAAGGAAGCAAATTGACATCAAATGCACAATAAAATAATATGTGAAGTTCTCCACAAAGGTAGTCATGGCAAAGGGGTGACAAGTGGTTAAGAGGTGCTGTCTCAGCAAGGGAGTCTCTTGAAACAAGAGAGAGCACAAGGTGTCCAGGTACAAGCAGATTGTGTATTAACATACAAAAGAAATGGAACCCAGATTTCCAGGAACTACCCAGGTTGACCATATCTGTGATTAGAGATGGATGATTTTGTCTGTCACTTTCGATGGACGTTTGGTTCATTTCTTCCAGGCTTACTGTAAGTTCACTTCTCCACATTTCCATCAGGTTGTGATTTTTTTAAAGTAAGAAAGTCATCAAAATCCCTCAACATTTTCGTATACAGTGGTACCTTGGGTTAAGTACTTAATTCGTTCCGGAGGTCCGTACTTAACCTGAAACTGTTCTTAACCTGAAGCCCCCCTTTAGCTAATGGGGCCTCCTGCTGCTGCCGTGCTGCCGGAGCACGATTTCTGTTCTCATCCTGAAGCAAAGTTCTTAACCTGAAGCACTATTTCTAGGTTAGTGGAGTGTATAACCTGAAGCGTATGTAACCCAAGGTACCATTGTAATTTCCCCCTAATAAATATAGGTTGGTATGCAATTTTACTGACTATACACAATTTTGCAAAGCAATTCCCCTAAAAATACATTTTTGCATGTTATTTTCACAAAGCTGTTCATTCTAATGCACACTTTACTTCAGTATATGCATTCTTACACACGTTACTTGGTTAGAGAACTGCATAGCAAAATAAGGAGAAGAGTGAATTTCGAAGCTAGTCTTGAAGACAGCGAAAGAGTGAGGGAAAATAACAAAGAGCAGGTGGCAATGCAAGTACGGTACCTTTCAGGTAGATCTACAGATGGTTGGAAGACCTGGGCAGTGGATCAAATTGTCTAACAGAGAAATTGATTCTCTTTGTGTGGGTTTTAAGAACAAATTGCATAAAAATCTTTGAGTGGCTGGATTAATTTGAGGGAAAGGTACCATTGCTGAAAGTTGGGCAACAATTCCTGCTATCAATAATAATATACATTAAGCAGGAATAGTAAATACATAATCATGTACTTAATCAAGGAAGTTCCCCCCCCCCCCAAATGAGTGAGGAGTTAAGAGTGGAGTTTAGGAAGATACAGTCTCTGATTAATATATTATATAAAATTATATAAAATGATACCAAGCAGTATAGATGCTATCAGATTTGACCATGTCTCTGGAAAGCTGAGTCTGATGGGGCTGTTTCTCTAGGAGAAATAGGTGCAAAATATGAGTGATTAGGTCTTGCAGTTCCTGTGACTCAGGGATCTTCCAACTCTATAGAATATCTGTATGGGAAATAACCAAGAAATGTACAATGAGTTATTTTCTGGTGGGATGGGGGTGGGAACATCCCCTCTAATTAATGGTTTTATGAGTAATTCTGGAGTGTTCCCGGAAAATTTGTAACCTGCCACAACATGACAGCTTCCAACTCGCTGATTTTATGATGCAATGGTTATCCTTTCTCTCTGATTGTCGTTAAAATTGTCTGCTTCTACCTTGCAGAATATTCTTCCTGAAGATTTGGACCTGTCTTCGTTGCAAGTTAACTTGGAGCATATGCTTCTGGTTCATTGGCTCCCACGAATTCATGCTTTTGGTTCTGATCAGTCGCCAGAGGTTTTCCCTACTTTTTCTTTTTATATAAAAAAAATCTAGTTAAAATTGTCAAAGCACTGATAATATCTGCTTGTAAATAAAGATTAAATCATATATCTCAGCGGTCTTCATGTGAGATTACTTCCCTGTGCTCAGAATTCTACGCTAATTTATTTCATTGGAACTTGTGCAAGAAGACTTTCCTGTGATTATGCTTTGACTTTTTCATTGATTGTAATTGGTTTTTTGTTTTATGAATAGCACCTGCCCAGAGTCTTTGGATTGGGATCATCTAAGCATGTAAACAAATATATAGCATATGTTAATTTATGGCTCTAGGGATACACTGCGGTTTCAAACAAGAGCACAACCTTAATTTTCCTTAACAAAATATTTTTTTTCCTTATCAGGTTTCCAGTAGACAAGGCAGCCTGCTTTGTGTGTTTGTACAATTTAAGTAGGTTCTTAGTCTGTTTGTTAAGACATCATGTTTATTTTAAACTCCTACAGGAAGTTATTAATCTGCCCCAACGCTGAAGGTCTGAGCTGATATAGATGAGAACAATGCTAAGCAATTCTTCATGTCATCTTTCAAACCCAAATCTTAGCACTCTTCTTCATGGATCCCAGGTTGCTTTGAAAATGACTCACTTGTTTGCCCACGTCACGTTAGTGCCAAGGACTGGGTCTGTCTGTTATGCACACCCAGTGGCTTAAGCAAGGTGCCTTCCAGACTCAAAGAGCTGGTGAAGAACCCAAAGTATGCTTTAATCCAGTTCTCATTTTCATGTCACAAAAGGTGCTATGGAATGATTGCCATTTGGAAAAAGAAGAAGGCAAGCACAATTAAAAGCTGAACCTCTAATCCCCTTTGCCTCTGGCTTTGTGCCGGAGCCAAAAGAAATATTGTCTTAACAGGTACATTTCCCCTGGAGGGAAAAACACACCCTCGACCACCTAGCAGGCAAGATGATGAGATAATAGGATGCCGGGCTGTATCAGTGGCCAACAAATTGTGCCTTGGCTTCTGTGGCTGACAGAAGAGCATAGAATTGATGGGTGGCAAAGGGAAAGCTCTGTCTTCTGACAGTGGGTGGGTCGGCATTGTGGCAAAACCAAACAAGCACATTTTCCAGCTCCAGCCGCCAAGTCACATAGTGAGAAAATCTGTGCATGACTAACTGACATTTGTGTGGAGAGATGTTTCAAAAGTGATTGAAGGGTCCTCTAAGCAGCCAAAGCAATAATTAAGCTAATTGACACTGAGAGGGCGTGACTCAGCCCTTGCAAAACCACTCTGTTCTAATCGCTGCATTATGTTTAGCTACTTGGAAAATTTCTGGATGTTGCATTTTTTAAAAAGGAAGCTCTATTAATTCTACCTTGTGGAGTTAAGAAATCTTCCTTTAATATTTGGGAAGAGCAGAAGATAGTGATGATGTTGATTTTTTTTTTTTTAAATAGAAAAAGGTTAATTAATATTTGGGAAGTACAGATGACGGTGATTATGATGTTGATTTTTTAAAAATGCACAACTTTTGTGAGCAATTTTCTGAGACAATTTGCAACCTGCAGATGCACGCTTCCAGCCTTCCTTTTCTGCTGTGTTTCTAGGCACAGGTCCACACTTTAAAGATCCGTGTCTGAGCACTTTCTAATTTTGCCCCAGCACTTTGCCTGCAAAAACTCACTTTGTACAACTGAAAACAATCCTGAATTGCCATTTGTTCTGGTTTAGCATTAAAGAGTGAGTTTTACTGGCAAAAGCAGTAGAGCAAGGAAAAAAAGGGGGGCTTGGACTAGAACTGCGAAAGTCCAAACTTGTGACTAGAAAGCTTGGGTGGGGGTAGAGGTAAGTGTAGATCAGCCCTCAGTGAGATTGAGTTGTAAACATTTATATACCGTGGTGCAATTTCTCTTTATTTAATTGCCAGTAAAATTACACAGAAGCCCAGGCACAATTTGAAATTCTGGGATAGTTTTGCCCCTTTCTCTGATGTAACCAAACCTGTCATAAGACAGAGTTATTTATTTATCACGGTACTTGTATCCCACCCTTTCCGCAATGAGTGAAAACAGTTTAGATGGAGCGTATCTAATGTTACTCTTAAAACAACTGTGTGAGGTAGCATTAAGGCGCAGAGATTGTGACTTGCTTTTGGGTGCGGCGAGCCTCATGGAAATCTGGATATTAGACCAACCACTGCCGCAAGACTGCAGGACCTTTTTAAGGATTTCATCATCTTTCGTGCTACATCCAAATGAGAGGGCTATTCTAATCCTTCCAACTCCTGCAGCTTCCTTCCACAGACAGTGTTAAGCTGCCTTTCCAAAAACCAAATAGCCAACAGCATCACTGACTGGAAATGTGCGATGGTAGTAAAACCAGGAAGCTTTGCTAGTCCCAATGAATGGAATGTTAAAAACCTGGCTAGTTTCAATTACATACAGAAAAATAAAACCAGCCAGTTTTGACACAAGTTTTAAATTTCAGAGCCAATTCTGAAACTTGTTAGGTTTTTTATTTTTTAAACTGTTAGTATATACTTTTTTAAAAAAGAAAAGCTAAAATGCACATTTTCTTACTAATAAAAGTTAAGAGTTGGCAGCTAAATAAATTAACCAGTTAAACATTAGTGTTTTCCTTTAAATATTAATTAATTCCCAAGACTGGCATCTGAGTAGGATGAATTGGGGACATCTGTTCTGAAACTTGTTAAGCAGAATTAGTGGCTCTGATTTCACTAAGAAATAGTTCCCATTTATTAACCAAATATTTGCTTTCATTTCAAATTAGTAAAAAAACTAGGCTGATAGGAGGAAGATGCTAGAATTGAAAAGTATACAAATCTACTTCTTTGGAATAACTTGATACTCCTTTTTATTTTTTTCGGAAGTCAAAAGCTGTTGAAATTGGATGCCAGTGGAAAAGATATTACAGCCTTTCGTTAAATGAAACTTCAGCTGTTTATGTCAATACAGTGCCTTTGGAAATTATTGAATGAACCCATTTTAGACAGTAAACGCAACACCTTCTTATTGCCCCTACATCCTGGAATGAAGACCCAAGAGGCATGAACTAGGAGGAAAGGTTATTATTTATTAACTATAGCTTGAGAATCTGCAGCAATATAAGAAGGGAACTGAGACTGTGTATGCACTACCATTTTACCCTGGCTCTTGTGCCTTCCCACTACCAATGTTTGAAGCTGAGTACACATGAAGTAAGCCACAAACCATGCATATCCTGTAGTTTCTTGAGAAAATCTGCTTTCTTATTTATTTTCCCTCAACCCAGCTTCCATCAAATTTGAAAGTATAAGGCATGGTTAACCGGAGGTGTGTTCATCTCATACATCTGTTGCACATGGTGTCAGTTATTAAACTTTATTTCAGGCACAGACCAGCATAAGATAAAACATATAGATAAATTGAACACATAAGACTTAAAACATGTAAGGGATAAAAACTAGTAGTCAAAGGTGATTATATCATACATAACTTAAAAAGATTTAAAAAAAAAGAAAAAGATGACAAACGGTTAAAAGCCCAGGTCTTGCATTTGGGGCCTTCAGTTTAGGCCTAGTTTGTAGCACAAACCATCCTTTGATGAATATCCATTATGGCAGAACAAAATCTAGCCACTGAATATATAACGTCTGGGTTTTCATCCTGAAGTAGTAGGGAGGTGTAACATTGTTCTGTGTTACCTGGTAATTAATGTAGTATAGGCAAGATGAACCTACTGTAGCTCATATATCTGTATAGTATTGGCAGTGAAAAAAGGCATGTTCCATTGTTTCCAGTTGCCCAGAGCCACATGGGCATGATGGCGCATGTGTATATGATGATAGCATTTTTGAATAGGAGCTTGGAGGTTGCAGGTGTGAGGAAACAAGCCAGGCAATGAGGCAATGGTGTGTACAGAATATTAGCATGTGACCTGGAAGACAGTGATGGGAAACAACCTTGCTACATTTTAAACTGCTATTGTGTACAAGCTCTTAATTTGACAAGAGTAGACATTTGCGTGCAGCTGCTAAATGAGGTGAAAGTCCCTCATTCCCCAATATTCCCCAGTTAATTCCTACAGTACATTGTAATTGGTCATGGGCAGAGAAATGCTGGTCGATATCTTCAATTGTGCCTTATGTAGCAGATGGGAATATGGGCTTACCCACTTGTTGTGTTGATGTGTTAGGTTCCAGTAAGGGGTCTATAGCTTCGCTGTAGAGCAAACACTGCACAGGCAGACGACTCCAGCTTTCGCCCATGGCAACTATACTGAAATAAGAAGGCAGGTAGCAGGTGATGGGTAAGACCAGTGATTTTTTTCTTAAAAAAATTAAATGTTTAGGAGTACTCTCATTTTCCTACTCATATTGAAATACTGCCCCTCAATGAGACCAAACTTAGATTCACAAAATGTTTAGGGCTATGAGTCTCCCTGTGTCCCCCCAGACATAAAGCACTGGGTAAGACCATCTGTGATAGGTTCCAGTGACGCCACAAAAACTCACAATTAATCAGTGAGTAAGTCACATCATTCTTTAGTTACCAAAAGTTGTTGCCATGGGTACCACCCTGACTTTGTGAAAGGGGTGCTTTGTAAACAGCCAAAATAATTGGCAAGATGTATTTTGAAAATTGGTTTCAGATAGTTTAGAAAAACTCCATGGTTCTTTAGGAGCAATGGATGCTGCCTTGCATCAAATCAGACCATTAGTTTATTCAGTGAAGGACTGTCTAAGTGTCGGTAGATAGATAGATGATTATGATAGATAGATAGATAGATAGATAGATAGATAGATAGATAGTTGGGCCTTTGGCTTCTCTCATAACTGTTGATGGGGTGGACAGGAATGTGTGTGTGTGTGTGTGTGTGTGTGTGTGTGTGTTAGGATTGTGTGGATGTGCTGCTTCAGTGTACAAGCACTCCATTGGCAGACATCAGGTGACCATAGCATAGTTAACGAGTCAGTTTTAACCTCCTAAGAAGATCAGAGATCTGCAGGCATGATGAGCTGCCTGATGAAAGGTGTCACTTTTGAGTCCATGACCATTAAGGAAAGAAGTTGTGGCAGAGCCAACCAGAGTTAAAGGTTATTTCATTCAGTGAAGGCTGGCCCAAATGGGGGCCTCACCAAGCTCACCTGCCTGCCTGCTTACATACGACCAGTCCAGATGGTGGCAATAGCTGTCATCTTCCTTCTCCTTAGTTTAAGTCTTACCTTTGTAGACTTCAGCAGGGAGGAGGATGAAAACAAAACCAGAATTCTCAGGCTCCACCTGCTTTTGGCTTTGGGTCCACCTACCATTGAGGACACAAGGAGAAGGGGATGACAGAGGACGAGATGGTTGGACGGTGTTCTTGAGGCTACCAGCATGAGTTTGACCAAGCTGCAGGAGGCGGTGGAGGCCTGGCGTGCTCTGGTCCATGGGGTTACGAAGAGTCGGACACGACTAAATGGCTAAACAACAACAACCATCAATAAACTTGCCTTCTGCCCTACCAGCCTTCACTGATTTCAATATGTCTGGTAAGAAAAAAACAAAACAAAACCATTTCCCCCCTGACTTATTCTTGAACATGACTTCCTGAAAATATTTTAGATTATCTTTTTTAAAAAGAGAGAGAAACATTGACATGTAAGCAATGTTTACAGCACTTGATCATATAATGTGGGATAAGTTCTACAACTCATCACTTTAAGAGTAGCAAAGAAACAGTCCATCAAAATCACCATGTAATTGTCAGTAATTGAAAGTGGTTTCTTTAAAACTGGAAATGGGGGGTGGGGTCAGAATCCACATAAGAGTGTATGAGAACCTATAGAAATCATCTTAATCACTCAATGAAAGGAAAAGCCAATTTGAATATTGTTTAGGATTAATCTATCACTATGCAGCAGCTCACCCTTGCCTGTTCTTGCTGTGTTTACTTTTGATATGAAGCAATACAAAGGTGTGAATTGGGAAGCAAGATTCAAAAGCACACCTCTCAAGAGTTTAGTTTGTCTTTTGACTAAAATATTGTTGCACACCACTGCAATCTCCAAGTGTGTGAGATTTCAGGGGTTTCAGGCACACTTACCCAGGGTCTGTGATTCCTTTTGGAAATGAGGCACAGTGGAGACTGTGGTGTTTTTATGGTCACCCAGTGATGTTGTGGGTGGGTGCATACCAAGATAACAATCACCATTTCCTTTTTCATTCACCTGGGGCATGTGCTGGGAGTAAAAAGTTGGAATAACCTCATTAAGGGCAGGGTTTTCAAATGTGTAGCAAGTAACCACAGTCACCCTTGTGGACAGCAAGATCTGGAATCAATGGAGGCTGAAAGCAGCATGTTGTAGATGAGCATGAACAATTTTGGACTGAGAAAAATACATTTTTGTGCTACAAATATGTTAGTGTGTATACAGCGTTGGCTGTTCTCCCCTTCTTCCTTCCCTGTAGAGATTTGTCAGATTAAGCCAAACAAAAGGGAGTACTTCTTCAGGCAGCACATAGCCAAATTGTGGAATTCGCCACACAAGATGTAGTGATGGCTGACGACTTGGATGGTTTTCAAAACAGAAAGAAATCACAAAAAATTCACAGGACAGAAGGATAACAAAGGTTACTAGTCACTAAGGCTATATATTACCTCCCCTACCAGTAGCTGGGGGGAACAAGCAGATCCCTGCTTGCTTGTGAGTTTTCAGAAGGCAACTGGCTGGAGACTGAGAGAAGCAGCATATTGACCGGATAGACATTTGGTCTGATTCATCAGGGCTATTCTTATGCACTTACTGGAGCTACCATCATTTATATGCATCTCGTTTGTTGAACATGCAATCTAAATACAGTGGTACCTCGGGTTACATATGCTTCAGGTTACATACGCTTCAGGTTACAGACTCCGCTAACCCAGAAATATTGCTTCAGGTTAAGAACTTTGCTTCAGGATGAGAACAGAAATTGTGCTCCGGCGGCGAGGCAGCAGCAGGAGGCCCCATTTAGCTAAAGTGGTGCTTCAGGTTAAGAACAGTTGCAGGTTAAGTACGGACCTCCGGAACAAATTAAGTACTTAACCCGAGGTACTGCTATAGATAGAATAAGCAGCCATATGACTGTTTTTGTTGGCATAGGTTTATTAAGCACACTACTAGATGTCTTTCAGAAACCAACAAATTCCTTAGAAGTGTGAGGCAGAATGACTCACGAATGTTCTAGATGTAGCAAAAGTAGGTATGAATCAGTGCTAAGGTTGCATCTTTCTTACTGTGTCAAGTCTAGACACCCCTAAGATCTGCAGTGCGGATCTCAGAGAGCTAAAATTCTCATTTCCCAAGACTTGCACAGCTGTAGTTTAGCTTCAGGTTTCCAGAGGTCAGAAGTCAAGCCATTAATCAATTTGATATAATTCAAAATATCCCAGGGGATGGGGGGGGGGGGGAATCAACAGGGAAACAAGTCCTGTTTTTCTGTATATGACAGGCAACATCACATGATTTAAATCAGCATGTTCATAACTGTGGCATGATCCTGTTATGATTCTTCATAGCTGCTGGTCTTTCAATCATAATAGAATGGCTTCTCAAAACCCACAATTGAAAACCAGTGTGTCTAAAGTATTGGGTTCGTATGTAGAAAACACAACTGCAAATCACTTTGCCGCTGTGGAGTTGATGTCACTGAGAAAAACCTTTTTGTAGTGCCACCTTCAACATTGGTCCTATCAGAATGGCACAACTATTGACTGTGTGTGTGTGTGTGTGTGTGTGTGTGTGTGAGAGAGAGAGAGAGAGAGAGAGAGAGAGAGAGGTTTCAATGCAGACAAAAGTTTGCTCTCTTTAATAAAACCAGAAAATACATTCTGAAGAGAGAGAAAGTACAGAAATAGCAATTAATTGGAGGGGGGGCATTACACTGTCTTTGTTTTGCTTTTTGCTTTTAGTAGTATTTTCTGTTCAGACAAAAGAATTGGGACAAAATATTGCATTGGTATGAATTTCCACACATAAAATTACTTTGAAATCACCTGTCAGTTCAGTGCCAGTGAATTATTAGACTATAACAAAATATATGTGTGCCTGATTGGGATGGGTAAATCTGTCAATCTTGGTTTCTTTCAGTTTTTCATTTTTCAGATCTTAAATTCAGTTCTTCACTTTGCCACAACATCTTCTTGAAAATTCATCAGCATTTTTAAAAAATTTATTACATTTATCTACTGCCCTTCCTCAGAAGATCTCCGGTTGATTTGTGAGTTTCTTCAAATACACACATTTTGGCAGACCAATTTCCCCTAAAAGAATGCATTTTTATATGTGATTTTTCACTTAGATTTGCATTTATATGCACATTTTACCTCAGAACATGCATTTTTTGTACACATTACTTGGCTACTGAACTGCAAAATCTGGAGATGTACTAAGGCTGAATTTCAGTCTGTGTAGGAATTAGGTAAGTTGTGTGAATTAGGTAAACTGAAATTTAATTGCAAAGTGCACAGAATTTCTCGCTCATCTCTTGTATCTGACAAGATCATGGTCTTCATGGGCAAGTTATTTTTGTTAGTTTATTTATTTAAGAGCATTTCTAAATTACCCGTTGACAAAAAGGTCTCTGGGAGGTTCAGACACAAAAGTTAAAACCTTGAAACGTGAAAAAGAAATCTTACATAGTTCTGGTGGTGGGGCCATTACTATGTGAATGATGATGATCTTCAGGTGTAATGCTGAGTTTTGTGTATTAGCAGAGCACTGTTCCTATAGCTATGTGGAAGTGTGGTTAGAGATTGGTGTTATTGTAATGTGTGCTGATGTTAGATTACATAATCCTTTTGGTTTTATGAATTATTGTTAACTGATGAACTGCTCTGCACTACACTTCTTCTTCCATGGTGGATTTTTGTTTTCCTGGTTATTCACAGAACAACTACTGCTGAATGTTACTGCCCTAATTTACTCCTAATTAGGAATTCAAAGGCTGAAGATGAATTGTTTATGGGGTGAATTAATTCTCCAAAGACTGGTTTCTCTACATATGCACTTTATAGACAGACCCCAATCTTGTAAAGATGATTTGCATATGAAGTTCATTTTTAAGCTTGGGCTTACTGTAAAATGAATTCATTTATTGCTTCTAATGATTATGCTGCTGCTTTAAAGAGCAAAGCAGAAGAGGATCCAGTGACCCAGTCAATCAAAATGTTTTGCTGAAAATCAGAGGAAGTGGTGGTGGTGAAGAGGAGAGACTCTATGTGTCTTGTAAGCTTCTTATTATGCTTTCATGGAGGAATCAATGAATGAATTAAACTAGTCTGAGGCTCACTACGTTTTTACTAATCCATAGTTCGTTAAACATCAGTACATAGCCAGAGATGATGTGCAATGATGCTTAACCAACATGTGTGATGTATTTATTTTAAAGCAAAATAATTTATTAGCTGCCTTCCCAATGAATGTGAAGCAAAACAAAGCAGCCCACAAAACCAGTACAAACAATCACCAATAAGAACAAAGCTAGAAGAACCAGAGACCAATAAAAAGAGGTGCATTTGGTACCCTTCTGGTAGGCCAATAAAGCAGGGGAAGGGCAGTTCTGAGTAGGAGTATAACTCCACAGCCTTGGGCAATTGATGTTAAGGCTGTTATCATAATCACAGCCATTGTGTATTAGCTTTATACAAATATGGGGATCTAGAGTCCAGACTGGTATGACAGTTTGAGGGTTTATGTCGCTTGGGGTACAGATGATTTCTGAAATAGGGTCTTCCTGTTGTGATGGTGGCCTGATAGCATGTCACCATTCCTGCTATAAACAAGCACAAGGAAAAACATTGTGGTTTCCTTAACCGAAAACAATCATAGAACAAACAGAGTGAAATATATCACCCTTGAAAGGAGTTTTGAACATTAACTCTTAGAAATGTTTCAACTTTAGGCCCTTACCTCAAATCCTGAGCAGAAACAATCACAAAAGTCCACTAGAAATTAATATGAAGACTATGTTTGTGTCCTTCGAACTGAATATGTTCCCTCTAAGATATTACTACAAAATAGAATGAATTGTTGTTGGAAACCAGGCATAGAGCAGGATTTAGGGCACTGCAGTGTGTGTGTGTGTATGTGTGTTCCTTTGCAAAGGGCATCAACATACTCTCCAACATTTCTCCAAAGAAAATAGGGGCATTCTATTCCACAATAATAATTTTACTATTTATACCCTGCCCCAACCACTCGGGGCAGCTTCCAACATACAGAAGGACATAATAAAACGGTAAACGTTAAAAAACATCCCTATACAAGGCTGCCTTCAGAAGTGTCCAACGTTTCTCCGATGAAAATAGGGACATCCTACCATACCCTCTAACATTTCTCTGATGAAAATAGGCACACCCTAAGGAAAAGTGGGACACTTCAGGATCAAATCAGAAACTGGAATGGCTTCTGTAAATCCGGGACAGTCCTTGGAAAATAGGGACACTTGCAGGGTCTATACGAAGCCAGTGTGCACTTTGGTAGGGACAGCAAGTCTCAAGTTGCAACTTAGAAAGCAATATTCTGTACCAATTTTTGCCCTCACTCATGTTACCAAAGTCTGCCGCTGCCAGGCTGATAACTGAGAAGCTTTCACTTGGATTCCACTTCTTCCTGCACCAAATGCCTTCTTGACATGCAAGTAAACTTTTGGACAATCACCCTATAAAGGCACAGAGAATTCAGTTTCATGGTAAGGAGGAAGTTGTTAGTCCACAATCTTCTGCTCTTTTAAATAACTTGGATCTCCTCCCACAAAAATATGAAGCCCTGCAGGCCATGATTATATTGAGTGGTAAGGACAGTGAGAATCAGTGCACACACTGTTTCTTCAGTCCAATAATCTGTTTGATCAATACTCTTACAAACACATTCTCATCCAACTGCCAGCTGTCCTGAAGGCCACAAAGGGCAACACAATCTAATCAGCCAAAGTTGACTTGCACTAATTCCATATTAATGAAGCTTTCTTTGCCTTGCGTTGCTTGTTCAATAGCAGACAATGGAGAATCTATGCACCTTGAATCATGCTCTTTGGGGATGAATGGGGGAATCTTCCCACATTGGTATTTTGATGAATTAATGCCTTAAGAAGGCTGTGACGGCAATCCTGAAAGCAATTCATCAGTTCTTTTTGAAGACCAGTATGGCCAGTTAGCACTAGACAAATTGCTCAGCTACCTAGAGGCCTCTGCCCCTGTCTTCATCACATGATTTTCCACTTTGTAAAAATGAATTTTTAACTACTATATTCAGCATTTGCTTAACAATGTAGGATCAGCAATATTGTGCAGCCTAGGAAGTATAATGTTGTGTGTGTGTGTGTGTGTGTGTGTGTGTGCATATCTACCTAAAGCTAGAGATTCCACTTTTGCAAAGGAACCATAGCTCAGTGACAGAGCACATGCTTTTCATTCAGAAAGTACCAGGGTCAAACCCTGATATCTGCATTTTAAAGGAATGGGTATCAGAGAATGGGGAAGATCTCTGACAAAGAGCCACTGCCTGTCCGGGTAGAGAGAGTTCCTTGTGAACAGGAATGGACTGTTAATCCACTCTGTAGCTCTGGGAGGTGAATAGGACACCCAGCACCATTAACAAAGTACAGCTCACAGAATTCTTGGTGGGAAGCTATGACTGCATCATGTGGTATCACAGTGCTTTAAATGGTGTGAATGTGGCCTCTCTGTATTATACTCACAAACACCCACACCCCTGTACATTTTCTCTCATTCTTTATCAGATCACATATGCAGATGTCTTTATCAGTGCAGGGATTTTGGGATCTTGGAATATATTCATCCAGCACACCTGTTAAGTTGTGGGTGAACATATCAGACGACACAGCAATTCTTCAAACAGCTCTTGTTTATTCACAGGCCAGAACAGAACTGAACTGAAGGGTTCAGCCAGCCTGCTTATACAGAGCTCCACTAGAACGCAACTGTAACCATTTTCTGTAACTATCCAATCACTGAACATCGCTTTCGATCCCTTATTTGCATATGTGGACCTGAGTGAAAACTATCTACAGTATCCCCCTGCTGGCCCAGGGTGAGAACTTCAGTACATAACAACACCCATAACCTCCATGCTCTGAGATGACCTCTTGCAGGCCCACTTTCCCATTTAGTTGCTAAGCCAAATGGGGCCATCAACACAGGCTTCGCAGGTCACATTACTCCCCCTTTCCCATGGCACATGCACTATTTCCCATGCTATACTGCTTCACTGTGTGCATGTGAGAACAACACTTCAGTCTGTGGTTTGGAAGTAAAATGTTGAACCAGGACCTGTAGATATTCCTATAGAAACATGCTCACTCACCAGTAGGTTCACATGCCACTTCAGGAGGCAATGATTTCCCATGGAACAGAGGAACACCTTTTCCCCACTTTGAATGCTCTTGCACTAGAAAATTATCCTGATTATGGTTGCTTCCAGACTGCTGCTATTTTGGGGTGGAATTCAGTCACATACTGGAAATGCCAAGCTGTACAATTAAAGATAATTCTGAGCTCTTGCACAATAAACTTGCTTTCTCAAGAAGGGGAAGTGATAGGGAAATGCAGTGGACAGTGCAGGGTAACACTTGCTTTGATGCAGTGTCATTTAGTCTCCCCAAAAACAAACCAGAGAGTGCTCATTAAATAGCCAGCATCACCTAATCTCTTTGCAAACAAATGAGGATGAATGCTCACAGATCAGCTTGTCTGGATCATGCCTATTTCCCAGAGAAACCAAGATGGGCAAGGGGGGAGAGTGGGAAGGGAAGAAGGAAGAGATGGAAAATGGGAGCTGAACTGACTTGGCTCTCAAGCCTGAGATTTTCCACTATTGTTACAAGGCTTGGGGTCTCATATTATACTAATAAACATACAACTGATAATCTGACCATCAGCATGGCGATTTATTAAAGCTTGCTTTCTGAGCAATGTAAACATGGAAGCAAATATAAAGCTCTCAGCTTGTACACTGAGAAAGCATTATCAGCTGATGCCTCCACCTGGGGCAAGGCAGCAGTGGCCTCTTGCAGTAATTAATTTGGGCCATTAGCTGAAAGTCAGGGTTTGTTTCAGTTCATCAGTCTTCCTCACACTCTGGCCCCCCAAAATAAAATAAAGTTATGTAAAAACAAACACTGTCTGTTGTGCCATCAAAGCGCCTCTGATCTGATAGATGGATCACTAAGTACATGTACAACTCTGCTGTGACAGCAGCAACTTGCTCTGCTTGAGCTACAGCAGCTGGACATTTTGTATGCGCCAAAAGCATCAAATAAAGCATTTTGTGAAAGGTGCAAAATGTTTCACATCTGGGAAGGAAGGCTTCAAAAGGCAAAGGAAAGGTTCCAAATTTAAGTGCAAATATGTACACAGTGGTAAAATACATGAAGGGGATTCAAGGTCCGAGCAACACATGATGTGCACCATGGATTTCCCACCACAAATGGCACCCCATGTTGATTTTCTCCTTCCCTCTTACTGGGTAGAACAACTCACTTCATGATGTGGCTTCATCATGTAGTGAGTTTCCTTGCCTGTTGCTAGGAGCAACTGATGATACCATGAATTGGAAACAGGTAAACTGACAATGTCGCCATGCTTCCTGATGTGAAAGGGTCAGCAACACAATGCCTACAGTGCCTACAGTTGCCAGTGTGCATGCTAGTGCAAGAGGGTTTTATAAGCATATGATGAACAATTTGTTGTTGCTGTTTAGTCGTTTAGTCATGTCTGACTCTTCGTGACCCCATAGACCAGAGCATGCCAGGTGCTCCTGTCTTCCACTGCCTCCTGCAGTTTGGTCAAACTCATGTTGGTAGCTTCAAGAACACTGTCCAACCATCTCGTCCTCTGTCGTCCCCTTCTCCTTGTGCCCTCCATCTTTCCCAGCATCAGGGTCTTTTCCAGGGAGTCGTCTCTTCTCATGAGGTGACCAAACTACTGGAGCCTCAGCTTCAGGATCTGTCCTTCTAGTGAGCACTCAGGGCTGATTTCCTTCATAGAATCATAGAATCATAGAGTTGGAAGAGACCACAAGGGCCATCGAGTCCAACCCCCTGCCAAGCAGGAAACACCATCAGAGCACTCCTGACATATGGTTGTCAAGCCTCTGCTTAAAGACCTCCAAAGAAGGAGACTCCACCACACTCCTTGGCAGCAAATTCCACTGTCGAACAGCTCTTACTGTCAGGAAGTTCTTCCTAATGTTTAGGTGGAATCTTCTTTCTTGTAGTTTGGATCCATTGCTCCGTGTCCGCTTCTCTGGAGCAGCAGAAAACAACCTTTCTCCCTCCTCTATGTGACATCCTTTTATATATTTGAACATGGCTATCATATCACCTCTTAACCTCCTCTTCTCCAGGCTAAACATGCCCAGCTCCCTTAGCCGTTCCTCATAAGGCATCGTTTCCAGGCCTTTGACCATTTTGGTTGCCCTCTGGATACGTTCCAGTTTGTCAGTGTCCTTCTTGAACTGTGGTGCCCAGAACTGGACACAGAATGGATAGGTTTGATCTTCTTGCGGTCCATGGGACTCTCAAGAGTCTCCTCCAGCACCATAATTCAAAAGCATCAATTCTTCGGTGATCAGCCTTCTTTATGGTCCAGCTCTCACTTCCATACATCACTACTGGGAAAACCATAGCTTTAACTATATGGACCTTTGTCGGCAAGGTCATGTTTCTGCTTTTTAAGATGCTGTCTAAGTTTGTCATCGCTTTTCTCCCAAGAAGCAGGCATCTTTTAATTTCGTGACTGCTGTCACCATCTGCAGTAATCATGGAGCTCAAGAAAGTAAAGTCTCTCACTGCCTCCATTTCTTCCCCTTCTATTTGCTAGGAGGTGATGGGCCCAGTGGCCATGATCTTTGTTTTTTTGATGTTGAGCTTCAACCCATATTTTGTGCTCTCCTCTTTCACCCTCATTAAAAGGTTCTTCAATTCCTCCTCACTTTCTGCCATCAAGGTTGTGTCATCTGCATATCTGAGATTGTTGATATTTCTTCTGGCAATCTTAATTCTGGATTGGGATCATCCAGTCCAGCCTTTTGCATGATGAATTCTGCATATAAGTTAAATAAGCAGGGAGACAATATACAGCCTTGTCGTACTCATTTCCCAATTTTGAATGATGAACAATAGTTACGTTTAACTAGGGGCTGCCATCGCTGCTGATGTTGCTCAACCACCTGTCTATTCTCTGCCCTCCCCCCAGCACCCTTGCCAATCCAAACCCTTCCCTTTACACCTCTCACCAATCCCCCATCCCCTCAAAGGTTCTTCAATGCATCCATGTATGGTCTTTCGTCTCCATTTTTGTCTTGTTCACCTAACATACATTTGTAAGCTTTTTAGGCAAGGACTCTGAATCAAAATATATGATTGGAACAGTCATGCGGTCACAGGAGGGAGCCAGCAGTAAATCACAGTGAACAAGTCAGAGTTAACTCTTTATTAGCAAAAACAGGATGTGTACAGGAGTGTTAGGCCTAATGAGCTCAGCAACTCATCTCCGGCAGATCTTGCCTCCATGAAGCAGTTGTTGAAACAGAACGTCCCCATCTCCCCACAGCCCTGAGATCTTCTGATGAAGGGTAGTATATAAATGTAATAAATAAATAATAACAATAAGTCCACCCTTCTCCATGGGTTTTTCAAAGAAATTTGAGACTGTGCCTATGTGAAGCTAACTTCTCCTCCACTCTCTTCATGCCTCTCCTGGTTCTAGGATATGGGGGCAGGAAGGGAGCTTGTCACAGCAGAAGGGGGAGACACCCCATGCCTCTTCATCAGCTGGACTCATCTCTGCCTCTTGGTCTCTGTCCTCTTCTGCTTCAGCTTCAGCTTCTTATTCTAGACTTCTCTCTGCCAAAGACTCCCCACCCACCCACTCAGTAAGCCCCATACCTCTTCAGCTTCCAACACCTCCTCCCAGTCTTCTCCCTCTTCTCCCTCTGACCACTCATTATCATCCCACCACCACTCCCTGAGCTCTGAGCCTTCTTCCCTCAGGGATTCCCAAGCTGGTTATTCCCACCATTCCTCTGTATCCAACCATGTGACATGTGGTATAGCTTTCATTGGTCTATACCGTATCTGGAAGGCATGTGGGAAAGGGCTCACATGTTTCAATGGGAGATCTGCCTGTATTTCCCCATGCTTTTTATGCTGGGTTCACATAACACCACCCATATCATGATGAAATTTATTGCAGTTGGTGGCTGTTCACATGCATTTTCAATTTTGCCAGTGGTTGTGCATATATTCACACCAGACAGGCCAACCTGAACTCTGCATACTGCATCTCTGAAGCTTGTCCAAAGCCACCTTGACTTGTGTGTGTTGAACGATTCAGAGACCTTTGTGCCCTTCACCAGGAATTGACTTATAATAATCTTGGAATCCTCAAGGTGGGAAAGAACAGTCAATGTCACCTCACTTTTAGCTGATCTTTCCAGCCAATGCTTTGTCTCACTTCTCTGAAAGGGAAGACCTCATAACTTTTTCCACTGTCTGCTGAGGAAAACTTTTTCCACCGTCTGCTTTAGTACAAATTGAGAAGCTACCCCTTACGGTGTGGCAAATACGACCTCGCAGTGGCTTTTTTACAGCTACTGCTGGAGCCTGTTGTGCTTTTGCTGGATCAAATTCCTTGCCTTTTGTTATTTGAGCTTCCTTGTGAGAATCGCTGCAGTCTAAAGGAGTGTCAGGACATTCCCTTTCTTTGCCCTTTAATCCAATCAGACAGACCTTGCTTTCTCACACTGAGCTGGCCTGCACTCTAAATTTAGCCCAGCAGCTGTGAAGTAAACTTCAGTGAAGATTAAGATTTCTACTCTGATCGTGCATTTCAATATGAATGAAGGCAATAAAGGGGAGATTATCTTTCTGGTTACTTTTCAAATGTCTCATCTTTGAGGCATCACTTGTTTGCATAAAGTCTGATGCACCCGCTCAGGTCTTCCCTGCCTGCCCCTCCCAGGAAGCTCAAGGCATAGGCAACTAATAATCATTTTAAAAAAACATGGAGGGGAAGCCAAGGGGTCTTTGATGGCAAGTGAGCAAATGATCCTGGCTGCTAGAAAAAAATGTGGCTGTTCAAAAACTTTGAAGGCAAAATTCAGGAAGGTGATGTTTCAGGGGGATGATTTTTTGTTGGGATACATTTTTCTGAATATAATAAGCTACTTTGTATTAGATAGGAAAGAGACTTATATGGAAGATTAATAGCTTAACGTACCATAAATTATTTTGCCAATTATTTCAGACCCATTCCCATAGCACTTTGGATGTAACACAGAGGACTGTCCTCTCCACTCTTCTTTCACCAGTGTTACAAAAGGTCTCTGACATGAAAATGATATGCTATGAGGGTGACCTGCAACCAAATGTTGCAGTATGTCTTCACCTCCCACAGTATCATTCTCCGGCATACTATAAGTAGATTAAGCAGGATTCCCCCATCCTTTCCCCCTTTTTATTTTCCTTTTTAAATATACTTCTGGAAATGTCAGGTTTCCATTGAACACAGTGATCTCTCCATGAACCCACTTTGGCTACAATCCTGGCAGCAAATACCCTCCCTGCAGAATAACAATCAATAACTATTGTGATGATGTTGGAACTTGGAACCTCAACTCTGCAAATTATTTCATCTGTATGATGACTTATAAAGCAGCAAGAACATGGGAAATTCATAATGACTGCACTTGAAATAAAAAAGTACTGTAAAGAGCTCCAAAAGGATCTAGCCAAACCGAGTGAATGGGCAGTAAGATGACAAATGCGATTCAGTGTAAACAAGTGCAAAGTGATACATGCTGGGTCTGAATTGGTGGTGACTGACCAGGAACAAGATATTGGGATCATTGTGGATTGCTCAATGAAGTCAGCAGCAGGTAAGAAAATGGAACAGAGCAACTCCCCTATGAGGAAAAGTCACAACACCTGGAGCTTTTCAGTTTAGAGAAAAAGCAAGTAACAGGATAGAGGTGTATAAAATTATGCATGGTGTCTCACCCAATGAAGCCAAATGTTGGAAGATTCACAAGAGACAAAAGATAGTACTCTTTCACACAGGACGTACTTTCTATGGGAATTTGTTCCCACAAGTAGGAGTGATGGCCACCAACATGGATTAGGCAAATTCATAGAGGACAAGGCCACCTCCATGGTCAGAGGCAGGATGTCTTTGAATGTCAATGGTTGGAAATCATAAATAGAGTGCAGTTGCACAAAGCTCTTTCTTGTAGGCTTCTTGTTGACATCTAGTTGTCCACTGTGAGAACAGGATGCTGGGTCACATGTACCATTGGCCTGACCAATCACACACTTCCTACCTTCTTATTTAAAATCTTTTTATGTTACCTTTGACCATAAAAATCTTCTCAAGGTGACTAATAAAACATAAAACAGGAAAAGATATCAGAATGCAATATAGGGATTCCAAGTGCATTGAAGGCATTGTCTAGTTCGAATTCCTACAATATGCTATATGGTAAGTCAGGGGAAAGTTGCTTGCCTAAGGCTGCCTAAAGGGTTCACATTGGAGGGATGAGATTTAAACAGGGACCGCCTGACTTAGAGCTATGCCAAATCAATGATGGAAACTGTCTCTCAACCAGGGCCAGTGAACATGAGGAGTTGCATCCTAGGAAGTCATGGCTAACTTAAGTCCATTGATTTCAGTGGACCTACACTGAGTAAGACTCCCAAATGCAACCCAAGAATACTGATACACTCCAGGTTAAATATCAGTCTTGGCATATCACCAACAATTATGTGGCGATGGGCAGAGCACTGAGGGGTTATGCTTTATACTTGCGCTGCCTGAGACCACTTCTTTTCTCGGACGTTATACCTGCATCTTTTTCTATATATTGGGATAATTTCCACAGAGATGAGCATTGCCTTGGTGCTGACCTGTTAACACAGCACAAAGAACACAAAGAGCAGGAATTAGTGTGAAAATGTCACTGTAAACTACAATAACCTGTCAAGTTATTAATACAGCATGCTCCCCAAGCAGCAAAATTGGGCCAGTCACATTTATGGGAAGTATTTATATTCAGCCTTTAAACCCCTGAGATTCAGGCGTCACAATTTGGGCACCATAATTAATTATCCCTTTTCCCCAATCTGTTTGTGTAAAATTTGCACTGAGTTCAAATCCTGTGGTTGTCAAGGAGTCTCAGGATATTCGATTTTTAGCCTTGTGAAGAGAACATCCTTCGGGGGGGGGGGGGATAGTCTGAAGAACCCTTGACATGAAACTGGCTTTCAGCCCATATATTTTTAGTTGCTGAGAAATATAATCCTAGTGCACGATGTTTAAGGATTGTGTAATATGTTCCTTGATGACTCTGAGAGTTTTCTGACAATGATTGAAAAGATTAAAAGTGTGTGTGTGTGGAGGGAATTGGATGAGATATTTGGCTGTGTACAGGTAAACAGTCCTTTGTAAAGCTGAATAATTAGTACTGTCCACATTTATTTTGAGTAAGATAGTAAGAAGCAAAAATGAGATATCTCCACATCAAAACACAGTAGATGCATTTCATGACAGTGATGATGATGATGATGATGTGTGTGTGCATATTCTCATGCCCCAGCAAAATGCACTTCCTAGTTTGGAGATAATTGAGTAAGTCTACAAAATGGGGCAAAAATATAATTTCTTTCAGAGTTGAGGGCAAGAAGCATTGCCCTCACTGTGATGTGGCTTAATTGAAACTGGAATTATAAGTATTGGCCATACTTATTTTGACTGAGGTGGTAGGGAACATGAAACAACACAGAGCTTTAGCTCAACCCCAAATCTTTAGTTTTTTTTTAAAAAATTATTGTTTCAATTTCCATCCCACCCTTCATCAATTCACGATCCGTGTGTGTGTGTGTGTGTGTGTGTGTATGTGTAAGAATTTGATTAGCTATATGGCAACATGTCACCGTCACACTGGTAACCTGAAGCCTTCATGCCTGGATCACATAGCCAGGAAGCAGTTGCTGAAAAAGGCAGTGAACACAAAGCAAAACAATGCAAAAAAGAAAAGAAAAGAAAAGAAAAAGAAAAGAAAAGAAAAGAAAAGAAAAGAAAAGAAAAGAAAAGAAAAGAAAAGAAAAGAGGGAACTATGGTTGGGCTAAGGAATATTATGGATCTTGCAAAACAATCCCCTTCACACCATGGGAATTTTACTCCACCCCAATCTCTCTCATTTTATTTATTATTTCAATTTCTGTCCTGTGCTTCATCAATACATGGTCCCACCAGAGGCTGCAACATAAAATACCATCAAAATGTCCAGAAAAAAGCCAGTTAAAGCAATTGACAACTCAGATAAAATATATAAAGTAACAATCCATAGTGCAACAGCATGGATTACAGCTGACACATCAGGTACTCCCTGCAAGACCTTGTTCTGAGAGGTGTGCCAAGAGGGAAGCAATGAAGCAGACCCTCCAAGTGTCCCTGTTTTCCAGGGACAGTCCTGGATTTACAGAAGCCATCCCAATTTCTGGTTTGATCCCGGAATGTCCCACTTTTCCTTGGGATGTCTCTATTTTCATTGGATAAATGTTGGAGGCCTTCTGTGACCGCCGAGCCAAGGACATAAGTAACTATACAATCTTTAGAAGACATCTGAAGGCAGCCATGTATCAGAAGGTTTTTTAATGTTTAATGTTTTATTGTGGTTTTTTTTTTATTATGTTGGAAGCCACCCAGAGTAGTTGGGGCAACCTAATCCTATCAGTGGGGGTATGAATAATGATAATAATAATAATAATAATAATAATAATAATAATAATAGACATCCCTATTTTCACTAGAGAAATGTTGGATGGTATGCTGTATCTCATGGGGGTGGAATTCCAGAACTAAGGTAGCCATTGGAGGCTGGTGCTCATTGGGTCTGGTAGGATGGAAAACAAGGAGGCCAACAGTAGACAGAGCCAGATCTCATGACAGGTCAACTGAATCTGGTTTTGTCTGCAGCCTTTTCCTCCTTTTGAGTTCCACAAAGGCATTGAGACCAAGGAGGAGGCTCACAGCCAGTGCCACCCACTAGACTGGTTGTAAAAAAGGAGGTAGGCAGGTGGGTGCTCTCTGAGTTTGATGGGGCAGTCCTTGCTTGTCCTCATGGACCAGTAATCACTAGGGGGTAACACCATATTAATGGTGAGAGGAACAAGGCTAAAAGGAGGCAATTGGAATCTCTTTATGGCTACATCTAGACTTCCAGTACTTTGTGGGAGGGATTCAAGCACATACAGTATGTTTAGGCTTGTGCAATGAGTGTGGATTAGAGTGTTCTATTGACCTAGTGTAACAAATCTACGCCAAAAGAGAAATGGACTTTTTGTGGTTAGGAAAGTGGCAGTGCCTTGAAAAGTGTGGGATGAACAAATGATCAACAGAAAGATGTATAAACTCTCAGCAAACAAACAGAACGACATCAGAATGCATGCTCAATAATCGAGTCACCTGGAGGACCTCAATGACTCTAGCATAGGGATTCATCCTGCAGGGAAGGAAAGAGGTCTTTTGGATTTGAAACTCCTGATTTCATTCTATGCTAGGACCTACTGACAGCTTTACTGACTGCCTCTGTGTGATGGAAATGGCAGGTGGAGTCGGCTGCAAAGAGGATTTCTGTCTCAAGCATCTACTTCATGGCACATGTGTAACTGAGAGTGTCTAGAGGTCAGGAGAGGACACATCTCTGTTGATATTGGCTTATGAAGAAACGTATATTTATTTTCTTTAATCATCCTCATGACAAGAAGCATTTTCCATTGAACTAATTATACCACAGTGTAAAGTAGATGGGGAAGCAGATTGGTTCAGTGTGTGATGGGTTTGTTGTTTGCTTGTTATTGCTGTTGTTAGCACTAATGGTATTCTTCACATGTGTATCTTGCCCTTCCTCTAAAGAGCTCAGGGTGGCTTCCAGGAGGGCTGCCTCTTCTTTGACCTTGCCTTAGAAAATGTTTATTTTCTCACATTATATCCCATCTTTCTTCATTTATGGAACCCAAGACAATGTACCTGTGGTTCCCAGATGGTTATCCATACAGGGACTGACCAGAGCCAGACCTCTTTAGCATCAGCAAGGTGGTGGCCTTATGTAACTTCTGACCATATTCTGGATAGATTAGATCGTCATTCTAACATCATCCAACAAGTTTCATGGAATCATGTTCTTCTGACCTAAGCCTAGCATTCTGCGGTATCTTTTTTCCAGAACACAGCGAACTACTAAAATATGTTGCTAAATTGCCCTCCTCCCCACCATTGATAAAGACTAGTGGGACTTTGAGTGCCTTAGAGATGGATTTGATAATCTGGCACAAGAAATCCCTGCCCAATCACAAGTACTACATAGCGAAGCCTGATCTGCTGGAGCAGAAGATAAGGTCATAGGGATCAGAACTGGGTATTGGTGCCACCCCTAGACAAATTCTGTGTTCCTCAGCTAAATTCATGTGAGGTGACATTTATTACCAGAATGTGTCTATGTGTTTTTTTCACTATCAGCAGCTGAAGGCAGACAGTAGCTCTTTCCAAGAGTCAAATGTGGCTTTAAAGAGTGGCTGCTGCTCACAGTATGTATATTTATCCCACATTTATTTCTGGCAAACAAGTTTGGCTGATTTTGTCTTAGCACATGATAAGCTGGTCTTATACTAGGTTAGATGATTGGTCAATCCCAATATTGTCTATTCTGATTGGCAGAGATCTTTCCTACCCCTGCTGATGGGGAGGCTGAGGGAACCTTCTGCATTTACCACATGTGGTCTGTCACTGAGTTACGGTGCCTTCCCATTAATGTATGTTTGACCAAAGCTTACAACTGGACAAAACAAAGGTGTTTATACTCCATGGGAAGAGAACCCAATTTTAAACTGTTTCCAACTCTTTTATACATTACTATTTCCAGCCACAACCTGATTGGTGTGAATCTGGTTGTTTGTATTTCAATGTATTTGAAGTGTTTAATTGGGAAGAAAGGTACACAGCTAAGATGGTGGTGACTATCAACATTTTAAAAGAACAGTGTAATGTAACAGTGCTAAACACTTTTTTGCTTAAGCTGTTTTTCATTAATAGTTTAAGATATATATTAAAAATAGAGCCAGAAAGCCATTTAGCACTAAATAGAAGACTGATTAAAAAAATCTACAGGGTGCCCCATCACAAGTGATATAAGTAATGTGTGCTGGCCTATAAAGGGTAGTGTTGAATGCATTTGCATTCCTTTTGTAAGAAAAAGATGGAAGAAACATTGGGGGGAATGCAAATGGACAATGACATAATGTGGGCCCCCATAACATGCGGATGAACGAGACATGGTGATTCCACATTAATGTCTAATGTGGAAGCAGCCTTGATTGCCTTCTGATTCCATTCAATCCCATGCTTGTACTCTAGGCTTTGCTGAAAGCCTCAGTGAAAAGCCATAGCTCAGTGGTAAGCATCTGCCTTGTGAAGGCCCATGGGTCCAATTCCCCAGAGACCTATGTCCGAAATCCTAGAGTGTTGCTGCTAGTCAGTGTAGTGTAGTGTAGTGTAGACAACACTGAGTGAGATGAACCAATGGTCTGAGTGAACCAGAGAGCTCTCAGACACAGAGCTTTAAAGTATGAACCATGCATGGAAAGTTTGGAGGAAAGGTACGTGTGGACAAGCCCTCCATAACAGGCACCTTCCTACATTCCTATGGTCTTACATTTGGTCATCTTATGAATATTTTTTTCTCTCTCTCTCACTCGCTTGCTCGCTCTCTGTATGTATAAATGTTATCATCTTTCACTTTCTCTAAGCCATTTCCTTTCTTTTATAAAACACAGTAGCGCTTTTGGCAGCAAAGCATCAGAAGGCATTTGCTGTTGACAAGCAGTATCCATAGCCCACTTCCTAGATCATATAGCGCAACTTCGTGATGGTGTGCTACAACCAGATACAGAGGCATTAACTGGCTTAAATGTGCAAAGCGACTTCGTTCCATGAGTAATTGCACTGAAGAATGATTGCTCTCCCTGTGCCCTTGTCCCAACGCCTTGCGTTAAGACCAAAGAAACATGTATCTCTCAACATCGCCGCAGCTAACGATGACATGACTAGCAAACGCTGGGAATCAAACCACAGCCAAACAAACACCAGGATTTAAATGCCATTAACACACAAGTGAAGACCTTCTGCTTGCTAGGATTCTTATATCCCAAGAGTACTACCCTATCAGAAGCCCCACTTAAACAACCGTCCCTCAGCTTGAGAAGAGGAAGACAGTAGACCCCTTACAATAAGAGAGTAGTAAATACCAAGGGTGGGTCGACTTTAGCCTTGTGCACAGCGGTGGAGGAAGCTGCTCAGGCGCCTGGGGCGATGCGCCTAGGGGCGGGGTGAGCTGCCCATAGGGACGGGGCACACCGCAGGGCCTCTGGAGTCTGCCTGCCTCCTCCCACTCAGCCGCCCTACAGCTGGAGGGGCAGCAGGCAGACCGTTTGGGCAGTGCAGAGCCTGCGCTCACCCAAGCCACCTGGGAGAGATGCATGGCTTGGGCGCGCTGCAGGCCCCGTGGTGAGTGCCGCCTGGCATTTTGTCACCCTCCTCAGTGGTGACACCCAGGGTGGACTGCACCCACCGCACCCCGTTCTTCTGCCCCTGCTTGTGCATCTACTAATTCCTAGAATGAAAGTTAATAATGAGCTCAAGGCGGGGCTGAAATGCCAATCAACTCCTTTCCCCCACCTAATTAGATGCAATGATGCTCAAAGCTCATTATGAATGGCTACCAAATAATCTTACAGGAACAAATGTGTGCAGGTAATAGGGAAAACATATACAAATGTGCCCTGCTACAAACTCTAATGAAGTCCCCCACCAAAGGAGGGGCTAATTGCTTCTAATCCCTCGTCCCTCACCATGAAGAGAACAAGCAAACAGTGTTGTGCCTATGTTGCTAAATTCCTGGTGCTCATTCTTATTTCCCAGTGTAGCACTTCATGAAAAGGAAAATAGAAACACACAAATCTCACAAAGGAATTTGCACTGTACAGTTTTCCCTCCAGGGTGATAAAACTATTAGCTTGAAACAAACAGTTTTTAGATGAAAATAGATCTTCCTGCAGAGAACAATGCGATTTTCTAGTATATTACAGAAAGTTGTGTGTTTCTTCTAAATAAGAACCTAAGGAAGGTGGAAAGGAAGGAAAGGGATAGTAAGAAAGATATCAGAGTCCCACAAGATCAATCTATAATCATAATGAAGTGCTGGCGGCAATTTGGCAACTTTGTAGCATCTGGGAATAGAAGGTCATTGGGTCTAATTATACCGCAAAGAGAGGAAAGGAAGAAATGTAGCATGTAGCTGAATTCAGAGCCGTCTTAGATTTCAATCTAAGGGAGTGCAATAAATAAATAAATAAATAAATAAAATGCTTTGGCAACAAGAATAGTATCAGCTGGGAAAGGCTGGGAGGCAAACGATCAAGAGGGCCTTTATATATTTCCTCAGTGGTGAATACTGTGTTAGTGAAAGATGTCAGGATGAATTTGGGCAGTGGGTGGAGGAGCAGAAGAGTGAGAGGAGAATGAGTCCAGGGTTGTGAAATGTGTTTAGGTTAGAAATCCAGCATATGGGTTTACGGCTTTAGTTTTACAAGCCAATAGTGATGATATCTGCAGATGTCATTGGGCGTCCCATTTGTTTCTATTCAAGAAGACCATCATTGGTATGGGAGTCTTCCTCTTCTTCAAGAACAACACTTGAGGGTACCAAGAAGGATCAGTGTATTTCTCAGTTCCCAGTAACACGTGCCCTCCCTCCAGGAAGGAATTGCAGAAGTGGGAATTGCAAAGAAGCAGGGCAGCTTCTCAAGGGTACAGTAGCAGAATCCAACTCTTCGTGAGCAAGTCCTAATCATCATGCAATGACAGATTTCTGGGGCAGACTTCAACTACTGCACGTTTCATAGCCCTGAGATGATTGTTTCTCCAAAGAACAAGAACAAGACTTGGGAATGTCTTGCTGTGATCCTCCTAAGAGGATAAGCAGTAGCAGAAACACAAGTTGGTTTAAAAAAAAACAAAAACAAAACCAGAAACACGCACACATTTGGATCTTTCCTTCTAACTATTTCTTGCCTATCTTACAGCAACAAAGGAATGGACAAATGATTCCAAAAACTAAGCAGAATTGATCCTAGACAGTGCCAAGATGGGGCACTGCCTGTGAATCCTATGTAAGCCACTGTGAACTTTGGAAACAAAAGGTGGTATCCGTACACAGTGGTGGAGCTACATGCTCCGGCACCGGGGGGTGGGGGTGGAGAGCAGGTGGGGGTGGGGCTGGTGTGCGTCCCGGGGGTGGGCGTGCTGCCCACAGGGGTGTGGTGCATGTCCTGGGGGCAGGGCACACCGCCTGCAGGGACATGGCGCCGAGCGCGGGCGGGGGGGGGCAGCCATGGTGGCACCCAACTGGGATTGCACTGCCGGGGGCTATGTGCTCCCCCGCACTCCTCTTCCCCTGCCAGTGTCTGTATACAACAAATGTGCTAGTCTTCTTTGATGGTTTCTTCTTTGTAACAAATTTCAACCATATGAGACTTGTAAGGAACAATCTGACTGGGTAACTTTTATATTTTTCTGGTGACCCTGGGAAATGTGAAAAAGTTGCCTAGTCAGCTTGCTGTATTAATCCTATCTGTTTTATGGTCAACAGCCTTCTTTTGTCGCCAAGTTGTCTGGCCTCCCCAACTTCCTCACTATTTTATTTCCTTACCCTTTCTTACACTATGGAAGGAGCCACTTCGTACCTGGTAGACATCCTTTCACCTCAGGGCTTTTTTCAGCCGGAGCTCACTGTAGCTGAGTTCCGGCACCTCTCAGGTGGGCACCATTGCCATTCGAAGAGAGCAAGGAAGAAGTTCATGGTGAGCTCAGGCACCTCTTTTTCTAGAAAAAATAGCACTGAGCAGCCTGTATTGTTAAATTGGGGTGGCTAAGCTGCTGTTGTCCGGATGTTGTTGGACCCTTCATTCCTGACCACTGGCCATGCTGGCTGAGACTGATGAGCATTGTAGTTCAACAACATCTGCAGGGCTACAAGTTGTCCATCCATGACTTAAATAAACAAGCTGTCAAACAATGTTGGGTAGCTGGACTGGAGAGCCACTCAAAGTCAAAAGGGTGTTTTGCTATTGAAAGTAGACCAAAAGCGTCTAGAACGATGCCCTGCTCCATCTACAGAGAGAGACAGGCAGCCTGAAGTAAGAAGAAAGTGTCAGTTTTTACATTTAAGGATTGGTGCTTTATGAGGCTTGATGTCTTAATGCTTCCTCTGGGACTATTCTGCATGAGTGCATTGCACAGGTGGCCCATTGCAATTTATAGTCACAATAATTGAACAGGAGAAATAAGAGCCTTGAGCCTTAACAGCACATGGGATGCAGCTGGTTTGGGTGCTTAGGCGGTAGGCATAACTTTTATATGACAAAGTCTCTTTCTGAAAGACAGGAAGTTGTTCTCTCCTCCCTAGAAGCGTCATGCCCCACTTTTTTTTTTGTAGTTGTGCATACCAGGGCATGCTCCTGGAATCACTTTGTCAAGCCCTAAAACGAGCAATTTAATCCACCATAATTTATATGGCTATGGAATTCTTTTCAATGAACATCTGTGAAAGAGTCAGTTTGAGAAATGCAGGAACCAAGTTGTCATTAAAGCTGGAGACTTGAATGAATATTTTATGATCCTCTTTTTCAAGTTTTTATATGCTAACATCTCATATGAAGTTTTCTTTCAGCACGCGTGCAAGGAAAGCACGGCCTTCGCCCCCCTAAGTTGCCTCCTTTTGGAAGATATTGCAGGATCAGCTATCCCCGAGTTTTCCTGTTCATCACTCAGTTTTAAATAAATGGCCAACCATCTTAGATTGTTTCTTGAAAGAGCAACAGGCCTGTTTACTCTGCCTGAAGCATGCTGCCGCTGCTGGTTTGGGAAGTGGTGTGCACATGGTGTTAGTCACAAGCTATATCTATCCTATCGTTTCCCAAACTTCTATCCACAATGAGAAAAAGAACTAGATATGTTTTATGCTGCTAATGTGGGCACAGCCTCAGAGTCAAAATAAAATCTTCTTCTGAAAAAAGAAATCTAGAATGTCATTAGGGAAGAGAACCAACCATTATGAATGTGAAATTAGGCTGCAATACTGTGTCCTACTGAATTCAATGGGTCTTACTCCCAGGTAAGTAGGGTAAGGATTGGAGCCTAAAATAGTATCTGTTTATTGGTGTGTATAACATGGGAAGTTTAAAATCAGTTTCATTAACACACAATTAGAATTATTAAAGATAGTGGGAAGAATATAGTTGGTACCATATGCACACTGTTAAGTGTGAACAGTGAGTACAATTCTCTGCTTCTAAAAGTGTGGTTGATGGGATGGGGGTGGGGGTTCAGCTCAAATATATGATGAATTCAGAAGCCAAAATGTGTCATTTCACATCTTAGGTGTTTTAAAATGAATTTCCCAGTATAAAGGTCTGTATCCTGGGCATTATTAGATTGTTTGAAAACTACTGAAGGTAATGGAATGAACAGACCAGGCCCCATAGATGTTTTCTCAGGAGCAGGGTTGGGGGAGAAATTGAATTCAGTTCACACTGAAAGCTGAATTTACCTAATTCAACCTTTCTGGAACACTATGAGAACTGAAACACAGCCATCCATCAGAATTCACGCTTCTACAGATTTTGATATGCATTTCTCTAGCAGAGCAATGTGTATAAAAATGTGTGCATTAAAAATCCATATTATTAGGAGAAATTGCTTTGCTTTGTGCTTATTAGGCAAAATTGCAAATTTCACACTACAGTAAAATGCTGGCAAATTTTCACGAGGACAAAAATTGTAAACTGTTGATTCTTGCTATAATAGGGTGAGATAGCACAGTTCAGTGTGCTGAGAAGATATGAAGTGAATATGGCAGCAAGGGCATGAATTTGTTTCATCTGCACTCTGATTCGTTTGCAGAATCCCAGTTTTCCATGCTGAGCCCTATTTCCCAGAAAATACCTCTGCATATTTGGAGAAAAATGAATAATGCTGTTGCCTCTGAAGTATATCCAAGCTTCTGCCACAGGAGGTCACTCAATAGCAATGCATAAATCTCTGAAGAAGTGCAATGTGAAAGGTGACAGGACCTGTTCAAAGCATTTGAAAACCAAACCGGGGTATGTGTACATGTCCATTCTGAATATACCGAAGGGCAGGATTTTCAGCTGATCCTTTTGAAACCATATGTATTTATTTATAAAAATATTTATATTCTTCTATTTCTAGAAAAAACATATTAGAGCTAATTACAGTTATACATTCACTGTTCTCCTAGCCTGATTTTAGAAGTCAGCTGAGCTGGTGAGAAAATAATTGATGAAAGATGGGGAAGAAAGTTGGGGAAGAATTACACTTCCCTCACCAACTGGCATATTTTGGTCATAAAAAATAGAACCTATCAGGTCATTTCTAAACATGTGATCAGGGCAGGTGTGTGAACAAATATGGCTATATGGCTCCCTGTATCATATCTAATTTGTTTTGCTCCAAGCGTTTCTGGTTTTATGAAACCTGGTTTGTGGTTAAGACTAGCAAAGCTAAGATGGAAGAGAGGAGATCTCATTTGCAAAGACTGCATCTCTCAGCTGCTTGCATCCCATCCCTTGCCTTCACTTCCATGTCAAAACACACTGTGGTGCACTTGTGCCTGATTCTCCAAGTCCTTCACTGTTATACATTTAAGCATGTAAGAGTTTCTGGGCTGGATTTTTTTTGTCTCCACTTCTGTATATTCACATTTATTATTGACCCTATATTACTAGATCTGTTTAGCAAGGCACATCCAGTCCTGGGTTTATCTCACTCTCTGCTGTTTCCATTCTGCTGCAGTTCCGCTTCTGCTAAAACCTATGTTGTTGCTCTTATTATCTACTTTGTGCAAAACTTATGAAATTAATTGCACGATTAATTTCAATGCATTTCAGTGTAAGTCAAACATCAAAAATAATATAGTAAATTAAATCCTTTCTTGCATATATTTGGCAGTTATGCAATACTGCCAATACTGATGGTATTTGCTTGTATGATTTCCATTCATGACCTCTGATGAACATTTGAAATGCAGGATTTCTGCTCTCATTTCCATTTCAAATGGAATCCTCCAGCATCCCTAATTCCCCACCCACCCCATTCCTTAGTGTGAGATTAGATTGCAGTTTATTGAGAATTCATTTGTAATTTTCCTTAAAATGATTAAAATATCAATTAAATAGAATGCTGTACCTGATTTTGTAATTTCCTTTAGGCTGAGGAGGATCCATCCATCAGAACTGGACTCTGAGGAATGGGATGGGGAGGGAAGTTAACACAAGCTTCTAAACAATGAAAAATGTCAGCTCCCCACTTTAGCTTCCAGTGTGAGACTATAATGCCAGAGTGTTGAAGTAGTTACCACGGGGTGGCCAACATAGTACCATTCAGATAACATTGACTACAACTCCCATCAGTCTTGAGCACTGGCTACACCCCTGGGTAAGAGTGTAGTACAGTGGTACCTCGGGTTAAGAACTTAATTTGTTCTTGAGTTCCGTTCTTAACCTGAAACTGTTCTTAACCTGAAGCATCACTTTAGCTAATGGGGCCTCCCGCTGCCGCCGTGCTGCTGGAGCACGATTTCTGTTCTCATCCTGAAGCAAAGTTCTTAACCTGAAGCACTATTTCTGGGTTAGCGGAGTCTGCGACCTGAAGCGTCTTTAACCTGAAGCGTATGTAACCCGAGGTACCGCTGTATTCTTGGTTCAATTTTTCCCTCAGTTCACTTCAAATTGCACACTGAACTTGGGGCAGTTTTTCTCTTTCAGTCTAATCTACCTCTCAGGGTTGTTGTGAGATTAAAATGGGAAGGTTGTAAGAACTGAAAGCACCTTGGAGAAAGGGTGGGGGGAAATGAACAAATCCAAGGCCTGTTGATGGGCCGGGCTGGGTTATGTGTGATACTATGGCTGTGTACATACCATATATTTAAAGAACGCTGGGAACTGTAGTTTTCCCTTGCGGAACTGCAGTTCCCAGTGTCCTTAACAAGCTACAGTTCCCATGATTTTGGGGAAACGCATGTGCTTTATGGTGTGTACACAGTTAAGGTAGGAAGTTCTTTTTAGATCTTTCAGTCCTAGGAAGAGCCTTTGCATGGTTTCCCTTTGATTATATGGAAACTTACTGTCCCATTTAAATACTGAGCATCACAGAAAAAAGAGATGGTAAATTACATATTTTCTATGTTTCACCTTCTAGGGAGCAGGGGGAACCTCCCTACAATTCTGATTTGCCTGTTGATCTCCAGCATTGTTTTTGATGAGTTGCTAAATTGCTAAATTGATGGGCCAAGCAATTTATTAGGTGTTTTGTCTGTTTTTAACTGCAGTCTGCCTCTCAAGGAAACAAGTATTGTCTGTGGTGTGGAAGATGAGTCTCTGTGTGATGAGAGCCATGTGTACCAAGCCCCCATTTTTCATAACTGCTGTCATTTTACAGATGTATGACCCTCTTCGCCTGGTTACGGAGAAGCCGGGGGTGGGGTAGAGAATGGGGAAAGAAGATAATATACAGGGCTCCGCAGAAGAAACTCTGGTAGGCAGATACACAAATCATGTCATGCAAACCAGACCCGGCTAAAGGAACATTGCATCCCTCTTCAGAAGACAATAACAGATAGGACAGAGAAAGATGGAGTCTGAGATGATTAGGAAAACAGGAACGGTTAATGGATAACAGCAATGTGGCGCCAAGTAGTTCATTTCATGTCATAAAGATATGAGAAGCAGCACAAACAGAGAGCAGGTAAAAGGTCTTTGAAATTCATCCAATCAATGCAGATACAGGCTTGTGTCCCCAGTGGATCTGGCAGAAATGGATACAGATGGTGGAAAAGTTAATTTATTTCAAATGGTGTCGTTTTGTTTTCTTGGGTATTTCAGCTTGGGATCTTTGTAATGGGCCTACAGCTCCAGTCTATGCCGGTGCTGCAGCACTGACAATGTACAATGAGAACCAGAGCTACCATTTTGATTCTCGAAAGCAGCTACAGATGTGATGGAGATGTATAACCAATGGGGTGCAGCGACCTCTCTCCCATGCTTTGCACGCAGGTGGCCTCATGGTTGATCCCTAGCATCTCCAGCTAGAGCTGGGAATAGCCCTTGTCTGAAATCCTAGAAAACAACTGCTGGTCAGTGCGCTGCAAACATCACTGAGCTAGATGACTCAGTGGTCCAAGGCAGTTTATCCTCACCAACTGGCAAGCATTCTTCATCATGTTGAAAGGAGGGACTTGTCCATTTGTCTCTCAAGTGAGATGGGAAGGTTCTGCACCAGGGACTTGTGTCTGCTGGTAATAGGGGAATGTATTCAATTTCCTGTCAGGCAGTGCTATTTTTCTAGAAAAAGAGGTGCCAGAACACAGCTCCCTTGTTCTTTTAGAATGGCAATGGCATCCACTTGAGAGGTGCCAGAACTGAGTTTCAGTAAGTTCCACCTGAAAAAAGCCCTGCCCTCGGGACATTTTGACCGGCAGACACTAACACATGAACATTCATTGAAGATGAACGTTGGAAGATGCGGGACTTACAAAAGAAAGTACTTCTTCACACAGCACATAGTCAAACTTTGGAACTTAGTCCCACAGGAGGCAGTGATGGCCACCAACTTGAAGGGATTGAAAAGAGGACTGGGCAAATTCATGGATGATATGGCTATCCATGGGTACTAGCTGTGATGGTCATGCTCGGCCTTCATAGTTGGAGTTTGTGGAAGCCACAGGAGGGGAGAGTGTGCTTGTCCTCAGGCCCTGCTTGGTGGTTTTCCACAGGCATCTGGTTGGCCACTGTGAGACAGGATGCTGGACTTGATGGGCCTGATCCAACAGGCTCTTCTTATCTTCTTATGCTGTCTCCCATTCACTTTTTTAAAGGATTGATTTAGGTAAAGGTAAAGGGACCCCTGACCATTAGGTCCAGTCGTGGCTGACTCTGAGTTTGCGGTGCTCATCTCGCTTTACTGGTCAAGGGAGCCAGCATACAGCTTCTGGGTCATGTGGCCAGCATGACTAACCCGCTTCTGGCAAACCAGAGCAGTGCATGGAAACTCTGTTTACCTTCCCGCCAGAGTGGTACCTATTTATCTACTTGCACTTTGATGTGCTTTTGAATTGCTAGGTTGGCAGGAGCAGGGACCGAGCAACGGGAGCTCACCCCATCGTGGAGATTCGAACCGCCGACCTTCTGATCAGCAAGTCCTAGGCTCTGTGGTTTAACCCACAGCGCCACCCACATCCCATTTGATTTAGGATAGAGTTCAATTAAAGCTATGATTTTCAGCACAGCACAGTATGATTATACAATAGTTGTTAACACGGGTTACATTTTACCCTGACCAGTTCCATACAAAAGGTCAACACATTCAAATACAGAAAAATCTAACCTCTGAAATAATAAGATTGTTAATTATTGCAAAGTTCAGGCTGCAATTCAACAAATGATGCTGCTTCCAAGATAACCTGCGTAGGGAAACATAAAGATCAGTCTCTGTGTGCAGTGGTTACATCACATATGATAGTGCTGCCCAAGATGGTATTGTGTGCCCTTTAGATAAATATCCCAGTCAACAGATGCATATAGACTAAAGAAGAGCAATTGAGAAAAATGCATGTGCTGGGAAAGTGCAAGGTAACGACTCTAAGCAAAGTAGATTTGTATTGGCATAAAGCCCTTTCAGAAACATTTGCGGTTCATTTTGATCAATGGATTTGAAAATTCTGCTTTGTGGATATAGCAAATACTCAGCTCTTTGCTTAACGAGGTGATAAGGGGCTATAAAGTCAGCTGAGATACGACATTGCAAACAAAATACTTTAGATTGTAGGTGCTGTTTTTGTACCGAAACACATCTGCCTCAATGTTGGAAGCAGTGCCCTTCACTGGTGTTGACAATGGCAGAAGAAAGCACTATACAGAAGTCTGGAACGAAGCCTACTTCTTCAGCCTATTTAGGCAAACTAGAACTCTGGGCACTGGCATAATTCCTCCATGAAACAGCTTGGCTGAACACAGTGGGCCCCTCCCCAGGCTGAAGAACAGAGCGGACTGCAGAATATCTCTTCTGATAGGAAATGGGAGTATTGTATTGAAAAATGCTGTATCCCATTCCCCAGCATGAAGAATGACTGCTTGTCAAAGAAGCAGCAGTACTTTGCATGCTACTTCAGATCATCCAGAACTTCTTCTCTAGGCTTGGGGGCAGGCAGGCTGGTCTAAGAGCAGCACACATATATATGGCACTGCTTCTCACTTTGGGAGCAATCTGAACCCAAGTTCTGCAGGGATGAGCAGGTTAGGATCCAGTGAGTTAGGATATAGTGGCCATTGATAGTCTTGTTGTCTATGTATCTGCCTAATCCTCATTCAAAGCCATCCAAGTTGGTGGCCATTCATTGCTTTTCACCTGGCAGACACTCCTTCTGGTGGGATAGGATAGATCAGCTTGTATTTCTTGCTGGGGAGGATGCCTGTCAGGTAGGAAGCTGCTCCTTCCATGGTGTAACAAAGGGTAAGGAAAGAGAGGGTGAGGGTTATGGGGCAGACAAACTGGCAACCAAAGAAGGATGCAGTCACCTCTTAGCCGTCCCTGAACCAAGCCACCATATTCATTTCTATATCTCCACCAGTGCCAAAGAAGGTTGCTGTTGTTGCTGTTGTTATTGACAATAGTTGCCAGGCTTAATCAACATTTGAAAAAAGCTTTGAGAGCCTGGAATAAAAGTGACTATAGTATAATTGCAAAGACACCTTAATAAGGATAGTGATCTGTGATAAGCATCTTGATGATTGAAGTAATGAATGAATCAATCCAAGTCACATTCCTTATTTATTCTTTTTTTGGGGGGGGCAATGTTATTTTCTTCCAAATCTTTCCAGATCTTGGGGCATGCAAATATCTATTTTCTTTGCAGTAATGCTGTTAAGAGCAGCCTGGATAGGAGAAGGAGGAGGAGGCATCCCACAGAAGAGATAAAAGAGTACAAAACAGCTCTTGATACCGTGGAGTGTAACCAATTCCTAGGAGTGAGCTTGTGCTTTTGAATATTTTATAATTTATAAACTGGGAACACACGATGTTCTGCTTTTCAAACAGTAGCTCATATTGCATATGCCCTCCATAGACGTGGGATGAAAAACAACAACAGAAAATATGGCCTTTTGTTTCCCAATATTTGGTAGTGCTCTGTGATTTTCATCAGAAGTTTGGCACAGGAGTCATCTGACAGACTGCCTTGTCTATTAACAATGTATAGTTTGGGCCACGCCAGACAACATAATTTGGAGGGCTGCATTCCTGCTAGTTCCATTGAGTACTTACAGCATGATACACTAATCCGACATAAAGACAGTGGCAAATGATGGGGTTAGTTTTGCTGTAGATGACAACGAGGATAGAAGAACATTGTTGGAGGTAAAAGGCTTTGCTTCTGCTTCCAGTGTTGTACTTATTTGCTAATTTGGACTGGGGGAAAGGCCCTAAGTTGGGTTGTGCCACAGCCTCTGGGGTTTGAAGCAATCTTTTATTTGTCCTGAATATTCCAATTTTGCAACATTCAGCTTCACTGGATTTTTGCAAGCAAGTTTCCTGTAGTAGAATTCTTTTTTTGTACATTATTTTCACTAAAGTATGGACATCTGTATGCATTGTCCACTCACATTTACATTTCCTAGATGTTCTTTGGGTGGATAACTGCATTGCAAAACTTGGAGACATGTAAATTTTTGCTTCAGATATTGAAGGCTCGCTGTGTTTTGGTTCAGGAAGTGTGAATCCAGCAAGCTCACATGAAAATGTGAACGAATTTCACCCCCCATCCCTGCACAGGACCTCTAGGGGATAGCGCCAATGCTTCAAAGAGGTTGGGGGGGGAGAGGGGGGGAAAATGTATTCCACTAAAGCCAATCAAATAGTTTATCTGAAGGAAAACCAGTCAACAAAATACTTGAGGAGGTCTAATTGGTCTAAATCACAAGGCCAAATTATGAAGAGGGCCACAGCTCTGTGAGACTGATAAAAAGTGTTTGTGCCTATACAAGCACTGGAACAGAAGCACCCACCCGAACAGAAGTTTGCTTGTTATATGTGTCAGCATTTATGCATAGCTGTGTAAGAGCCAGGCGGTGCGGGGATACTGTACATCTTCAACCCTTGAATCGTACAGCGATAAGACAGACTCTTAGGATTAACAGCCCTGTCAAGGGGAAGTCTCTGAAGTGCTTATTTGTTTAGATGGAGAATTTCATTCATCATTAAGGGAGTGATAGAAATGGAAGCCCATCCGACGTGGTATCTGAAGCCTACCTGGAAATATGTTGAGGGTGGTGAGATTAAACGCCGTCCCCTTTCTGGATCTGAAAGTAGCAGTAGATATGAGACATATGACTTCTGAACTATTTGCTTTATTCCCTGTCTCTCCCCCTCCCATGAAAGCATGGCAAGCCCACTTGAATGAGCAAAGGCTTTTCATACAGGCAGCTAGAGAACAAATGACATTACAATTTTAAAAGCAATTTCCCAGTCATACTCTAAGATCAAATAGTGCACATTTATACAATAACTTATAATTGCATTTTCCTCATTTTGTTCCTCCTAAATTTGCTTAAATTGATAAAACCAACACATGTGTATTGTTTTGGAAGTATTAGCTAGAGATGGAAAGACTACAGTCCTACCTTCACTTAAAACGTCATAGAGTTCAATGAGACTTACTTCTGAGTAGGCATGGTTAGGCTTACAGCTTTATTTATTATCTGCTATCATAATAATTACTGCCCTGCCTTTCTAGAGCGAGAGTACTTACTGTTATTAACATCAAACAACAAAGTCACAAATATAACAACACAATAGCTTAAATTTAAAAACAGAAACAAAAGTATACAGCCTTGCATTTATTACCTGGATCTGAACCCAGTGCTAAAATAGTAAAAGGCAAAGATAAAGGTACCCCTGACCGTTAGGTCCAGTTGCGGATGACTCTGGGGTTGCGTGCTCATCTCGCTCTAGGCCGAGGGAGCCAGCATTTATCCACAGACAGCTGTGGTCATGTGGTCAGCATGACTAAGCTGCTTCTGGCGAACCAGAGCAGCACACGGAAATGCCATTTACCTTCCCGCCAGAGTGGTACTTGTTTATCTACTTGCACTTGGCATGCTTTTGAACTGCAAGGTGGGCAGGAGCTGGGACCGAACAACAGGAGCTCACCCCGTCGTGGGGATTCGAACTGCCAACTTCTGATTGGCAAGCCCTAGGCTCTGTGGTTTAGACCACAGTGCCACCCGCGTCCCTTTAAGCTAAAATAGTGGGGAATCTCTATTCCATAGCTAGAGGCCTGTGTGCTGGGGACTTCATGGGAATGTAGACCTATGCATTGTGGAAACTATTTAGAAGTAAATACCATGGAAAGAAATGGAAACTTCTGTTTACTAAGTAAATTTGGGAACTGGAATAAAATAGTATGTTTACACTTACATTTAATGTACACTTATCAAATTTTCCAGTGCTGTATTTCAAATCTGTGATCCCATGATGTTCACATCCTATGATGTTCTGCATGGTCATCCTGAAGAAAAACAAAAACATTTGAAGGATATTCTTCTTCTCAAAGCAGCTTCACAGCAATTGGAATCTACAAGCCAATACAAGTCTGAACAACTTTGCAAAGCCACCTCTGCTGCTGTGGGTGGTCTTGCAGTAGTGATATCATCATGGGAGTGAACAGGACCCAATTCAAAAGAGCATCCTCAGAGTGCAGACATCCAGAGTGGTCAGAATGCGCATGCTCAGATATGCACTTGACACCCACTAGTATTTCTCAGCAATGCCACATCTGCTCTTACTGTCAAAACTTTGAGTGTGTGGAGATGAGAGTGATGGTACAAACGCGTGTCAACTACGGATGGGGTAAAAACAGTAACTCCCCTAAACATTCCTCAGTGTGAGCACATATTGAAACAAATCATATCCAGATCAGCAATATGGGACCTTTGGTGATGTTAACATCTCAGGTAGAAAGCATTTTCAGGCGCAGATTTAGGGGAGCGTGACTGGTTTACCTGCACTGGGAGCTGAGCTGGGAGGGCGCTACAGGGGGCACCACAACAGTGATGGAGAACAGAAGGTGAGAGGTGGGGAAGGAAGGAATTTTGGCATTGAACAGGGTGCCACTGAAATTTGAAAGCCCAAGGTCCACCACTGGCATTTTGAAGAACAGCTGGAAAAACAGACTTCAAGTCACTCTGAGTTGAATATCAGAATCACTAAGTCAGAATCACTTGTACTCTAGTCCCCGAATTACCTTACTAGTGTGTGCTTCAGGAAATAAAATGTGTGGAGATCTATTCTGAAACCAGCTTTTACAGTCGGGATCGTTTTATTCTAGAGTGGCAAAATGAGGGGAGGGACGTCAAATGCAGACATGCTCTTTTTTGGTGGGAGAAGTAGTTTCAGAATTCAGTTGTTTGTAGGCATGATTGTATGTCAGCATCATGTTCAAAGAGGCATGAAAGGTGAGAGCAGGAGAGGCTGTAAGATCTAAAACAACTGAGAAAGCAAGAGTGGTTCCACGCTGTTGGTGGTCTTCCAGATACTGGACCTAATTGGATGTTAACTAATTAAAGCTATCTTGTTCTGTCATTTTGACAATGTGTGCAGTGAAACACGTTGGTGAAGAAGATGCTTGTTTTCCTGAGTGAAAGAAACAACAGTGGTGACAATTCAAATACAACTCTGTGTAGGAGAAAAGCCACAATGTTAATTTTGTATACACTTCTCTTGGCGCTCTATAGAAGAGTGGTTTTACATTGTATTTAAATACGTGTAGGGAAAAATGGGATTGAAAATAATAATATTCTAAGGACATTTAATTTGATGTTTGGACTCTGATCCTAAACACAGCAGGTGGTTTTTAACTGGGGCCACATTGACACCATTGATTTAAAACACTATGATGTCACTTTAAACAGTCATGGCTTCTCACCAAGAATTCTGGGAGCTGTAGTTTGTTCAGGGTGCTGAGAGCCCCACCCAGAGCTACAATTCAGCGTTGCAGGGGGTTGGACTAGATGACCCTTTGGTCCCTTCCAACTCAAGATTCTATGATTCTATGAATTCCTAGAGTTCCCTGCGGAAAGGGACTGAATGTTAAAACACTATGGAGAATATTTTACATTATTCCACAATTTTGCACGATAGAATCATGGAACTGTAGAGTTGGAAGGGACCACAAGCGTCATTTAGTCCCACCCCCTGCAATGCAGAAATCTCAACCAAAGCATCCGTAACAGATGGCTACCCATCCTCTGCTTAAAAACCTCCAAGGAAGGAGAGTCCACAACCTCCTGAGGGAATCCATTCCACTGTCAAATGGCTCCTACAGTCAGAAAGTTCTTCCTGATGCTTAAGTTCCTCCTGTTAGGGAATGTATACTAAAAATCCTGGAAGATTATGCAGCCAGAATCTGACATTTTACTCGCCTAATGTTTCCCTGTTTCCCACAGGAGTGTTCACTCCAGGATGAGCAGGAAACATTTACAGAAGCCCCAAAACTAACATGTTGATTTGATAGCAGTGCCTTTGACAAACCGGTGCGGTTTAACGTGAGGCTATGAGACCAAGCCTAGAGTGAACTTAACTTCAGAAATAGGAAAGAGCAGATGAGAAAAGTACAGTGCACAACCCTGTGTTGAGGACCGTAAATCCTGTTTTAAATCCTGCTGTAATTTTGGCTTTCTGTCCTCCCCCCCCCACCCAACCTGTATTATTTCACAACTGATTACTTCTGACTGCTCAACACCCAGTTCCCTCGGAAAGTGCTAATTAAGAGACTGAAGAGGCTCATCTAATATTTATACTGGTGGTGTTGCACTAGATCATTTTGCAGTGCATGAACAGCGTCATGAAGAAGGAATTAGAAGCAGTATAGCTCTGAGCCCCAGATAATCCTTCGCTGATTAGTGAGATTCTCATTGCCACCTATTCTGAATGCACTCCTCTCAGGATGTTGATAAAGCCTTTCGGTATCGCAAGATGGACTACCAAGCACAGTGCTAGCTTTCCTACCCAATCAAAGTGAAGCCCCCAGTTCACCTGGTTAAGCTATCCTAATCCTAAATCGGCTTTTAGATTGTCGCTTAACAACTCTGAGGTACTCCAGAAGGATCCAGCGCAAATCCGGCAGTAAATGAGGCCTAGTCTGAGTGAAAACGAACAAACAAAAAGCTTTGAGGAAGGAGGGGCAATATTTTTCACCCCCTAAGACTTACAGGGGGGGAAATCTATTCAATGAGAATTAAGGTGTCACAAATTAGATGGTTCTATGAAGTCAACCTTCCTGTAAAGACTTTGAATTTTTCAGCCTACGAAAGATTATATACAATTGTATCTTAAACCCCATATGATGACAAATAGGGGATTTTCCAAGTGGTGGTTTTTTTTTTACACTTTGGAGGTTATTTTTGCACAGGGAAATGACAAAGAATAGAGCACCACAGAATTTTAAAGTGTAATTATTCTGTGTGTATTTGTTAACAATGACAAATGTCTGGGCAGCCTGTCCAATTATCGATTAGATCTGTATTTCAGACCTTCCAATTAACCTTTACATTAAGGTATCATTTTGTGGTAAAGAGAAGGCTGTGCCTTGTAGCGAAAAATTGTACCCTATAATGTATATTCTTGAGTAATGGTATATATGGTGCACCGCAAATCTCAGCGCCCTTTATTGACTATTTTAACAAGGACATGTTTGAACACTCCTGCTGGACGCTTCTCCCATTCGTAATTAAAGAGGGGGAAAGAAAGCCAAGTTAAGCACAATGGCAGAGAGGCTTCATGCAGACATGCACTGGTGTTGTCAAGGTTGCTTGGAAACCCCTAGACTTCAAGAGATTATTGTATGGATGAATAGAAATGCTGGGAGTCATTTCAAGTGCTCTGAGTTGGGCTTACTGCTCGTTTGACTTCTCCATTTAAAGAGCAATGCTTGAAAGAAGCAACCGCAACTTCCCTGCCCACAGCAAGCTTTCAAATCTCATGCATTATTGGATAAAATCAATATATCCTGTTCAGTAGCTTGAAAGCTTCTGTTCCAAAGGAATGGCATGCTTTGGAGCCTGCTGACTGAATCTGGATGCAAAAGGAGTGCCTGATTTGCTGGTGCTGCAGAGAGAGAGAGAGAGAGAGAGAGAGAGAGAGAGAGAGTCAGTCTCACCCTTGCTTCTGTTCTCCTTAGGAGCCAACTGGGCCTTGGATGAGCCAGTGGCTCCAGAGCTCAGATCTACCCCAGGCTAGAGTTAGAATTGCTCTAAGAAACAACTAGCCAACCAGCCTACCAAAACAACAACCCAACATGTGCAAAAAAAATTTAAAATGGTGAAGTTGACAATAATGACTAAAGACCTTGAACTGAAGCCTCTTTGCTCTAAAGAGGAAGTCTGTTTTGCTTAAAGTCTGTTTTCCTCAAAGAAAATGTCAAAGAATTCAGCATTCTTTTCTTGCTCTTTTTCTTTTTTCTTTTTAAATATACACACTATTTTGGAAAAGGGGATAAGAAAACAAAAATGCCAACTGCATATGGGGCAGTGACACCAGCCAGCAACTGGCACTTAAAGTAGATACAATGGGCTGTATCCAATGGTCCTCCTACTTAGAGTAGACCTATTGAAATCAATAGACAACTAACTCAGGCCTGTTAATGTCAGTGGGTCTACTCTGAGTAAGACTTAGTTGGAGGCAACCCACTGAGTACCAAAGATCACTGATTCTGGAGTTCCCACCCCCGACGATGGTCCTTGAGATCTAAGATATTATCCTTCATAAATAAATTGAGTATAATAAATCCAATACACAAAACCCATCCTGTGGTGGTTTGTCTTTTCTTGTGGGAAGCTTTAGCAGTTCAAGGATTAGCTAGCTTTCCCCTTCCATGAAGGGTCTGATGTAAACCCTTGTACCAAGAGCTTAAAGTCTTAAGACTGTTAGAAATTTCCATCAGTCAGCCGGTATGTTCGTGAATAAAAAGTTAGTTGCTGATCTGACCCCACTCATTGCTCTCTGGAAAGAAGCCATCTAACTACAGACATTCAGCTGCGCCAAGTGAGGGAGAAAGGGGGGGGGGCAGTTATTAATACAAAAGTAATGGGGCCGTTTGCATTGGCATTTGAAGTCACATATATACCTAGGATGCAAAACCACCCATATCTATAGATCAATTTGTTTGAACATCAGAGTCTGGATTTGCAACTTCAAATTAAGACCCCTATGATGGGGGGGGGGGGAGAAGAGGAAAGAGACATTGCACCCTCTTTTGTAATTCAAGAACACCGTGAATAAAAAATATTTTAACAAATTATTTTGTAAATCTATGCTGAGCACAGTGTGAACTGTAGAATTTTATTGTATATAGAAAATTAAAACTGAAAATTAAAACTATTGTATATAGAAAATTAAAACTGTTAAAACTGTGTGCATCTCAAACAATGATCCTACTCATCGGAAACACTAGCCCTTTGCAGCCCCCCCCAGTGGAACAGTTCCTCATATGTGTAGAGTGCCCTTCACATGCTGTCTGAATGTTCAGATGGTGTTCTTTCAACCTAGGTGAGTGGGTGTCTCCTCAACCATCCTAATACAACCATGCTCCATCTATCTCATGACAAGGCAGTGTCTTGAATAGGGAGGGACAAATCTGTCAAATTTGGTTTGTTTCTGTTTCTCACATTTCCAGTCATCAGTCCTGCACATTCCCAGACCAGTTTGTGATATATATATATATATATATATATATATATATATATATATATTTGTAATGAAATTTAATTAGCATTTCAGTGTGAATTTCTTTGAATGCACACGTTTCTGAATACAATTTTGCCTAATATGAATTTTTCCCCCAAAGCAAGTTCCCCTAATTTCTCCTGCTGCCAGTGTGGCTATTTCTGTGGCTCTGACCCAACCAGTTGACATGTTCAAAATCCTGCATGAGTCATGCGACATGAGTGACATTGTGGATCTGAAAAAGTGCTTTTTGGGGGCATGGAACAAAACACGCTTTTTTCAGGGTGAAATCTTGGCCCAAAATTGTGCTAGAGCAAGATGTCTAAAATGGCCACTGTGCTCTTGAGGGGAAAACCAAGATGTCCTGTTTTTTTTTTCTTCTGGGGCAGCTGACAGGTATGAGATGAGCCATTCCAGGTTAGCCCTAGAATTTTTATCCCTCTTTAAGAAGAGTTCTCTTTCCCTTTTTTACTTAGTAAGGAAATGAATGAATGGATACATGCACACATGTGTATATGGCACCTTGAAAAATTAAAAGGCCAACAGCTTCCCCAAAGTATGGGGTGGGGCGAACAAGACTGAACAGGGATGGCTCTACCATTAAGGCTAGGTGTAGAGAAACTTTGGTCCTTCAGATCTTGCGGAACTACAACTACCATCCGCCCCAGTAAGCATGACCAATGGCCAGGGATGATGGGAGATAGAGTCCAGTAACATCTGGAGGGCCAAAGCTTCTGCACACTTCCATTAGGCAAAGTGAGGCAGCTGCCTTGGGTAGGACATTCTGGGGAATTGTGGCAGGACAGTGGTGCCAACTCCCTGGCTGTTTCTCATGAGTTCCCCAGGCACTTCACTCTGAGCAGGGTTTGCCTGCACCCTTGAAAATAGCCTGGTGCCCACAGATATAATAGAGGACCTCCTAGAGGTCCTCTAGGAGACAGAGGACACTATCTCCTAGCCACCATTGAAATAAGATTCAAATGACACTTGACATCTGGGCATGGGATGGGCAGCAAAATCTTGCCTCAAGTGGCATGATGTCTCAGGGAAGTCCTGAAGCTAAACCATGTCCCATGTGCTGGTATCCACACTTGTCCTTTCCTGTGAGAACCCAGGAGAAAACTTGACTTGTACTGTGAGTCAAATATTCACTCTGAACTTGGTTTATGTCAATCTTCATCCTAGGTGGTGTTGAAGTCTACCAAAAGGATGGACCTATTCCCTACAGTGGATTAATTAATAAATAAAATCTTGCCAAATGGCATTTCATGAAGGACCATGAATCCTAAGAAAGATTGGCCCACAAAAGAGAAAACATTGCCCCATACCTTTTCCTAAATGGTATTTAGACATTGGTACTGACATCTGTTTACATGATCACATGATTGGAGTGACAAAAAGGGGTCAGGTCAAGGGTGCACCTCGTCCCACCACGTTTGTAGTTGAAACAAACAAGCTAATAAAAGTTAGGTTAGTTAATTTTTATAGCTCTATTAGTGAAATGCAGAGTTTATCATCGTGGAGGAAGGCAAAATCATGATAGATTCTAAAAAACAAACAGCATGCTCCGGTCTGCACAAACACCAGCAAAGTGTAGGTCAGTGGCTAATCAAAGCTGACAGGGACAACAATGGGCTGGGGAGTGACCAAAGAGCAGAGTTCAAGATATGGGAAGAAAACCAAGAGAAGTAAATCAGCTTAAGTCCAAAATGCTTCAGATCAATTGAGTTGGGAGCCTTGGTGAAAGAGCTAAACTAGATGTGACATTAATTGCATGATTGCAGTGAGCATGGGCTGGGTTACCAACTATTCTGAAGCTACTATTCACTCAGGGGCGGGTAGTGGGGAACTTCCATTGGCACTCATAGGATTTCCCTTCCTAGAACAATTTCCTAGGTGGAGATTTTCTTTGGGACCATGGTGTGTGTGTGTGTGTGTGTGTGCGCACGCATAAAAGGGTTAAATCCTGGCCTCAATCTTGATTCCCCCAGCTGCTATTTAGAATTTTGAAAATTATCACAGAATTGGTGTAAATGTGTAGTCTAACCCCCACAACACTAGACACTCATCAGCAGGAGCCCTTCTCCATGTGCCTCCTCTAAGGGAGGTGTGACCGGTTTTCTAGTGGTAGCTTCCCAGTACAGTGGTACCTTGGGTTACAGACGCTTCAGGTTACAGACGCTTCAGGTTACAGACTCCGCTAACCCGGAAATATTACCTCGGGTTAAGAACTTTGCTTCAGGATGAGAACAGAAATCGTGCTCCGGCGGCATGGTGACAGTGGGAGGCCCCATTAGCTAAAGTGGTGCTTCAGGTTAAGAACAGTGTCAGGTTAAGAACGGACCTCCGGAACGAATTAAGTTCTTAACCCGAGGTACCACTGTAGTGGAATGCTCTTCCCAGGGAAACGCGACTGATACCATCACTGTCAACTTTCCAGCACCAGGCTAAGACCTTTCTGTTCGTCCAGGCTTAGGGTTCTTAAATTGGATCTTATGGCAGCTTTGTTTGTGGTGCTCTTTAGTGTAAGGTTACCAGATTTTTTTCAATGAATCCAGGGACACTTATTGTTTGCTATGTACATGTGAATGCTGAGAAAGCTGTAAATCCGGGGACTGTCCCCGGGAAGCGGGGACATCTGGTAACCTTACTTTAGTAGGGTGGGGAGAATTTATCCTTTTTATAGTTACATTGGATGAGTTCTGTAGAAATTACGTTTATTAGATCTTGTTTTCACTTGTACCTGGTTCTTAACTCATTTTTAAAATCTTGCTTGAATTCTATGGATTCCAAACAATAAATGTAACAGTTAATAAGATAAATAATATTATACACCCAGAGTAGGATAAAGCTATGTATCTATCTATATGCAATATTGGGATTCTTAATCAAGCATGGTGACAGTAAAGTGTTACAGCCAAGAGAAGCTCAAAGGCACTCTACAAAAGCCTCTGAAAAAAACAGCAGATGCCTTATACTGAGTCAAGCCACTGATCCATCTTATCTCAGTAGTGTCTACACTGACTGGCAGTTGCTCTCCAGGGTTTCAGGCACAGAGTCTTTTCCAGTACTACCTCAGAATATTGGACATGGGACCTTCTCCATGAAAAGCAGATTTTCCTATTAAGTTGCACTCCCTCCCTCAAAAACAAGACCTTTATTCTTCACATGCTCTGTTCATTAGCAGCAAAAGCTGAAGATGGCTCAGAACTAGTCTCATCCTTTGGCATTGATATCCTAAGGACACAAAGATGCCATGTAATTTCTACATTCTCCTCCCATAGCTGCCATGGATCCAAGTTACAAGTCCTGAGGGACACAGCTGCTGGGGAGGGAGAAGAACGTATCTTCAGCCACCCTGCCCAACCATACTGGCGTATTTAGTGATAAAAGCAATACCACCAGGTGACGACCTGGCTGGCAACCATCGCAACTCTCATTTCACCCAACCAGGGGTAGACTGATGTTCTCCCCAGGAATTATCTCCAGACATGACTTTAAAGATAAGTTTGCAGCAACAAGATATAAGCAGCAATTCTTCTTTGTTGGCAACGAGGGATTAAAAGGCAATCTGTGCACAATCTTGTAAAATCGAGGCAAAATCTAGGTCAGAGGTCTTGGGTTTAGTCATATGATGGGGCTTCTGAAATTCACTAGTTGCAAATTTGAGGCCTAAATCATTTGAGATGTAGAAAAGTAGGAAGATGCATTCATGATACAAGAAGTATCAGGTGACAGAAATGTGGAAGCACGAGAATGTGCTAGTAGATATGTCCATGCAGTGATCTCATGTTGGGAAAGGAGCAAAAATTAGTGTGTTGTACATGGAACATGACACATTGCATTATTAGCACAGCGTAGCAGGCTGGACAGTGTTCTCGAAGCTACCAACATGAGTTTGACCAAACTACGGGAGGCAGTGGAAGACAGGAGTGCCTGGCGTGCTCTGGTCCATAGGGTCACGAAGAGTCGGACACGACTAAACGACTAAGCAACAACAATAGCAGACATATGAGTGGGATATCAGCTGCCAAGCCCTGCATTCAGATCTCAGCTCAGATGCAAGCTTATTAGATAGCCTTAGGAAAGCCTCAATCCACCATCCATAAGATCAGGATGATAATAGTGGCTTACCTAACAAGTAGCTGTGGTGATGGTCACAAATGCAGATGGTTTTAAGAGTGGATTAGACAAATTCATAGAGGATATGACTATCAATGGCCTCTGGCCATAATACCTCCAGGATCAGATGAGGTTTTGCTTCTCCAGTCACTGGAGAACACAAGCAAGAGGTGGCGATTGTGCTCATGCCTTGTTCATGGACTTTCCAGGGGTATTATGTTGGCCACTGTGGGAGACAGGGTGTTGTACTAGAGATAGTTCTGTGATCTGACCCAGCAGAGCTCTCCTAATGTTCTTAAGCTTATGTGCATGAAGTTCTTTGGGCAATTAGGAAAAGTTCCATACAAGCACCAGTTCTATGTATAGCAAGGATGGGGAATCTGTGGCTCTCCAGATGTTGATGAACTGCAGCTCCCATTATCTCTCCCCACTGCCAGAGCTGGCTGGGGCTGATGCAGGTGCTAGCCCAACAATATCTGGAGGGCTATGCTCCCCCCCCAAACAATGTATAAGATTACGCTGTTGTTTTGTGTTTCATTGATTTAAATGGGAGGTTAAGTATGTCTCAAAGAAACCAATGAGATCTACAGTGGTACCTTGGGTTACATACGCTTCAGGTTACATACGCATCAGGTTACACACTCCGCTAACCCAGAAATAGTGTTTCAGGTTAAGAACTTTGCTTCAATCCAGAGGGGCTACTAGGGGCGCATCGGAAGATGGCTGACAATAACATCTCTCCGACCCACACGAGGTAATTAGGAGGCTGTGATGGGAGTAAATAGCCTCCCTGCCCCCTCAAGGGTGTGGGGGGACTGCCCTTGCCTGCTGTGCCCGATACCACCCCCCCAAATTTGTGGGGATGGGAGCACTAGGCAGAAAGCCCTCCTGTGGATCTCGGCGCTCCTGGACGCTGTCTCTGATCCACGCCTCTAGTTTGCAGCAACTTCAAAAGAAATGATTAGGAGGAAGCGAATGCACATATTTCAAGGAAGAAGGGGGAGTAAAGACTGCTAACTGAAGAGATCTCTGATAAACAAGACGGGTTGGAGGAACAAGAATAAATCATGAGAAGACCCACCAAGGCTCGGTATGGCAAAGGGACTGGATGGGGGAGGGGAAAAACTTTCCTTTCTTTTCTCTATGTGATTAACCAAGAATCCCACCCCCCACAAGTCACAAGTTAGTAATGCCGTTTAAATGACTTAAGCTGTGAATTTATGACTGTGTGGAGATAATTTACTAACCAAAGCATGTTTCAAGAAGATCGTGGAAACTATAAGAGCTTTGGAATGACGCAGTAAAAAATACCATCGCCATGTTGGCAAGTTCTGTCGGAGGACTTAAGTCTGGGAGGAGGAAAAGAGCTGTTTTTATATTGTGGGTGAGACTCCTCAGAGGGACTTAAGAGCGACAGATTTGCGAGATTAAGGATGGAAAGAGTGATGTTATTTATGAAAGCGATGATATATGGAAACCATCTTGATATGAGGACTGGACGAACGGAAAAATTCACACAGGATTATAATTGATGTTTGTCTGCTTAAGGAGATTATCAGAAGAGATCATAAAGGAAAGAAGAAGAAAATATACGAATAAGATGAGATGTGGAAACAGCAAGATAAGACTGGATAGAATTATGAGGATTATTTGGACTGATTTGTGGATATTAACGCAGTAGCAAGAAGATGATCGGAATCCCCCTTTGGAACTTGAAATATGGGTCCCCTCAACAAAAATTTAAAATTCGGCTTTGTAATTCGGAATTTATGTGATGTGATTTGATTTGATTTGATTGGTCGGTTAATAAAAAATATTTTTTTTAAAAAAAAGAACTTTGCTTCAGTATAAGAACAGAAATCGTGCTTCGGCAGAGCGGCGGCAGCAGGAGACCCCCATTAGCTAAAGCGGTGCTTCAGGTTAAGAACAGTTTCAGGTTAAGAACGGACCTCCAGAACGAATTAAGTACTTAACCCAAGGTACCACTGTACCTTGTTTCCATTAATATTCACAATAACACAGGTGCATGGAGACTTCATAGGACCTACTAATGAGTATCATGTGATGCTTTGTACTGGAAGAATGTTCTTGGGTTGTGCCTTACAAATGATAGGAAGCCAATCCGTTTCCCAGATCAGTTTGGAAGCTCTCCCAGCACTTGTTGATTATTCTTTTCTTTTTAAACAATGCACTGTAGGACATTCTCAAATATTATGGAATCTCCCCTTCTAACTAAAACTGAAGTGAAGTAACCCCTAATACGACATGAAATTGCTGCCATCTCATCTATACTTTCCCCTGGTGGGGCTCATTCAGCGTGGATGCAACTCTTAAAATGCACTGAAAACACACATGTTAATCTCTAAAGATGCGAGCAGCTTTGCTGAAATCGATGTCCTGAATGTTTGTAAAGATTTGTGGATATAGAACTATTTGCAGGCCCAGGAAGTAAATGATAAACCACACAGAATCCAGTAGTTCATAATAAGTCACCCTGGCTGTGTTCCAAGAATTGTTGCCAGTAATAAGAGTTTGGGAGACTGCCTCTATCTAAAAAAAGATTCCTTTTTACCATTAAGGCTTAGTCTGTGTGCTCATCCTTTGAACAGAGTGGGCTGTTTATTTATCTGTATGTGTGCATAATAGCCTGAGACAAGGTAAATCCCCCCCACTTTTCTTTCTTGTCTTTCAGGTATTTTTCCATCGTTTCTTTGTGCGTGACTGTTTGATTTGAGCAGGCTCCTTTTTTCTTTCAAATAGAACAGGGGAGTAAACAAAGCACCTTTGCATTATGAAGAAAGGAGGGGGGGAGAGAGAAGAGGCAGCTGAACAATCGACACAGCAAATAACACGAACTCCTTTTGGCACTTCTTCTTTCAAACCTGGAGAATTAAGAGTAAATGCTTGCGTTTAAAAACAAAATGTTAAAAACCCCATGCACCCCCCACCCTTTATCCCACCCTCCCAGAAAACCCCAACCCCCCCAAAATGGCATAAACACACACCAGAAATATTTGATCTGGTCTTTGTTTGTGTGCTGGTCTTTCTGATCTACTGAGGGGCAAGAAAGTGGTACAGTGGTACCTCGGGTGAAGTACTTAATTCGTTCAAGAGGTCCGTTCTTAACCTGAAACTGTTCTTAACCTCAAGCACCACTTTAGTTAATGGGGCCTCCCATTAGCCGGAGCACGATTTCTGTTCTCATCCTGAAGCAAAGTTCTTAACCCGAGGTACTATTTCTGGGTTAGTGGAGTCTGTAACCTGAAGCATATGTAACCCGAGGTACCACTAATTGCTGTACTGCACAGAGTAAAGAGCAGCAAGGTATTTCATCCATACGTGCATTTATCACTGAATCCATTGTTGGAATAATAGGCTTATACTTGACTCACTCAACACTGACTGGCAGCAGCTTCCCAGGGTTTCAGACAAGGGGTTACTCCCAGTCGGGGCTTGAATGTGGGACTTTCTGCATGCAAAGCAGATGTTCTACCACTGAGCTGCAGCCCCTCTCCAGAGATCCTCTCTAGATTCACAAGCTGTTCCTGCTGATTCTCCCCAAGAGGAAAAGGCTATCACAAAGCGAAATGGGAAACTCTTGCTGTTTTTCTCTAGATGGCAGCATCTACCTTATGGTCTGTCTTCTGAATGTGAAACAAAATTCACATGCAAGACATGAAACGTTTAGCATTCTGGTTTGGTTCTGAATGTGTAGATCCCCATGGCCTGGAGTATTTGCATGGCAATGCTACTTACTCAGCAGTAAGTCCCACTGAGTTCAACGGGGTTTGCTTACTCCCAGAGAAGCAAAGGGAGCGCAGCCTTAGTTTGCAAAGCTTCTCTTGGTTTCTCAATTCCTCTTGTTGATGGCAGTCCCTTGTCTAGTCGAGGGCACTTTTCACATGCTTTCCCTCCCCATCTCTTTTCCGTGAAAATGGCATGGTATCTCTATGGTTGTGCTTGCCAAGATTAAGGAGCAGGTATTTAAATGGTGTTACTGAGTGCAATGGTGCATCCGCTATTAAGCAAATGGTTGCCATTTACTCCTCCGGAAAAAGAAAAGCAGAGCACTGTCCAAATTTCCAGGGGGAGAAGCACCTTCCTGCCTAAACACTGGCTAGCTCAGCCATTGCTGATGAGAAATGCTTGCACTGGTGTAGTGCATCTGCTGCACTATATGAATTTCCCCTATAGAAACAGAATATCAGCGACACTGACTGGAATGTTACTCGTATTATAATAATTTGATGACTGATACAACGGGAAGATAATAAAAAGCAAAAGTTTCACTTACAATGCATTTTCCTGAATGAACTCTGCTCCCCTTGTAGTCCATACATCAACATTCTAAACAGATATATACATTAACAGAATGTGATCCTCATGTGGAGTGTCCAGCTAGTGGAACAATCTTCATGGGTTCTCAACCAAACTTGGACCCTGCTCTGAGCACACACCAGGATACTATAAGAAATTGGGATATTGGCCAACTTCCATAACTTCATAAACCTTCTCGTTCTCTGAACTGCTAGGACTCAGCTAGATTGGTAAAGAAAAAGTGATCTATACGTGTTGTATATGCAGTATAGGGACGCGGGTGGCGCTGTGGGTAAAACCTCAGCGCCTAGGAATTGCAGATCGCATTGTCGGCGGTTCGAATCCCCGCGGCGGGGTGCGCTCCCGTCGTTCGGTCCCAGCGCCTGTCAACCTAGCAGTTCGAAAGCACCCCCGGGTGCAAGTAGATAAATAGGGACCGCTTACCAGCGGGAAGGTAAACGGCGTTCCGTGTGCTGCGCTGGCTCGCCAGATGCAGCTTGTCACGCTGGCCACGTGACCCGGAAGTGTCTGCGGACAGCGCTGGCTCCCGGCCTCTAGAGTGAGATGAGCGCACAACCCTAGAGTCTGGCAAGACTGGCCCGTACGGGCAGGGGTACCTTTTTTATATGCAGTATAACATTGTGCCACCAGATGGCACTGTTGGAGTCCTGTTTCTTCCTACTGGATTTCCCCGTTTAAATTACGTGTTTAATGGAAATACTTCTTTGATGTGTCTAGATTTATCCCTAGTCATTCAGAGTTGGAATATCAAGGAACTTCTAAAGTCAGAGAAGGATATCATGACTTAGAAACTCCAGATCATTCAGAAACATAATCTGATCCAGAATGCAGCCATCCAAGCGAGACCTCTTGGAAGCTGGGTTGTCATCGTGTTGGACATAATTATGGTACCAGCTGTGCTTTCAAAGGAAGTCAGAGTGCTGTCCAAGGAATGGAAGCTGATAACCAAAATAACCAAGCAAGGATCAGACAGCATTCAAATGAGTGAAGAAGAAAGAAGGGCCCCAGAACTCTGAGCCAGGAAATGGTTGTGAAGCACCAGCCCCACTGAGATAACATTTGAAGATATTAAGAAATACCTGTATAAATGGGTTGCGACTCCACTTTGCCATGCTGTTCATAAAGCGAGAAGAGCTGTGAGCCTTTCTCAAGCCAAGAGGAACAGAAGGGTCATGTTTAATATAATAATCAAGTAATCCATAGGCATTAGGACAAATAGCATACTCCAGATACACTTTCAAAGGGCAGAAGAGCTATCGTATTGAAATCAGATGCCGTGTACATCACACATAATTTCTTCCCGCACTCCACTTCTGTCCTGCTCTGCTTCTTTCTGGCTCTGGAGATACATCTGTTTCTCCTCCCTCAGTTGATATGATCCAGTTAAATCCAGGCTTTGGAGACACTTGCATGAAACATCCGCGATTCCTTGATTTTTCAGAACATAAATCTTGCGACGAGCCTCACTGTGTAGGCCTCTGTTATGAGATCATTTTCCCTATGAAATGCTATTCCGCCCCCCCTTTGCAGCTATATTGAGACCCATGCAAACATAGCACTGTCAAAACTGATCTCCATATAACACACCAAACAATTGTTTCCCCAGAACACTGATGAAGAGAGTGAAAAGGGTAAGGAAAGAAAAAAAGCTGCTAGCTAGGGCTCTTCAGCATTTTAACAGGCAGCTATGGCATAATTGGAGATCTCGAGAGAATGCAGACCCTGAACATATCAAGTCACAAAAGGCTTTGCTCAGATGGAGATTCTGAAAACAGGCAACCTGCTATCAACAAAGATGGCGTCCTGTGTGTCTACTGTATTCCCCTCTCAGAGCTACAATTCTCAGAGCAGTTTAACATTCCTTTTTTTCACAGAGAACTCTTGGAATTGTAGCTCTGGGAGGGGAATAGGTGTCTGCTAACAACTCTCAGTACCCTTTGACTACAGCTCCCAGGATTCTTGGGAGAAGTCATGACTGCTTAAAGTGGCATCATAGCTGTCAGTCAAATCAAAAATTAAAAAAGGAATGGAAATGTTTTGAAGATTATATGTTAAAATATTGTTCTAAGGAAGGTATGCTAATATGCCTAGAATAAAAATGTAAAGTATATTTATGATTTGGAAAAGAGAAGAGATAAAAGAAATACAAGGAATGATACATTTGGAGAATGCAAAGATAAAAGTGGAAATAGAGATTCAAAGAAGTTGAATTGTGGCGGAGGGAAGCTGTGGGTGGGAGGGGGAGTATTATATGATAAGTATGTAATATTTGCCTTCAATATTTTTGGATTGTATTCAATCTATTTTTCCTTTTTTTCTGTACTACTTACTTAAACAAAATAAATAAAAGTTAACATAAAAAAGTGGCATCATAGCATTTTAAATGTAGTGTTCCCAACATTTCTCCAATGAAAATAGGGGCGTCCTATTCCATCACCACCACCACCACCACCACCACCATCATCATCACCATCATTTTATTATTTATACCCTGCCCATCTGACTAGGTTGCCCTAGCCACTCTGGGAGGCTTCCAATGTATATAAAAACATAGTAAACCATTGAACATTAAATACTTCCCTATACCAGGCTGCCTTCAGATGTCTTCTAAAGGTTGTATAGTTACTTATCTCTTTGGTTCGGGGGTCGCACAACTCCATACCCGCCAACATTTTTCTGATGAAAACAGGGACACCCTAAGGAAAAGCAGGACATTCCAGGATCAAATCAGAAACTGGGACGGCTTCTGTAAGCCCAGGACTGTCCCTGGTGGGTCTGCTTGGAGGGTCTGCAATAGTGTAACAGTGGCTCTACTTGAATACCGCCTACTGATCAGAGTCCTAACATTACATAGTTTTAAAATGACTTGGCCTTTTCCTCCATGAATTTGTCTAATCCCCTTTTTAAAGCCACCCAAGCTGGTGACTGTCACTTTATGTTGTGGGAGCAAATTCCCCAGTTTAATGATGTGCTGTGTGGAAGAAGCAGTTGCTGGGAACCGCAGAAGGGGAGGAGTGCTCCTGTGCCTCTGTCCTGCTTGAGGACTTTTCACAAGCCCTCATCTGGGTGGCCATTATGAGAACAGCAAGCTGGACTTTTCTTTATGTTCTTCAGCACTTTATTTTGTCTGTCCTGAATCTCCCAGCATGCACAGCTTACTACAGAAGTCGGCTGAAGTTCTTCTCAGTTTTATTCCCATTTATTTCAGACAGGCAGTGAGGTTGTCTGGATCCTCCAGAACAACCAAGTGTTCAAATTATGTATCATTTCCAGAGAAATTGGCTAGAGTGGAAGCAACCAGTAGCAAAATGGGTTTGTGTAGTATAAAGGAAGTGTGTGTGGGGGGGGGGTTTGGGGGGGGGAGAAGAGACAATAAATCACCCATACTGTTGCATCCCAGTAGTATCTGGTTTTGAATTAATTAGGTTAATTCCTTTCCAATATTTAGAAGTTAGGAAGGCCGACTGAGACAAACCTCATCCTAAGTCTTCCAGGCATTTCCCTTCTTAATCCATTCCACTGGCAGGAGGGATTCATCTTACTTCTTTCAAAGAAAAGAAAAGAAAAGAAAAGAAAAGAAAAGAAAAGAAAAGAAAAGAAAAGATGTCTCAGGTTGGTTTGATGCTCTCTAACAATATGAAAATAATATTCCCAGTTCAGTATGGACATAGTTACACTAAGGAATAAAGCCCTTTCCCCAGCAAATACTGGGAATTTTAGTTCTGCATATGATGGGCACTTGCTCAGTTAAAACAACCAAACAACGTGTCACCAACAATATTTTCATGAAATCTGCAGCTGGCAATTTATCTGTTGAATTATTATAGTTTGAGCAGAAATATTATTACCAAGGTCCGACTCTGCTCCAAGCAGTTTTCCATTTGCCACACCACTTTCCTGCTCTTTGCCTTTGAATCAGAGCAAATTCCAATCCATAGAAAACCCAATTGATGTATGTTCTGATTCCACACACAAAAAAGAATAGGTTTTCCCAGGGGAAAGCAGCAGGACAAATGGAAGTGTGGACTAGCACACCCTAGTTCTGAGAGTGGGATAAGGGAATTTCTAGCAGAGAACTATCAGTGCCGCAACAAACTACTATCCCTAGGATATTTTCAGTTAGAGTGGTATAAAACTAATATAGGTTGGTAGGGCAGATAAGTCCAAGCTTCTGATTTCTCTAACACTTTCCCCAAAGGACCAAACTCTGATGCCATTGGCTCTGTTACCTGCTATATACATTTCTACATATACAGTGGTACCTCAGGTTACATACACTTCAGGTTACATATGCTTCAGGTTACAGACTCCGCTAACCCATAAATTGTGCTTCAGGTTAAGAACTTTGCTTCAGGATGAGAACAGAACACCACCGTGCTCCGGCGGTGCAGCGGCAGCAGGAGGCCCCATTAGCTAAAGTGGTGCTTCAGGTTAAGAACAGTTTCAGGTTAAGTACAGACCTCCAGAACGAATTAAGTACTTAACCTGAGGCACCACTGTACATTCCTAAAACATGTACATGCACACACACACTCACACACACCATGCACAGTTGTGTTTTTACAGTAGGATCTGGACTGCATTGCATAAATTGTGTTTGACATGAAGTGCAGTTACAAATATTTCAAAACTGCATGTGGGGAACGCTCAAGAAACCCATTCCCATTGTTATCTCTTCATATTTTATTATTTTCACAGCAGTACCAAAAGCTATGTAACTAAGACCAGATTAGCAATGGAAACTTTTTCTTAGAAACAATTCCCAAAAGATGCTTGCCCATAACTGGTCTGATAGGTATCTGAGCAAAATCAGCACAGTCCAGCACAAAATCAGCAAAAGTCCAGCACAGGCATGCTTAGTTTGGAGATGCATAGTTCCTAATGTTCCAAAGAACCAATAAACATTAAAGTTGTTGGTTTTCTTTTGCCTTCTATGCACATGGATGCTTCAAAAATCCTTATCTGCATTTCTCCTTGAATTTTGGATTTTTGAATTGCTTGCTCTTGTTTCTGAAATGGAACTGATGTGTTAAGTGAACTACCAAACAATTCTTCTGTTTTTCCACAACAAGGTCCTTGGAAGGTTTTTGCGTGGGTGTATTCTGCAATATGGCATTGATGCAATCAAGGAGCAACAGAGGTGGATTTATAGTGGACCAACTAGATATCATTCTGCCTTATTGGTTGTTCTGCAATGCTTCCTCAATGTTGTCCAACGTTTACGATCTGGAGGTGCAAATTGGTAGTATAGCAGATCAAAAGCAGGACAAAACAACAAGTGTGGAACATTGGTGGTTATAAAAAGTTGCAGGCTTTCAGCAGGAGGCTACAGGACATGGACTGACTGGAAATGTCCACCTTGAAACATTTGCAGGTGTGGATGTCAGGGACTGGATGGATGCAGAGGAATGGTGGGAAGAACCAGCTGGGGAACCCCCAAGGGAAGAAGACTCAGACCCCAGGGATTGGTGGAGGGATGACGATGAGTGATCAGAGAGAGGAAACTGGGAGGTGTCTGAAGCTGAAAAGATAACAGGGCTTAATGAGGAGGGAGAGTCTGTGGCACAGAGAAGTCCAGAATAAGAATCAGTAGCTGCAGCAGAAGAGTGGGATGAGGGAGGCCAAGAGGCAGAGATGTCAGGCTGGTGAGTGTCTCCCGCTCCTGCTGCGATAAGCTCCCCTCCCTCCTAGTCTCCCAGAACCAGGAGAGGCATGAAAAGGGTGGAGGAGAAATTAGCCATGGAGGTGCAGTCTCAGATTGCTTGGGAAAAACCCAGGAGAGGAAGGGACTTAGGCAGCGGTGGGATGGGGGGGACCTTCAGTCTCTGCAACTGCTTTGCAAGACATACCGAAGAAGAGTTGGTGTGCTCATTAGGTTTGACACTCCTGTGCAGATCCTGGGTTTTTCATTTATTTTTAATTAAGAGTTAACTCCACTTGCTTCGTGTGATTTACAGCTGGCTCACTCCTAACAGTGAATGTATAGAAAGTGGGGTCAGTTGTAACCAACCCAATACCATCAGAAGCAGAATAATCATGAATGCACAACAAAAATGGCATCTGGATGGGGCATTTCTTATCAATTACTTGTTTTTCCCACCCCACAACAAGAATGTTACAAGCTTTTTCTGGGCCCACAGAAATCTTGCTTGGGGACACTAGATCAAAATAGCCTTATATGCTAGTTTTCCTTTCTACCGGCTGAACCTTGCCACTCATAGAATGCTGCTCCGGAGGGCCTCCAGTCTCTGAGACTAGCTGTGTGTGTGTAAACATCAGGCCAATCCCAACTCCTTGGATCTCAGCCTATTTATTGAACCCCCCCTCTTTTAAGGAGCTGAGAGCAGTATAACCGAGGTTATGAACTTGCATATAAAAATGAGAAAGGATTGGCACCATACCTGATGGGAATTTAGTAGTAACATTTCAAACTGGAAAGAGGCTCCTACACTTTTCCTGAATGCTTCCTGCGTGGCAAGATATGTGAATATTATATTGACCACAGCTTGACTTACGAATGGAGCTTTACAGCTACCCAACTGAAGTACTGTATTTAGGAAAGGGATAACAGCTGCACTCAATGGAGTTTTTATTGTCCTTTCAAGTAACTCAACCCAACAGCAGCAGCATTAAGCAAAGTGTCGTGGCAGAGCAGAGAGCAGCATGGCCTGTTCCTTGAGGTCATGCTATAAGTGCACAGTTATTTACCTTTCTGACTGCATTGTGCTCATCATACCTGTAGATGGTGGGAACTACTCAAAGACTGCACCCCATTTCTGTTTATAGGCATAATTCCTAAAAAGTATAAATTGCCTTGTCTTCCAGAAAAAAGGCACAACATAATTTATCAGTGGGCTTGAATTCAGTCTGCTCTCTGTCCTAAAGAGTCATTTAACGTAAGTAAGGAACATGCCAAATGCACACACAATTTAGGAAAGACTTTAAGTCTATGAAAACCATTTGGAGTCACTATAGAATTGATAAATGGAGGAACTCTTACCCACAATCAGTACAATAATCCGAAAAAGCAACATTATTAAGCCTTTTTGGCAAACAAATCACCTTTAAAGGGATTTTGGAAAGACTTGGCTATCCATATATATAGAAAGAAAAGCTAAGAACCATACTGGAAGGATTGCATTAGTGAGCCACAGTGCTAACTCTTGGAAATGAATTTTGACAAGTACTCTTGCTCAGTGCTTTTAAAACTTCTACTCCGATTGTGGATACTCCTCTGTGTTCATTCAGTTAAGTAGAATGTTACAGGGAGTCTTCACAGAAGCAAGGAGTCGCAGAAGCTTCAGCTGGGTCATAGGTGATGTATTTACAAGGAGTGGGATTTATAAGGCAGCAATCATGAGCAACAAGCACTGAGATTTAATGGGAGGAAGACTATAAGACAGGAATGGACTGGCTAGTGAGGAGCCAGAAGAAAAAGGAATTTATTTGGAATGATACTGGGAATTTGTACAAGGAAGCGTGATAACATCAGTTCCAGGTCTGAGGAACCTCTGTTAGGCTTTGGTGGACTTACCAGGCAGAACCATTCCAAATGTTGTCACTTTATTTCTGTAATTTTCTGGGTTAAGGGGGCTGCGTCAGATTTTTTCTGGAATCAAATAACATGGAAATGAGTCCTAAGCATGCACTATATTTCATATGTTTTCCAGAAGTGGCTTTTATATCATATGAAAGTTCAGATATAATGTGGAAATCAACAGGGAAATACTGAGAAAATGAAATAACCTGTCATATGAATACAGCTATTACCACTTTCATGAAAGAGGCAAATGTAGAGGTTATCCCTGAAAGATCACTGTGTATAGGCCTATTTTGCTTTTAAACACAGACTATAAGGGGGAAAGGTGTGAAATGAATAAGCTAAGTACTTTGAAAGGGAATACGCATTGTATGCTAAGTTTACATAAGCCAAGGTGTGGCCTGCTTACTTGACACACTGAAAAGGATTGTCCAGCATTTCCACTGTGAACAAACCTGCAGATATCAATTGTGTGGACTGTGGATCTAAGGATAAGAAAAGATAAAAGTTTTGTTTCCTTGTGGCAATCAATATTGCTCTTTCATACACTTAATCTTTAACTATTTTAAATCTTTTGTTTAGAAGGCAAATTTAGCCCGTTGCCATTTATAAACATGTTATATTCAAACAAGACACCATAACTATAGCAGAAGCAGTTTCTTGATGCAAATCCATCAACAAAGAACTATCAGCATCTAGTCCAACATTATCAATGCCAGAAACGTGACAGTGGCTGCATTCAGATAGTGTTTTATTCAACTTCCCAGTGTTTCCTTACCTGATAATGTCCCTTTGCAAGGCAATGTGGGAATGTTCAGGGAGGCAGGAGAGGATATATTATTTAATGATATCCTTCCTAACTTGAATTAGCAAGTTCTATATCTAAGCAGAGTTTAAACATTCCCCTTTAAACGCACAGCGATTTGCTTGTTGCAGGCTAGTTTTAGCCTCTAAATATAGGATTCCTGGTAAGATCCCTTATTGTCCCTCTTAAAAAGAATAAACACGACAATCTTATTCAAGTCAACATAAAAGTAGTTTACTCACATTCATTCAGTTCACAGTTGGATCTCTAAAGGCAGACTTATGTTACAAAAGTATATACACATGTGGAACTATCCCATAAGAGAGTTAGTTCCTAAGTGACTGCGAACAAGCAGTCACTTCTTCTCACACATGGAAAAACAAAATGGAGAAGAGCAGAAAGAGGGAGAGGTGTGTTCCCTGCTTTGCTCTTGTTCCCAGGGAGAGAGAGGGCCAGATTAGACCATGCCCACCTCTAGTCACATGCAGAGGAAGTTTGTCCCAGCTCAGGAGGAAACGGGAAGTTTTCTCCTGGCTGGTACAAAGCATCCTCTAGCATGTTCACTCTAGGAATGTTGTACTTGACTGCTATGTGTTCCACATCCCACAGACACATTCAAACTGTGCCTGCAAAGGAAGAAAGAAAAGAATCAGGAACATACTTAGTATTGGAAGTGCATCCTGCAGAAGATGTGTTTGTGTGTGCTCTCAGGTTGCAGCCTGGTGACTGGATCCTGCTCCCACACCTGCAGTACATGAACCAAAACACAGCTGCCCATAAAAATTGGCCAAATTTTGTGACGTAGCGTTGCATCCCAAAAATGTGTACAGAAATGCATATAGTGTATTGGGGGAAGCATGCATAAAAATGCATATAAGAAGCTCACTTGTCAATGTAGTTCTGGGACTAACCCTCTGGCCAGATCCAGTTCCAGACCCTGGTCTACACTGACCACCAGCTGCTCTCCCCAGTTTATTTGACTAGTTGTAAAGGCTTGCGTTATTATTTTTTCCATAAGATTTTATTAACACTTTTTCATAATACAATATGATAAAAGAAACTAATCTTAAAAAAAAGAAAGAATACATAGAATCTTCTCTCAAAGGTAGCTCCTAACCCATGACACTTGCAGATAGTGGACACTTACAGTTCTCACCTGGGAGCTTTCCTTTCTTCTAGTCTCTCACCCTGGGATATTTTCCCTTCCCTGCCTCTCACTCAGGTCCTTCCACCAACCATCTGCCACCTTCATGTGTGTAATCCTTGTAACCCAATAATGGCCCAGAGGCCTGCATTAAGAAGACTGTCCAGCATATTCCAGTCCCCAACCAACTCAAGCAGTAGCGATGGAAAAGATGTGGCTTGGATGCTCCTGGGAGAAAACATCGGTTTGCACTACCTCTTTTCTATAGGTAAATTACAGCACAGTCCTGTGCATGTCTGCTCAGGTAAATTTTACAGCATTAGTCACATTACTGTCAGCTATTGAAATGCTATGCCAAATCAATCAGGGTTAAATTAAGAAGCAACATTTGCTAGATCTATTTCAGTGACATGTATATTGGCAGTAGGGATTCAACCATCATCTCTTAAACAGTATTAAGTTTTACAGTTTATAGTTCATGTTCAGATGCAGTTTCATTGTGGTGCAAGTTTGGACTGCAGCACTTTGTTTTCCAGAGCAAGTGATAAAATAAGATTAGACTACAAGCGAAGAACTTTTTACTGGCCTTGTGCTCAAGAACGTCATGTGTGATTTTGGAACAACGAAAATGTGGAAGCTAAGCTATTTATTCAAGACAGTGAATGGGAGAACTGGTGAATGTGAATGTCACAGGCGCTTGTGGTTAGAATTTCAAAGTAACATTCCAGTTTCCTGTATGCTTTCTTGCAGGAAACTGATTAATTTAGAAGCTTGACTTGTGGGCTGTTTTTTTTTTTTTTTAATCTGCCACATCCCATACTTTGCTGTCACTTCTAAAAAGTGGCCTTTCTTCTGGCTGTAGAAATGACTCCTTTCTGATTCCTAGATTTCAGAATCTAGACAGTAAACTGGTCACACAGGATAGTGTGATGAGATTCATAGAGCTTTTATTTCTAATACCAAATCTATCTGGTCTGGTACACCATCAGTTTATGAGAGCACTGTTCTTTCCCCCATGAACCTCTTGGAAACCCACCATGATACTGGAAGATGAAGGTATAATTTAGAGAAACAAGACCAGGAAGGGTCTTTGCTTCATCTCTTACTAAGCGCACTAAACTGTGATCTTTGCTAGGGATCAATGGACATAATTGCAGATTCAAGGAAACATTTAGATGAATGTGTGCGGAGAATTCATGACAATGTGCTTCTGGAGCAGATGCTAGGCAGACAAACTGGGATACTGAGGGGTCTGCCGCTTCCTCTTGAAGTAATGTGTACAGTGGAATCTAGGCTGGTGAGGGAATGGCCAGGTGACCTCTTCACCATGTGGACATTTGATTTGAGCTGACAATTTTATTTTATTTTGGTCAAGGATTGAGCATGTGGCCAAAACCAGGTAACCTGAATACCTGACAATGCCTCTGTTATGCTGCCACAGTCTTAATTTTGATTATACCTACAAACACCTTTGGCATGCAAAGAATATTCTCTGCCACTGATCTGTAGCCCCTGAACATTCTTCTGCGTCACATGGAGTGTACAGAAAGGCTGTGTCCCACCCCATGCCAGGGGCGGACTTGGGTAATCTTTGGTAGCATGTTGCCCTGAATGAGGCCAAAATTTGGCATCCCGAAATGGATCTTCTCAGTGATGGATCTTCTCAATTTTGCACGCCCTCGGCTCAGCACCCTGTGCATGAGAATAACCCACACAGCCCTAAATCCAGCACTGCCCATTTACATGTTACACATGGGGAAAGAGCCCCATGTGTATGACATGCAGATAGTTTGGTTGGTGAGAATGGAAATCTTGCCCTTGACCAGTTTCTGGTTTGCACGGGCTACAGCCTTTCATGCATCTAGATATAAATGCCCCATTCAGGCATTCAAGGGTACACATAGTGGGAGGCAAAAAGCCTGCCACTCTCTACTTTTGAGCATTCATTAAATATACAGTTTGAATGCTTTAAAAAAGGGTTCTTGTGTTTCCAAGATTCCACTACAGCAAGATACAGGGTGGCAATATGCAAATGAAGAGGCGGGGCCCTGCAGTTGGCAATGAGTCATTGGCTTCTACTGAATTCTATAAGACAAGAGTTGAAATCTTGCAACATGTTTGAGAAGAGGCACTCGGGCTGTGTTCACCAGGCACCCCATGCCTGAATGTGCTTTTTTCTTTTACTTCCCCCCCATAAAAATGAATGGCGGAGACACTCACGTCTGAAAGATATGTCATTTGCTCTTAGAAATACAGGATTGTATCCTGTGTTAGGCATATTCAGAAGAAACCTATTGCATTCATTCATTCATTTGTTACATTCCATTCCAAAGTTGCTCAGGGCAGGAAACAACAAAGCAGCAAAACAGTGCAATTAAAAAAATCAAATAATATTTAAAGCATTAAGAACTTCTACAAATATTTAAGTACAGTCACATATCCTCACCTCTAATAATTTCAAGGTTGACAGGAAGAGCATCTTTCAGACATCAAATGCCTGGATGAACAGGAATGTTTTAAATTCCTCCTGAATGTTTTTAATGATGGAGGTGTAAATAATGTTAAGAATTAATGGACATAACCAACTTAGGTCCGTTAATCTCAGTGGATCTTCTATGGGTAGAATACAGTTAGATGCAATCAACTGTTGCAATGGAGCCAAATTATTTCACAGAAATTATAATCAGATGCACAAGGCCTCCAGCTGTTCCTAATTTATGTAAGTGCGGGGAAGAGAGGAAATTTGACTGTTTAAGTTCCAGAGAAGATCAAGTCACAACATCCACTCTGATGCTCAGAAAAGAAACTGCTTAACTTCCCATCTTCTCACTAACCGAATTTGACAATTTTAAAACCATCTTGAATCTCAAGCCTACTGACTGCCATAGATCACACTAATAAGATGGAACAGGATGGGGCATATGATGCCAGTGAGTTGATGAGTGCTGCTTTGAAAGACTCATTAACGAATGGCAGCTTTTTGCCAAAATGTTGTTAATGTCCCCAGAAGTCTGAAGACACTGAAGACAAAGGTGTGCGATTTTTTTGTGATGAAATGTCTGCTAAATTTTGTGACAGCGTCTGCTAAATCCCTATAATTAGCATGGGCCCCTGTTAAATGTCATGGGGTATTTGATGAAACAGGGCATGAACTCTGTAGCAACACTCTGGGGATCTGTAATGCTATCCAGCGTGACGTTTGGAATTTAACTACTAGATAGGGTTTCCTTATCTAGGAAACGCAGGGGAGAAAGGCATTTGTCCAGTCTAATGACCCCTGTTAACAGATTTATGCCCCTCCCTCAATACAGATTCTGTCCCCTCCGCCTCACACCAAACAAATGCGTTATCGAGTTAATCAAACAACATTCCAAAAACCAGGAAAAAAATGAAGAAAATAACCCAGTTTGGTTTTATCTTATTGCAGGTTTGGTTATTAATATATATGGAAAGAAAATAGAAATCTTATAGTCACCCACCCACCCCATATGCATAGGATACAGTTTCGTATATTGCATATATCCATGCACACACACACCTATTTATATGTATACTGCTGTTGTGTTGCCATGTAGCGCATTGCAGTTCCTGGACCATAGCTCAGATTCAGAGCATATGATTTGCATGCAAAAGGCTGCATGTTCAATCCCTGCCATCTCCTATTAAAACAGTCTTGGGTAGGTGATGTGGGAAAGACCAGGTTCTGTCTTGTGGAGCCTCCATCAGTGGGTATAGAATACTGTGGGCTGCATATGTTTCTATACATGGAGCAAATTACGAGGGCTTCCAGTGAGACTGTGGATTTATACACACGGGCTCCTGAGGTATGGGGGAACAGGCCCAGTGTCACTATGGTGCTCTCAGAGGGGTCCCAAGCACCATGGTGTCTTTTTCTTCATTTTCAAAAAATGTGTGGTGCACAGTCTTCAGAGGACTTCTGGGCCGGACAGCTGGAGACACTACCATATTAATTTCACCCATAATGCCCCTGGGTCCCACCTGCAATGTAGCAGCACTTTGCAATGCTATGCTAGCACAGGGCCCAGAGGTATAATGGGGAAATTATTGTGCTGGCAGCTCCAGTCTCTTGGCCTGGCAGCGCAAGGCATTGGATGGCCCCGAGAGAAGAACCAGTCCTTTCAGCTCCACCACTTGTCCCCACTGCCATGACCCATTGCTGCTTTCCCCTGTCACCTAGTAAGCTTGTAAGCCAACTGGAGGGAGGGCTGTGGCCTCCAGGGTTGTGTCTGTGGGTGCCACTGGCCCCCTCAAACAAGGCTTTGGCTCTGTAGAGTGAGGTATGAACAAGGCTTTGCACTAAACTAATGCTAAATAATCTCTCTCGGTCGCTCTCTTTGCAGGCAGTAAAGGTACTTGTGCTTTCCCAGTGTTTAGTTTAGCTGGAATGAAGGACAGTGGAGACTCTGGTCTCTGTAACATATTTACACATATATACAAACTGAGCATAGGAAGGAGGAGCTCGATGTTACGATATGAATGCAACGCAGCTGCAAACCAGCTCGGTGAAAACATCACATGATGGGGCTGACTGTGGGAAACAATGTTACAGTCAGTTCACAGGGTGATTCACCGGAATTTGCTCAGTGTGTAATATGAGACCTTCCTGTTGTGTTTGTAAAGGAAGTCTTCGTGACTTGCTTGCTGAAGTCTGAAGTGATCGGACATGTTTTCTGTAGTGCTGCAAAGTCAGAAATAAAGAGATGTAAATAGATTTCTGGCTATCTCCTTTCCATGCTGGGAAGCAAGGAGGGAGGGGGTGTGCATTTTCCCATGCTGGGAAATGTCGCCTATCGAGAGAGACCTATCCTGAAGTTGCGGGGATTGCAGCCAGGGAGGTCACCGGTAAACAAGCCGGGAGTCTGGGAGAGTTGCCAGTCTCTCCCGAAGAGGCTTGTTTTCCAACACTCACAGCTTTGACATTCAAACATATATTGCCTCTTCATTAGGTTCCCAGGGAAATCCCCAAGCCATAGCTTTGGGTCCAGCCCAGAGCAAGACAACTCTCTATGTCTCCAGCATCAGCCAAAACTCATGCCTGAACAGCCACCTGCCCCTGCCATCATACTGCTCTCCTATGTAGACTGACATAACATCCAGCCAGGTGAGGAGGGAAAAGACCTCACCCCCATTTGTCTCTATGGCAACAGAGCCCACTCTTTAAGATGCTGCTGATGGGTATATAGCTTAACAGATGAACTGGTTTGGCAGGTTCAGCAGATTGTTTTTTCTAGATTCAAACCTCACAGATACAGGATAACAGGCCTGAAAGGGACCCACAGGGTTACATTCCCTTCTGAGCAAGTTTCCAAGGGCCACATTCCAGGGGTGGGTGGGACCATAGACAAAAATGGATAGACCAATGGATGTTACAGACTCTTAGCTTTGTACTGGAGGCTACATTTTAGCCATGCAAAAGTCAGAGGATTTACACACCCAAACAAAAACTTCTCCATCCTTCATCCAGGCAAGCAGTGGGCTCATTACAGTGCAAGGGCACATTCTAGCCAGGCAAAAGCACTCAAGGAAAGCATGGAGCAGGGCTAGAAAAGAGGGTGTATGGCCTAGAGAGAGTCCTGAGGACTGGATTAAGAGAGCTGGAGGGCTGGATTTGGCCCCCGTGCTTGAGGTTCCTGACTCCTGATCCTCAAATGTTATATACTACACTGTCAAATTTTGTTGTGAACAGGACAGAGAGAGCTTTAAAACATAAATGATTATTTGTATTGTTTACAGTTGAAATAAGGCACAGATCTGGCTTGGGACAAATCTACCTGTTATGATTCTGTCCTAATTATGAACTGTAGTGCAGCTGGTAGAAAAATAAACAAACCCCTAACTCTCCAGGCTCCACTCCAGCAGATTCAACACATTGATGTCTATAGATATTTGGTTTTAGCGTTCCTAACACTGAGTTGGACTGGCCTCCAGGCTGATAATTTACCAGGTGAGCATAATGGTCTCAGTCCACTGAAATCATCTTCTGCACAAGCCCTGTTTAGAACAGGACCTGTACAGAAGTTCGGGCGGATTGTGCCATCTGTCAGTAGGAAGAGCTCACATAAAACTTAGGTAAGAAAAAAAGTTACCTATTTTACCAAGGACTTATTCCGAGATTAAACGTAACCTCAAAACAAATAGGTTCTGTGAGTTTATGCTAACTAGTCTAATTAATCTTCATGTTTGATCTTTGGACTAATACGTTGAACTAATTTGGGATTAAAAGATTACAAGTAACATTTTGAGTTGAAAGCTGTTACATGCCTCATGTCAACACTGCGGTGACAGAATTAACCCCGGAAGCCCTTTGGATTCCACACACTAGATGCTGCTGCTTGAGCAGAGTTAAGGCGACTTATTAGTGAAGGCATTATAAAGTGCTCATCCTGAAATGTTAGCTGCTAAGAGTACAATGCCAAAAGTCAGACACTTTGGGTTTTGCTTATTGTATCACCAGCATCATAATCATCCTCCTGCATCATCTTGGATTTCTTATCCACTCTTCACCATATAAAAATACAATAACAAAATTAGTTAAAACAGTCTGCAAACACCACTGTTGTGTTCCATTCGGAAAAGTTTTTTTAAAAATGTTTTCCAATTGTAATGTTTTTATTTGTTTATAAATTTGTATATTCTAGTGTTGTAACCCACCCTGGTACCTCAGAGTAATGGCAGGTTAAAAAAAATCTTATAAATAACAAACAAACAAACAAATAAATAGCCATTCCTATTCTCAGGACCCCTGATAATGCAGGATTCCTGATTTCAGGGAGGTTTGTAAGCATGTACAAAGAAGTTCAATTGCAAGAAGAGCTCTGCTGGATCAAGCTGGTGGCCCAACTAGTTCAGCATCCTTTTCTTCTAATGGCCAACCAGATTACAGAATCACAGAGTTGGAAGGGACCACAAGGATCATCTAGTCCAACCCCCTGCAATGCAGGAATCTTTTGGCCCAACATGGGACTTTAACCCATGACCTTGATATTAAGAGTCTCATGCTTTACCAATTGAGTTATCTCAGATGCCCATGGGGATCCCACAAGCAGGACCTAAATGCAACAGCAGTCTTCCCACTTGTGATTCCCAGCAACTAGAGACTGTTTGCTCTTGGAATCCCCTTTCAGACCATTCTTCTGAATATAGACAGGGATAGAGATAGAATTAGAGAACTGTAGAGTTGGAGGGGACTCCATGGATCATCTTCTAGTCCAATCCCCTCTGAATGGCAGGAGCAAGGCAAAAGTTCTGCCCCCAGGCTACCTACCTACTTTGTGCCCTCACATGTTCTTTGAATGCCTGAAGAGATATATCATAACAATTAAAAACAATATGAAATTAATAAACGAGAACAGCAGATTAAAAAAGGACACATCCTATGGATGCTGGAAATCATCCAGTCTGAGGACACAAACATGCCTTCAGGTAACAGTGGAAGACCCACAAAGGTGAGACCTCAGTTAGGGATTTCACAATCTGGACACTGCAGAGAAGGCCCTTTCCCTCCATTCCACCAGCTGTTCTTCAAATGAGACTCACAAAAGGCTTCTCCTCTTGACCTTAATGAACAGGCAGGATCATACAGGAGCAAAATGCCCAGTGTGGGTAATACTGTTATACAGTTTAGTTACTAGGTGGCCCTGGTCTCATTTGTAGCTGGGTAGACACAGAAGTTCCCCATTGCTGGTCTTATTTAAGAGATACAATAAAGTTCTTGTCTAGTTTTGTGTCATCCTAGCCTCCCATGACAGCTCTTCAGGTATCCTGGTCTCAAGCTGTTTATGGCTTTGTTGCTGTACAATAAATAAACTACTACTACTACGGGGGGTTTCCCCCCCAGAGCTACCAAAACATTTGGCATAAATCATGCATTAAGCATTTCCCCATAAACCAAATGGACAAATGGGTCTTGATGTTATGCACTTCTTTCCATTAAAGCTGCGAGTCCCCCTGATGATTTATTGCTTAGGTTACTTCTCTGAATTACTGCTTAACCTCCTTTATATTAAAAAGGGGGACAGGATATTGGAGTTTTCTTAAAGTTGGGAATTACTAATGGCCCAAATAAGATGATTCAGACATGTTTTATTATACTCTGTCATGAACCATGCATTTTTTGCACGGGAAACCAATGATTAGTCCAACTTGGGTCACATAACTTGGCCAAATCAAGGAAGGTTTTGAAAGCTAAATAACAGAATTAATAGTAATGCTTATTTTATTCTTCTGGATTCATGGAGTGCAGTCATTGTTTGGTGATTCTTGTAATTTCTTGAAAGAGAAGCAGGGAGGGTATAGGCTTCTATTTTGAAGAGCACACTTGAGTACTTTATGAGGTGATGATAGCAATTTAATACCAGGTGCTCTTTGCAACTAAAATTTAAGGAAACATACCTTACCTCAGGGAAAGGAGAACAGTACTTGGATACAATATGTCAGTATCTTCAACTAAATCATTTCCATAAAATTACAATGTTTTCTGCTAATACCTAAAATATTCTGCTGCTTTTGCTGGAACATGGCCTTATTCTTTTCCTGTTCCAAATGGAAACGCATTGTGTCATGCGCTTTGCATTCATAAATACTTAACATCTGCCACCTAACTTCCTATATACATTTTATTCAATGACTCCTTCTGAATCATTCACCAAAGGGGGTAGGGAAATTTTATCATTTTACTCATGAAAGTGAAACTCTTTGTAGTGCTGGTTATTCCCAATGTGGCTGAAGTTGCTAAACAAAATCTACTCAGCAACAAGGGGATGGGGTAACTGGTAGAGCAATCCAGTCTCCCCATCAGTCTGTGTGGAGTTTGGACTGAGTGGAGGTGGACTTTTGGTGGCCTGCTGGTGGGGGGCAACAGTGGTGGACGTTGGGGTCTCTCTAATTTCAGTGATGCTCTGTGTGATGCCAAAATTCAGTGCCCTCACCTCTCACCTTCCATTCTACCTCATAGTTGTGGCACCCCTGAGGCTCCAAACCCAGGGTTACCAAACTGGTTGCATTCCCCTAAATCTGCCTCTGGGGCCAGCTCAAAAATGGAGAGTTCTGAGACTTGGGAAGAGGCAGCACTGAGGTGATGCCATGAGGCCTGATCTGTATTAATAAATGTGCTAGTCTGGACTGGTGAAGGGATCAGGCCCAATCTTGAAGAGAAGAAGAAGAGTTTGGATTTGATATCCCGCTTTATCACTATCTGAAGGAGTCTCAAAGCAGCTAACATTCTCCTTTTCCTTCCTCCCCCACAACAAACACTCTGTGAGGTGAGTGGGGCTGAGAGACTTCAAAGAACTGTGACTAGCCCAAGGTCACCCAGCAGCTGCATGTGGAGGAGCCGAGACATGAACCTGGTTCACCAGATTACGAGACTACCACTCTTAACCACTACACCACACTGGCTCTCAATCTTGCTGCCAATACTACCTTCTACTCCTGGTCCACCACTCGCACCCTAATGCACCAGAGTGGTGAAGCGAGTTCTCCTTCAACAAATCTTTCATGTCTTCTAGCTTGAGGATGCCTAAGTTTGATAGCCCCTTTCTTGGGTATTGATGGCCTCACTGATCGTAAGGTTCAGTAGTTATGAGTCTCATGATACATACATACATACATACAATATATGAGCCAGGAAAAGCAAGGACCAGGCAAAGCCTGGATCTGAAGAAGCTTTGAGTCACATTATGTAGCCTAAGAAAGTGGGTTGCAGGAGATTCTGTCTGCCCAGCTGCCACCTTGGAAGTTGCACTGAGATATAGCTGCCATTAGAAAGATTAAGCATGCTTCAAACACATTAAAATTGGTGAAGCGGTGGCCATTTGTTGTATCTCTTGTCTTTATTCCATGGAGTCAGGCTTCCCTTAAGAACAAAATTGGTGAGCACAATAATCTCAGGTGTTTGGCATCCAGGGTCCCTGACAGCTCACATTTCCATTAAAGCCTAGGAGAAGACATCATGATGTAACTCCTCCCATGGTGCTTTTCCAGATCTGAAAGTATGGGAAGCCATGGAGGCTGCAGAATGCTGGATAAATGGTTAATGGAAAGAAAAAGTGTCTCCACCCCCACCGTTCTACCCGGACACTGAGGTCCAGTGCCAAGGGCCTTCAGGCGGTTCCCTCACTGCGAGGAGCCAAGTTACAGGGAACCAGGCAGAGGGCCTTCTCGGTAGTGGCACCTGGCCTGTGGAATGCCCTCCCACCAGATGTCAAAGAGAAGAACAACTACCAGACTTTTAGAAGACATCTGAAGGCAGCCCTGTTTAGGGAAGCTTTTAATGTTTGATGCATTACTGTATTTTAATATTTTGTTGAAAGCTGCCCAGAGTGGCGGGGATATAAATGGGGGTATAGAAGGGTGGGGTATAAATAATAAATAATAATAATAACACCCATACCACCTGCAGACACACCTCAATGGTAAGGTCATGAACCCCACATCCACTGGAATTCTAAAGTAATTTTAAAGCACACTGTGAATGTGGCAGAAGATAGAAGCATCTTTTGTGGGGGAGAAAATTTTTTTGGGAAACTGGAGGACAGATTTTGGCACGGGATTACTCAACATCTAATTATGAAGGCAAATCAGAATAAGGGCAGTGCTTAATTCCCTCATTCTGGAGCATTATGTACAAAACAATGGCACTTGATGGGTATTGGGAGTGCAATTTGTGCCACTGATCCATACACCTCATATTTTACACCTGTTCATGCCTTTGTCCTCCTCCCACATTGTCAAAATGCCACCTAACGTTGCACCTTAAGAACAGGGTGCTGGTGTTTGGGCTGGGCTGGGTGTGTGTGTGGAATCTTGCCTCCAGACTCATTTTCTCCACACACCAGTGCTCTATGCATCACTTTACATAAATGACAGCAAATACCGCAACTGAAGCCTATAAGAGAGTTGTCTATATGGGCTTCTGAAGATCTTACCTAACCGATGTTTGAAATGAATATCATTCATCAGACAACTAACCCACTTTTCCAAGGTTGAGTGTTCTTATTATATTTAAAAATAATTATACACAATGAGTATGGTTCATTGTCCTGTCTACAGAATCCTTTTGCACTTGTGGAGTTTCCTCCTAATCATAGAAAAGTACTAGAATACACTTGATTGTACAAAGTTGCTGGACAACAGCCATAGGTTACAATCCTATAAACAATTATGAGGAATAAGACCCATAGAACAAAGTTGGACATAAGATTGACCTAGTGAATCTATTTAGACTGCCACTCTTTGCTCTTTATTCTGCTCCAAGAATGTAGAATGCCCATAATCCCATTCTTAATGACCATATTGCTCTTTCTTATGAACTTCAGGATCATGAGCAGAGGAGAGAAATTGTATCTCTGAAGTGTGAATTGGAAAAAAAGTTTCAGATTTATTGCTTTGTATCTTCTAGGTACGATGGTACTTATTTTTCCTCATGTGCCATTTAGAAGTTCTTAAATAAAGGACTCTTATGCCTGCTAAGGGAATTGACACAGTTCACTAAAATAATTTCATTCCACTGGATAGCAAGGCATGAAAAGCTGTAGTTCATCTTTTCATTCATACCACGGTCTGCCAGGGTATTAAATAAATTCCCCTCCCTCTTCCACTAAGTGGTTGGCATTTACTCAGTCTTCAGTGCTGAAGTTACTTTAAGTACCGTTTGAGTTATTAACTTCCCCCCTTATTTGGATTTATATTGAAAGTTGTCATAAACTACTGCAAGTTGAAAATGGTGTCTGGAGAAATCCACGTTAAAAGCATTATTTTTTCTGAAGTATTCATCATTATTCCTGGTCTTGCAGTGGCATCCTCTGAAGCCAAAAGAAGTCCTCAAGAAGAAAATAAATCAATTATGGCAAGATTATCTCATGCTGGTTATTATATTAATATGAGAAACCCAAAAACAAAGTTTAGGCATCAAAGTCTAATCAATAAGTGAAAATCACTTTCTCCCACTAGAAGAATGTTTATGTTCATTTATTTATTAAAAATCATTTGTATACTGCCTTTCATTTCAAGCAGAACAATAAAACAGGCAGGACATAACAAAATACAACACTAAAACATATAAACATATATCAAAATTTATAAATGTGTTGGAAAAGCCAAGACAGGCAAAAGGAGGTACATCTTCACACAGTCAATAGCTAAACGTCAATAGGGATGCAGGTGGCGCTGTGGTCTAAACTACTGATCAGAAGGTCAGTGGTTCGAATCCACATGACGGGGTGAGCTCCTCTTGCTCCTAGCAGTTCAAAAGCACACCAGTACAAATAGATAAATAGGTACCACTGTGGTGGAAAGGTAAATGGCATTTCTGTGTGCTCTGGCACTTTTCACGGTGTTCCATTGTGCCAGAAGCGGCTTCATCATGCTGGCCACATGACCTGGAAAGCTGTCTGCAGATAGACACCGGCTCCCTTGACCTGAAAGCGAGATGAGCGCCGCAACCCCATAGATGCCTTTGACTGGACTTAACTGCCCAGGGGTCCTTTACCTTTTACCTTTTTTATCTATTTCACAGGGAGAGAAAATATTGTAACAAGCTACCCCATTCTCCATGAGCTGTGCAAGATTCCAGGGATTGCAGACGTGCTTACCAAGGCACAGTTCCCTTTTGGGACAATGAGGCACAGCCGAGTCTGTGGTGACTTTATGATATATGGTTTCTTTACACATCTACACAGCCCGAGTCTGGATGGAGAATGTGCAAAACAGTCACATCTCAAGAGGGTCCTGTTCCTACCATTGCTGCAGCCTCCAATTCCAAGAGACCCCAAGCATCACATCTAACCCCCTCTGCAGCATAAAACCAACTGCCTGCCTCATGCTCTGCCCACCCTACCCTTCTTGCAAAAGATACATCTTTTCCTGGCTTGCTTACCTCATAACCCAGCGCAGTTCTGAAAACCTCCCCTTCCCAACTCTGGAACTGTATTTTGCTAATTACACCCCGCTCCCCGTGGCCAGCAGAGATTCTTTCGCCTTGGTGAAGAATTTACTAAAGCCAGGAATTAGCAGTGTAAAAATACTGGCCGGACTTGGGTTAAACTATTCTCTCCTGTGTTCCCAGTTGAGGAAAAAAGACCATGGTTTTGTCATATTTGCTTGCCTTGCGTCAGGGGCAGTGGAGTTTGCTGTCTATGAAGAAAAGTCACACTACCTGACGAGAAATAGTTACGTTATGCTTCCAAACCATCTGCACTGTCTCTTTCTTTTCCTCAGGAAACAGCAGTAAATTATTTCTGGATCTTCCAGATATATATTTTTTTCACCTCAAACTACTTCTGGTTAACTGTAAACCGAATAGGAGAACAGACATTTCCAATATTAGATCCAGCAGCAAATCTATCAATGTGGACTTGCCTGTCAGATTTGAAATGCAAATGTAAAACTTACACTGGACAGAATGTTCATTTGCATTACAAATACATCACCTCTTCTGCATAAACAAGCATCAGATGTTAACATAAATTGCAGGGGGGAAAGAAAAATGCTCAAGGGCAAATTAATACTCCTGTGTGAAACAATGTGTTGTTTAAAACAAACAAACGAACAAACTTGGGTTTTTAAGCAAAGGTTTTTGAATGCTCATAGATTATAGGTTTTTGGGTCCAGAGTAATTGGCATCACAATTATATATGCATGATTTATAAAGAAATCCTATTAATTTCAGCGGAATGTGGGGATATATATATATATAATCCTAATGAAAATGTATTGGTATTCTAGTACAATTTCCTTCAATGAACATTTTTATATACAGTTTTGACTAATGTATACAATTCCGAAAGCAACTTGCCCTAATGTAATGTATCCTTCTGTGTTGTTTTCACTAATATATTCATTTTTAGGTGCACTTTCCCCTAATTTATGTATTTTTATAAGCATTGTTGGGTTTGAGAACTACATTGGAAAATTTGGATAAGTGTGAGTTATGTTTCAGTTTCCATATTGATTTGAAAAGTGCAAATTTGCCTTTAAATGTGAACTGAATTGACTTCAGCTTGCCCCTATCCCAAGAAGGACATTAGCATAAATCAAAGTCTTCTGCCTAATTTAGTTGTGCCTTGAGTTTTTTGTGGGTATTGTCTTTGCAACTCTTCTGTCTGTAGGTTGTTTCTGATGCATTATATATAATTTGCTAAGTATTTCAAGTTAGTTGACAGAGGGAAATACCCATATGATTGTTTAAGGATTTTGACTCAAAGATTATATATTCATTGAACATATTTGCTATGTTAAGCATAAAAGAGCTAATCCATTCTTATCAAAAGGTCACTTATTATTTTAGACTTTGAATGATTTTATATTGCTTAATTATTTTCATTTTAAAATGGCTGGGGGTTCTTATACGATTTAAATAGTCTTCTTTTTGTAAGGTCATGCTTTATTTATTTCCAAATGCACACTCCAGTTTTGTTTATAAAAACAAACAAACCTCAAAAAAGTTTACAAAAAAATAATAAAACAGAATGAAAGCGGCTCAAATTCATAAAATAAATTTCATACAGAATTTAAAGCTATTTGGCAGAAATAGTACGTAAAGACTGACTTGAACTGAAAGCACATAGCATTCCCATTAAAAATCTTGCAGGCAATAACAGGTTTATAAATATTTGCAAGGGATTATTTTTCACTGGTTCCCTCTGTCCCTTCAAAGGACAAAGATGGACATTTTTACCAGGAAAAGTGCAATAATGCTTGACTGTTGGAAGGTAAACACTATTTTAATGAAAAATGGCACCAGTCTGCCACAAAAACAAACTTGAGTTTGTCCTGTGCATATTTCACATTAGATCATGCAGAACTCTTGTGATCTAACTTCCCATAATGAAGCAACTAATGAATGAATGAATCAAGGCTAGCTTTAATCGCTATCCTTTGCATTATTTAAAAAAAATAAATCCAAAAAAAGGATTACAGCATATGCTTTTGAAAAATAAGTTTTAAAAAGAATGCAAAATATACAAATCAAAGGTTGCCTCATTTCCCTTGAAATAAAGAAAGAGTTGCCATTTCCCCCAAAGGAAACTACAGGTGTTCAAATGGAGGCTTCCAACATATTTATGTATTAAAAAACCCATCTTTCTCTTGCCATCTGTCACTAAAGAAGACGAGATATAGAACAGTGGCAGACTCATGTTCAAAAGGCTGTCTTTGGGATAACAAAGAGAAAAGTTAATGGACACAGATTTACAAATTATTAATGATTTCTCTTGCCATTTTTGAAAAATGAACGCTATGCACACCGTCTCTCTTCCCAAACAGATTGCATTTTATTCCTCTGCAGTTTGTCCATCAGGCTTCACTCTGACAACATAATCCAAAACTAATCCAGAGCATTCAGTTTTCCTTGTTGGCTCTCATGCACACTGCTTAGACAAATCCTGCTACCTGTCAGCCCTCCTGTGTGTGCCAGACAGCCTGCCAGGTTAACCCCTGGGGAAAGCGAGAGACCTACTGACTTAACCCCTACTTCCCTTCCAATAATCCACTGTAAATATGTAGCGTTAACGGGCTAACTGCGCTAATCAGGGCTGGATCTTTTAAAATCTGCTTCATACACACTCGCTAAGTAGTAAGGATCTGAGCATCACTGTTAGAAAAGGGGAAGTCAGTGCATCCAAGTATATCAGCCCCAAAACAGCAGATGGCTAGGACACACGGAAAGGATTTAATCACTTAAAGCAGTGTGTGAAAACACATGCATCAAATTGCTAGGCCACCTAGTTGCTTATGAATCCATCTGAATTGTCAGCACAAAGTCAGGAAAAAACAATAATCCAAAGAAAGCCCAAGAAGCTCTACCTTTGATATAATTTATTCCTCCAGGTTTTGCTTCTTATAATTCACTTTTACATATATCCCCCTCCTCTGTCCAGTACAGCTCCAGCTTTAGATTTTTGAAACCTGCACTTTAAAATAAATTTCTGTAAGAACTGGCCCTTGCCATCATAAAATTGCTTCCCTCACACATTGCTTACAATCAAAATTGCCTAGCATCTTCAAGCCTTTTTCAATTTGGAGGCCTCCTAAAATCCGAAACACACAGCACAACTTGAGTAACAAAGACTTTTCAAAGTACTCACTCTTTATTTGGTGTTGCAGGGGGGAGACCCCAAAACAAAACACCATTGCTCCTCATTGGAATTCAAGGCACATCACTCTGTCATTCTGTGGCAGCATCAACAATCCACAGCAGAAAATAACTTGCGTAAGCACGGCATACCCGGGAGCACTTAAAAGCCCCGCTAAGCTCAGCCACATGAGATCTGTAATAAAACATTGCTCAGCTCATTTAATGATTGGAAGGCATGATGTCCAGGACTCCAGGTTAATATCTGAAGTGGGGGGAGGTAGAGTTACCCATGGGGAGGTGGTCCTGAACTCTGTCATGAACAAAAGTAGGAAGGGAAGATCTTTTGTGGCTTGTGATAAGAACATTCATTTTAACTCAATTAAATTCCTGGCAGTCTCTTGGGAGGAAGAGATGATATTGATTCTTTATATTCATATATGGGTATGTACAAATGTGCAAAACATTTTGTAGAGTACTATAAATCAGAAGTATTTAAAAAATACTGAACACAGCAACTTTGCTATCATGATCACAAAACAAAAACAAAAACACTAAGAAAACAACAGCCCTCAAAAACATTTTCTTATAAATCTGGAGAAACCTGCAAAATAATATACTGTAATAGTATTTTCCACTTAACTTTTAATAAGTGTGAAGAATTGTTAAGGAACATTTGCAGCACTATCATTAACCAGATTCAGAGTATTTTTGTGAACCTTGAAAGTTTTTACAATTATATTTTCTCAAGTAAACATTAATCATTCATTCATTTTGAGGTTTATTTTGGTAATGAAAATTGAACCTTTTTCTTGCTTTTAAGCTATTGTTCTTTTCTTTTTGAATAATATATAAATATCTGGGATTTATTTTCACAGAAAGAAAGAAAAAAATAAAATGTTATGTCAAAGCTTCTGAAAGTATATATTTAATTGATTTTCAGAGGTTTATAAAAATTCAGCCATACTAAATCTTAGGAAAGTGCATAAATTATTGTGTAAAAATGAACTGAATATGAGGGCTTTCTGGACAGATGTTAAATGCTTTATTTGAAAATGATGTAGGCACCATTCTGGCTATGCTATTAGAGCAAATACCTTGGAGACATCTGTTTTCTAAACTATTATCTTTTAATAAACGCGAATTGTCCAATGTTATCCTAGGCTAAATTAAATTCATGCAGCAAAAAGAATTCTTTTGCAAAGAATAACAGATGGCAAGTTTGCTAATCAAAATGTAAAGACATATAAGAAATAAAGTGGAACTCTGAAAACTGCAGCCACAAAATAATCTTAGTCTTGGCTGCCAAAAGTTATCCAGTCTTTAGGGATGCAAAGCAAATTAATTTTGAAATAACCTCATGCTGTGGTTACCTAGGAAATGCCTCAGTTTAAAGCTAAATCTCTTTTCTTTTGTGCTTACTGTTTTGCAGTAGTTCAGCAACCAGCACAGGATTTACTGAAGAGTCATAGCAGAGCTAAGCAACATGAGTCAATGAAACTACACATCGCAGGAATCATTATTGTTGAACATTGAAATTTTCATTTCAGAGTGGTTGATAGTTTTGCTATGATAGCTCAACCACCATCCTTAAAGCTGTTTAAAAATACCAAGACTGGGCACATCTCAGTGTATTTCAACTGAATGTCGACTACTTAGGTCATTTGTTGATTATTTTTCTTCCTGACAAAGCAGCTGGGAGATGTTCTGTCAGCTATTGATCATGCAACTTATCAGCTATTCACAACATACGTCTTTGTAGCTGCTGCGAAATCTAAACAACTTGGATTCATTAATTAACCTTCTCATATTTGGCAGGAGGGGGGAGTAAAAGTAAAAAGCATAGATGGCCTCCAAGCTGTTGTTGTTTTTAATTCCTTTTAAATGTTGACCAAAGGAGAAAAAGAAATAAAGTGCTAGTGCAATACACAGTCTTTTGTGTGCATGGGGACATTGTGCTTGTTGGCTGTGGAGAAAGAACTCTGTATGTTCAGGGGCAATAACTTTACCACAGCCAGCTATAGGAGCCAAATATAGAAATAGGATGGCAATGTGTTCTCCTATTCAGAGGTCAGTCTCCTAGCTCAAGGCACCCTTTCTTTGAAAGGCTGACTGGCCTAAGTCCAGTTTCAACAGCACCCAGACAGCTGAACAAAGAGCAGCAAGGTCAGGAGGTTCTGAGGGTTGAGATGCAGACCCCAAGGCCTGCTTCACATTTGGTCTCACACAAAGGCTAGAGTGGCCTCTGCAAGAAGTAGGGCTTTTTCTATAGTGTCCATAGCACTTTGAAATGCTCTCTCCCAAGAGATTCATATGGCCACCTTCCAGTCCTACTCCGGCCATTAGGCAGAGTGAGGTGGGAGCCCCAGGCAGGAATTGTGGGTGTCACAAAAAGGCAACAAATTGTTAGCTATATAACTTAGTATTGTTGAACTGCTGGTGTGGGCAGGGCTGTCTTAAGCATATGCGGCGCCAGGGTGCAAAGATCTCCCCGGCGCCACTCCCAGTTACCCAGTCCCAGGTGTGCAGGAGGGCAGAGCCGGCCGGCCGTCTCAGTGTCTCACTGGCTTGATCACCCCCAAACTTGCAGCGCAGAGCGGCCACAGCAGAAGAGCCCACCATGGCGCTCTGACCAACAGGCGGGCTCTTCCCCAGACTCAACTCTTTGGCCCCGGACTCTCAGCCTGGAGCCCCTGAGAGCCCAGCGCCTGGGTGCCCCGCACCCCTGGTGCCTATGGGTAAGACGGCACTGGGTGTGGGGAATGTTCATTGGGTTTTCTGCTTTAGGGGCTAAAATAACTTGCCTGGTGTGGCCACTATATTCTTCTTCTTCTTCTTCTTCTTCTTCTTCTTCTTATTATTATTATTATTATTATTATTAGAATTTGTTAGTCACTTTATCTTATCCAGGGCAACCCAAAGGGATTTACAACCAAACAATATATGGTGGAGGGAATGGCTTGAGCTGGCTCTTTCCCCCTTCCTGATGTTGTTTTGAAGGCAAGTCAAGGTTTTAACTGTTTTAACACATGTAACTTTTGTATATGCCATTATATTGCAAATCACTTCATGATGCCCCATGGGAAATGATTCATAAATGAATCTTGCTGTGCAAGAGCTGGTGGCCAGGCACTCATTAAGAAGTCATTGTGCAGTTAACTTAAAGTGCAGTGCTATATCTATCTATTTCAGAAGTCAGTCCCTTTGTTTTATGGGTCTTACTCCCAGGTGAGTGGGTACAGGGTAGAAGTCTAGACTTTGGCTTAGGGTTGGCATTGTGGAAAACAGGGTTCTTGTGTCTTTAACAGCTTTATCTCCATAATCAGGTCCAGCAGGACATAGCTGGCTTCCCACAGTGGAAAACACAAGGCTGTCCTCAGACTACTTTCTTTAAGTTTTGGTTATGCCATGAGTCCCTTGGCAGCCATTTTATGACTGGCACCCATAGCACTCTCTCAAAAATAAAAATGCCCCCTCTACAGGTATCCCTGTAGTACCCTTTTCACTACAGGCTACATTCCTGACTTATGGTTGTCTAGCCTGTGCCTAAATTCCTTCGTTGGAGGAGAGCCCATCATCTACCAAAGCAGTCTCTTTGGAGTCATCCAGGCTACAGGCTCAAACAAGACTTGTTCCATGTCAACTCCCAGCATAAGAGTTCTGTTTGATAGCCCAGAAGAGTCCTGTAAAGTTGAAATGGTACATTTTCAAATGATATTCATAAAAATATGCCATTATGTGTTAGTCTCAAGAATAATTTTATGCAGATTCCCCATTCCTTTCTATTTTATTAAATATATCTTTTGTTCTTCTAAAGAGTCATATTGCTAAAATGTGTCCTATGTAATCTGTTGATACTAAACAGGCACCTCATGCTAAACGTGTGTTATAAGCGTCTGGGTTCTTGGGCTTTCTTTAATAACTTAAAGTCACATGTAAATTGTGGCACTATCAATGCATTTCCAAAAGCTAACACACACAAATAAAATATCCTTTGTCTTTTTGCAAAACTACTCTACCCTACGTGATTATTAGAAACTTGGGGAATGTGAGCCTATTTAAACTTCAAGGCAGAATAAACAATAGATAGTATCCATCAGTCTCACTAATCATTTTGGAATGTTTTGTTAGACCCCCATTTACTTTGGTCTCCTCCCTTTCAATCATGTGTGGCACTTAAAGCTCACTTCTACAATGAAAAGTATAAGAAATGTAACAAATGCAAGAGCTAATGTTGTACACAAATACAATATGTGCCTTATGTACAATGTAACATGCCATCACCTAATGATCCTAATATCAGCCAGGGTCCAAAGGAATGTTTGCAGAAGAGTCCATGTGCAATGTGACTACTGACATCCATCCCCATCTATTCCACCCTCTCTGCTGACTGGCAAACCTCTCTTGAAATTTGGGTGAGCTTAGAACAAGACATCCTGGTAAAGTTTGGATCCATGGGGAGAGAGGTTCTTATGTACAACAATGAAATTCCCACTTGGTTTATAAACCAGAAAACCCCTGAAGAAGAAAGACCTTTCAGTGCCAGATTTATGTATAAGCTAAACAAGCTATAGCTTGCCCCCCCCCCCCAAAAAAAATTAAAGGGGAAAAACCTGGATGTACATTTCCAAAATATAATTTAAAAAACAAATAAAAAAAACCTACATGCAGCAACAGTGTTTTGTGTTGTGTAGGCTTCTATAAGTAATGGGCCCCGCCTGCTAGCCTGCTCCCTAAAATATCACTGGTTTGCTCATTTCTATAGATAGGGTGCCTACATTCTGCATGAACTGGTTGCATGGCAACATGTGCAAATGGCTTTAGATACCTGTTGGTCCATAAATTACCATATAGCATATATTCAACACAAAAAACAGCGGCAATTTGTTGTTGACAAAGGACAGCTGGACATATAAAGGGCCCCATTACCTACTCATCTGATGAGTAGCTTAGGGCCTCATCAAACCTAAATCCAGTCCTTGATCTTCTGCTTAGGTCTGAAGCACTCCACTCCACATAGGTTGACTTTGGTTCCATGAATTTGCATAGTTGGACATATGCTGAATCATTTAAGAGACTGGGGGGGGGGGGTTGTAACATTTTTAAATCCCCTCCCCTCCCTCCCTCCCTTCCTCTTGTCCTTAGGGGGGAAAGTTGGAGATATAGCTCAGTGATAGAGCACCTGTTTTGCTTACAGAAGGCATTGTGTTCAATCCCTGGCATTTCCAGGTAAGACTAGGAATGTTCCCCGGAGAGCTGCTGCCAGTCAGTTTAGACAACACTGAACTCGATGGACCCATGGTCTGATTCCTGTGTTGTGCCTAACTCAATTTTACTGAAAAAGTCCATTTGAGATGAGAAAAATCTCAAACATACCCCGTAAAATCCTGGAATACTGGAGAGGATGCTATGCTTGTGCATGATATCCAGTTGAAGTTGTGCTGCTTTTAAGCCCAGCAGATATGAACTCTCTGAAGGTCTCCATGTGATCCTCATTTATTCCAAAATATCCCCCACATCTTTTCCAATAATCCTGTAATTGCTTGCCCACTAAGATAAGGTTTGTCTTGCCACAACTTGTGCCTTCCAAAATAGCAACAACACAGAGACGATACCAAGCTGGCAGTGTTCCTCTCTGCTGATTATGACATTTGGTTTCTTTGCCTTCTTCACTCAATTTGCTCTAGCAGATAATCTGATATTTCTGCTACTCAGTGGAGAAAACTTGGCAGCTGTGGAAATCTGTGGGTCAAGCTCTGGAATGCTGTTTTCCAGCCATGGAATACACTGGTGCTTATTTTGACTCATGGGTTTTGACTCATTATAGCAATATACGCTAGATATTAATATCGCTTGCATTTTCTAGGAAGCCAGATCTGTAGAGCAAATTACATGTTTAGGATGCCTTTATCTGAGCACTACTAGTTGAACGTACTTTTCAGATTGCTTTTCAAAGCTTCATTGAAGAAACCAAATATTCAGAGCTAGAGTTTGCTCTTGTTTTGATTAAGCAGAAGGACCGTGTTTTAAATATTCCACTGCACATTCTAAATTCCTTGAACAGTCTCCCTCCCCAGGAAATCAAAGGGAATCAAAATCTAACATTTTCCTAAGTTTTCTGATGGCTCATGTAGCTGCAACACAAAGTCTATGAGAATTTCAGTGTGATGGAGCAACGAAGTTTCCAGACTCGCTGTTTATTGAGCACTCCCTCATGCTGATACATTTGCACAAAACTTCCATGCAGGATGTACAATGCCACCCATTTATTGAGCATTTATCCTGAGAGGATTGCATGGAGATTACGTGGCATTGCCAGCCGGTGGTGGCTATGTGTATTTCTCTAACTTTTTACAGTTAGAAAAGTGATGGGATCATTGCATTAGAAAGTGTGAGCCAGCTTCCAAATATGGTGCAAATAAACAGCCCATTTGGAAGTGTCCTAAGCACTTACTATGGAGGAATGGCTGATAAAATTATTGGGCATGTTTAATGATAGAAAAATCACCACTGACATTTATTAAGGGTTGGAAACTTCCTATGGACTTTTTGTGTGAAAGATGAAAGAAATTTGTAATATATGGATGTGAAGATTGAAAAAATATCAGTTTGTAGAAGAATGATTGGAAGTTAATGAGTAGGGTTGCCATACACCCATAATTTCCTGGACATAGCTGGAATACTGCAGTCGGTGTCCAGGTGGAAAACACAGAAAACATATGGCTGTATGTTCTCAGTGTTGGTTCTGGCAATTTCCCTTTAAATTACCTCAAAATCTCCATTGCATATCTATCTATCTATCTATCTATATCTATCTATCTATCATCTATCTATCTATCTATTTAGAACTTTGGACAAAACTAAAAAAAAGCTCAACAACTTTGCAAAAAAAGAAAGAAAGAAAGAAAGGATTTTTGTGTCCAGGTTTTCACTTTTTGAAATATTGCAGCCCTATTAATGAGTGAACACTATATTTAGCTGCAGGACAAAGAACTGGAAATCTTTCTAGCTTTCTTAATTTCTCCCCTCCCCCCTTCTCTTCTTTTGCTCTTCCTACCTTTCTTTATTTCCCTTTTACTTTTTTCTTCTTCTTTCCGCCTCTGTTCCTTTCTAGATTAAATATCTCTTTTATTTTAGTGTATTACCAAAAAAAAAAAAAGAAAAAGAAAAAAAAGCTTTGTATTGGGTATGAACTTTTGTATATCTTTGAACAAATATCTATCACCTACCTACCAACCTACCATAAGCTTCCATACCCACCAGTCTCAAACATGCAAAGTGCTAAGTAGGTTAGACCTGTCCTCACAAAGATGTTTCCCAGCCCTGGAAGGTACTGGAAGGTAATCTCTTCAGCATGCATAGGCTTTACTCCAATGGCCAGGGTTCTCATGTCTGTGGAGGAAACCCCATGTGTATTGAAGAGGCTCCTTTCAACAGCTACTAGCCATGATAACTATGTTCTACCTTCACTCTTGGAGGAAGGAAGCCTTTGGACACCACTTCCTATGAGGAGAGTGTTGTTGCACCCAGGTCCAGCTGGCAGGCTTCCCTAGGGGATCTGATCGGTAGCTGTGAAACAGGCTATTGGAATAGATAGACCTTTGGTCCCAATTCAGGAGGGCTCATGTTCTGATACTCATGCAGAGCCAATCCTGTATCAGCTGAAGGATGTTACTAGCAGGCACCTTGTCAAGGGAAAGAGCTTGCATTGTGCATTCCCGTGGGCACCTTTGAACATTCAGAAACAAACACCCAATTTCATTTAGTGGGGCACTCCCACTGAATGGCATACCACAAAGCAACTTTCGTGCTTTCGCTATGTCACAATTTGGAAATGAGCCTTTACTTTATATCCCATCCACATCACAGTATGTACAAACCTGTGTGTTTAAATTGTGTGCATTGCAATAGCTCCCCCTTTCAGTTTTATCTCATTTTAAAATAGGGGAAATATAAGTATTTTGCATGTTTATATGTTAAAGGGTTTGGATCCCCAAACAGATTAAACAGATTTAACAGTATTTGCATATGCAGTAATATAGAACAGGACTGTGAATATTTGGTGACTAAGCAAAGTTCACTGTTTATCCATAAGCCGTTACAATATTAATTACATTTATGTTACTATTAGAATGTTAAAATAAAGATAATCCAAATATATATATGCAGGGGAGAGTTTTAAAACTCTCATTGTGTCAATTTCAGAAAATGATTACAGCATTATTTTTGCTTTTGCTTTTTTAAAACATATCTATCGTGGCCTGGTTGCTGCTACTGCAAATGTCACCATCTTAAGAGTTGTATATTTATTTGGGTAGCACCAAAAATGTTTTACTTTTATCATCATTTACATTTGGCAATATTTATGATACCATTCATGTTGTAACATAAGAATTTTAAATTCAACTAGTCCTACTATATTATATTTGGAAGTGCAATACAATTTGTCTTTATATCTTAGTCCAAACCATTTGAAGACTGCGGAATGAAGTCTGGCTCCAAGTAAGAGCTGCTTCAGTCACTGCTATATACAACATCCAGCGTTCATATGGATTACATTTTAATATTCTCATGGAAGCTTAATTAGAGTGGATTATTACAAGATCATAAGAATATTATGCTGCAATAGGATCATGTAGCATGGAATATTATAAGCTGGCTAATATTTCAAACTGTCTCTCCGTATTATTTTGGCACAAACTTAATAGGAGCATAGGAAGCTGCCTTTTACAGAGTTTGATCATTGCTCAGTCTAGCTCACTACTGTCTACACTGGCTGGAAGCAGCCCTCCAGAGTTTCAGGCAGAAATATTTCCCATTCCTACCTTTCAGTGCCAGAGCCTGAGATAAAGGTAAAGGTCTCCTGGATGGTTAAGTCCAGTCAAAGGTAACTCTGGGGTTGTGGCACTCATCTCACTTTCAGGCTGAAGGCACCAGCGTTTGTTTGCAGACAGCTTTCCAGGTCATGTGGCCAGCATGACTAAACCACTTTTGGAGCAACGGAACACCATGACGGAAGCCAGAGCGCATGGAAATGCTGTTCACCTTCCCGCTGCAGTGGTACCTATTTATCTACTTGCACTGGTGTGTGTTCAAACTGCAAGGTTGGCAGGAGCTGGGACAGAGCAACAGGAGCTCACCCCGTCGTGGGGATTCGAACTGCCAACCTTCCAATTGGCAAGCCCACAGCACCACCCGCTTCCCTGAGCCTGAGGTATTAGTCTGCTCACCCTTGTTGGTGGGCGGTTGCTTACAAAGCATATTCTCCACCACTGAGCTAAGGCCCTTCCCCAAACAGAATACCAAGATGAACATTGTATTTTTAAAGGCTGTGCTGAATTTTTATCGGCTTAGCTTTTCAAAAGTGGCTTTTTCATAGAATCATAGAATTGTAGAGCTGGAAGGGATTCCAAGGGTCATTTTTAACAACCCCCTGCAATGCAGCAATCCTGCCCTCAGCCTCCTTGGGCAGCCATGAAGCAGCAACCTTCTAGTTAACAACCAGGTGCACTGACACATTATGCCACTGGGGATATATTTGTCAACACACCAAAGAGTCGAGAGAGAAATATTTTTGGGTAAACAGGTTATATTTAGAGAATCCAAAATAACCAGACTGAACCAAATTAAATTTGTCCAGGCAAGTGGGCGGTCCATGCTAGAGCTTTGCAGAATTAAAGCGAAACTGAAAGAGTTCTCCATGGGTGCTGATGGACATGTAGAGAGCTTCTTCACCTGAGAAGCAAACAAAGCCCTTTCCCACATCATCCAAGCACATGGATAGTGTTTCCAGTGTGGATGTTGGTGGTGATGGCTGGCAGTGTGCAAAGGGTGTTGTGAATAACACACTCCCTACTTGACACTCTGGTGACTGGAACATAAGAAACTGTATTGGCCCTTTCAGCCTTTTTCAACCTGTGGGTTTCCAGATGTTGTTGAACTACAACTCCCACCACCCCTAGCTAGCAAAGCCAGAGCTCAGGGATAATGGGAGTTGTAGTCCAACAACATCTGGGGACCCACAGGTTGAGAACCACCGAGTCTAGATTGTCCCTTCCCCCAATAAAAATAGTTAGTTATAGGCTTTTCAACCAACTATTATTACTTGACAAATAATCATCACATTTGAGCAGATTTTGCAAGCATGTTGCCAGTCACAGCATTGTGTTGGAGAGAAAACGGAATGTCTGAAGTTTAATTTGTGTCAAGTTAAAATGGAAGGGGAAGC